ACATGGCGGACATCAAGGCATAACAAGCAGAGACACTGTGTGACTGCTGCTATTTGGGGTCAATCAGTTATAGGTGCTATAGAGGGATTCTATGCACAGGACTGGGGAAAAGGCTTGTGTATATGCTGGTCCTTTTACATTGAAAAAGACTGGAAATGAACTTCTTTAATTGAATGAAAGTCAAAGTCAAGGTTGAGATTGAAACGTAACTTTTTATAGTCTGTAATTGTATGTAACTGTGCATAACTTTTGCTGCCTCATGTCCAGGACTCCCTTGAAAGAGAGGTTCTTAATCTCAATAGGACTTTCCTGGTTAAGTAAAGGTAAAAAAATTAGTCAAACAGAACATTCTATCTGCACAGACGAGCTGAATCCAAACTACATGCTGAGGTTGCGTCAACAGTGTTCAGTGATGCTAACACACATTCGCCAACTGCTGTAATAAAGCGTGGTCCTTGTGTTCGAAGAAATAAATCCACGTATTGTTTATCTGGGGCTTGCTCTGTCTGTGTGATATCATATTCTTTCTTTCTCCTCACCTGGAAAAACCGGAGCACCTAGAGACAACATGCCAACTCCACACAGAAAGGCCCTATCTGGAGGTGGAATCGAACTTATAGGACCTTCTTGATGTCCTGTAAAGCTGCAAAAAGCCACCAGTTCCTGTAATTTCCTGGGCCACTTAGCAGGAAAATCATATTTGAGATCTGAGTTCAAAATGGGTGTCAGGTTGCTGGATATATTGTTTGCCAATAAAGTGTGGTCCTTGTAGCCTGACTCTCGCCAGACCCATGTAGTTCGCTGCACTTCACACATGAGTCTGGTACTGAGCCATAGTGGTTGGATTTCAGAAGGAAATCCTTGTATGTGATTGGATAGACCACTTGTCCGTTATCTTGAATGAAGTCTGCTTTCAACCACTCACATCGAAGCACACGGTTCCCATAGGTTGCCAAATCCCAGCAAGATTTTCCAACACAAAATCCGCGAGAATACCCAAAAAAAAAAAAGTTCCTTCACTACACTTGTAAATACAGTACTTGAAATTATACACAAAAACAGAGCTAAACCGTCCAATGTCAAACCCATACAAAAATCCCTTAAGTCAGATATTTAAGTTAGATATACATAACACATGGCCCTATGTTCCCAACCAGGGGTATACATAATTTTAATGTATTTATATCAAGAAACCCCCACACAAATGATTATGTTGTAAATATTGAGCCTGGAGCACAGTTCATAATAAAAATGGTCTATCAGTCAGCTATAACAAGCCTTTCTTACTTTTGGTCCAGTTTTGTTTCAGTCAAGTATGAATGAACTAATTTTTTCTAAAAAATCTAAAATTTAACTGAAATAACACTACCTACATTATCCAAACAAATGCAATTACATAAAAAAAAAATGCAAACAGAGTTGATTTCTCTTAAGAAAACGATGAGACTTTGGTGAAACAGTAAAACCTAAAACCAGTCGTGGCCTGGATGAGAATGAGTTTGACCAAAGGCAAAAAATGAAGGGAACCACTGGTATGAAGTACTTCTTAATGTACTGGAAAATGAGTCCTCTGTTTCTGACCCGTTTATCAGTGCCAATACAGAAGCAGTGCGACATACGATTAATTACAAAGTCCAAGATAGTAATAAAACTCAAAAAAATCCAACTGAAAACAGAAACCAGGGAAGAAAACACAAATGGGGAAGAGCACTGGGTACATTCAGGCCCAGACGGACACAGACACTGGACACAGGACAGGAAGTAAAACATAAAACAAAACCTCGAGTAATGTCAAAATAAAACCAAGTACAAATAATTAAAATCCACACCATGACATTTACAGCATCCCACGAAGGAAAGCCACAGAGACAGAGAAAAACATGCAAACTCCACAGAAAGGCCCAGGTCGGCACAGGACTTTTTTCCCCCCCACATTAGTACAAATCTTAAATAATCCATCAAAAATACAAATTCCTGTCCTTGCCTCCAGTGACAATCTGCCCTAGTTTTTGGATAAAATGAACCATGTTAGGAAGAAGTTTCTAAAACAATGGCCTCTCTTAACCGCATTATCCAGTGCCAAGATCATCTCGGTCAAATTGAAAAGGATTTAAGCAACTAATTTTTTTGCAACTTTAAGACCGCTTCTATCCCTGCCATAAAGACCCAGTCCTTACACTCTTGCTTCAGTCGGTGGTGAGCTGCATTCTCTGGACACTCGGCTCTCTCCTGGAGCGAAAGGGGGAAGGCTGATGTTTAAGATGACACACTTCAGCTGGAGAGGGGAGGACATGCTTACTTAAAACACTATTGACAGCCATTAGAAAACCATGCATCACAAGAGCAGATATAAATATGTGGAGCGAACAAGAAGGGAGGCCTGTCAAATACTACGACCAATAAGTCTAGTTTAGTTTAGGTCAAAACCAATCTCGTTTGGGAATTTTTAGGTATTCATTGCATCATGTCTTAACTATTTTAAGTCTGTTTAACTGTGTTCTGTGAGATTTAGGAATAAACAGTAGCTACATAATTACAATTGTGTGGGAGTATATGAGGTGTGTGATTGTTGAGAAGTAGTCATTTGGTTTATGACTTTTTATGGGGCTTGTTTTATTGTCTGTCATCGGAGATCTGTTACCTACCACCTTCTCTGTGATTATTTAAAAAAACATTAGAAGTTGCGAAATACTTCAATAAGACTAAGGGGTATAGTGTGGCGCCACCTGCAAGCCAGATTCAATCAGACCTCTGGAGCTAAGCAGGGCGTGGGGATGGTTTGCACTCTGATGGGAGACCTCTGGGACCTCTAGGTGATATATAGTGGGGTGGCTGTGACTGCAAAGTGCCAGTTGGAGATTGTGGTTCACAGCAAGAAGGTCCTAGGTTCAAATCCACTTCCAGGCCTATCTTTGTGGAGTTTACATTTTCTCCTTGTCTGTCTGCGTAGGCTTGATCCGGTTTCCTCCGTGTGCTCCTGTTTACCCTACCACTAAAAACATGTACAATAGTTTAGGGTGAATTAGTGTGTTCATGAGTGCGACTGTGAGACAACGGATGCAAATTACCTCAAGGTTATAATCTGGAGGGGTGTGTTTATTAACATACACAATCCCAAATAAATGAATTAATGAATCCATATTGCCTAGAGTCAGTCTGGTGTGTGTGTGTGTGTGTGGTTGCTGCTGGTCGGAGAGGACGAACTGGTAGCATTGCAACTATAGGAGACAATCGTGGATATGAAAAAGTAAACAACATCAATAATATAAATCTAATAAACAAGTGAAATACACTTGCACTGAACTCTCCAGTCATATTGAAACTGGCTAGATCTGTTTCAATACAAAACAGCGGGAAAAAGAACCACTGATCCAAGGCTTGTGTTGAACAGGACCTGTCAAAACAACAGCTGTGAAGCAGCACGCCTCCGTCACAGGGAGGAGAGGCCCTGAAGAGCTGCCTGGAACTTTGGACACGTTTTTTGGTGAATTGGGTCAATAGGCCTCAGCACCTTGCTCCAACGCGCGTGTGCATCTTCATCAGAGCAGAACATTCCTTTGTCCTCTCGCAGCTGACACATGCCGTCCTCACTTCCCTGACTCTGGACTTCAGCAGGACGTCCGGGTGTCAAACCGGTCCATATTTGCATATTTGCACTGACGGGAAAACCCAAGTCAGTTCATTATACAACGACTTGAAACTTAGCACCCGAAATCATGTGTCCGCGATCCGCCCCTGCCCCAGGACGTGTGGCCCCTTGTAAAGTCCCCTTCCTGTAATGCAGTCTGTTTTCTGTTCCCAGGTCAATGACACTGTTTATGGCAATGATGGGAAAGTCAACAACAAGAGCATAAATATTGAATGGTTCAGCACAGAAGCAGGTCTGCGGATAAACACTTGGCTACATAGAAAATGAGACGTGCATGAGAAAGTGCTGACTCGACTTGACTCAAAGATCCATGGCTCTGTGCGCAGTTCTGCTGTGGAACCATAGGAGGCGCTGTCATGTTTGCGAGGACATGTCTAGGCCTTCTCCAACGCACTTTGGTTGGATTTTTCAGAGGGCCATGGTCTCTGAGCATTATAGATGCACATCAGAACTCCACTTGTAAAAAAAACCCCATTTGTTCTGTTTCAATAATGAGTTTTGGATTGCATCTGTTGTGTTATTGCCATTGTTTTATTAAAGCTGGGGAACCTAATTAAAATGTAATAACTGTCCATCGAACTAGTGTCTGGCTCTTAAACAGTTTGGTTCTATCACTAGTTTTCATATGTATGTTTGTTTGGCCTCTGATACATCTTTAGATCAACTTTTTCAGACAAAATAGTGAAAAGGAGAGGACCAGCCTCACTCAGCCAATCAGCTCAAAGTGTCAAATAGTGACTCACAGGGAACTTTCTTTTACATGTGAAATATGTTTTCTAATAAAATAAAGACAACATGTTGTGGTCAGATTTACTTTTACAAGACTCTTTATGTTGGAACAACCAAGAAGTATTATTTATGGGGGTGAAAAGTCAGGTACCCCAGCTGTAAGTCAACATGGCTCAATTACCAGATTGGACACTTTAGTCCCTCAAAAACATGTTTTGTTGCATAATTTAGTCTCATCATACACACCGTGATTGGTAGAGTATATCCCCCAACTGTAGCCACAGCTGCCCTTTGACTTATAAAGACTTATAGGCAATGTGGGTATAGTGTGTTGCCTAAGTACACAACAAGTTTAGCCTCAGCCTTCCCACTGTGGCTCCCAAACGGTTTTCCATCTTGGTACTAACCAGGAAACACTTGGCTTAGCTTCTGAGATGATGACAAGATCAGCCTTTGGTATGAGATAAAATTCATAGTTCTGAAAGAAATCAAGTATAAGTCAGGACTAAACCAGCAGACCAGAATACAGTGACATAAATATGTGTTGGTGGAAAATGGGCAAATGTAATGGTTCTGTATTTGAATTCTCTAAAGTTGATTGTTGATCTCTTCTCTCCTGCAGAGTCTTCCCCTGCCCACTGTAAACGCCACACAGCCAGGTAAGGTTCCTACTGCTTTTCTGTCATTTAAAATCCCTTCAAGAGAACATGTCTGAACAGTAAAAATGTAAAAAGAGCTTCTAAAACATCCCTTCTCTCTGGTTCATAAGATCAAATGAAAGAATTTAGGATGAATGAGAGCAGAGAGACACAGCAGTCTTCATTAAGCGCCTAATGAGCTCTTTGCATTCGGACTTCAGAGGAGTTCAGGGACCCTCCACCACAACTCCCATAGTGCACTTGTGGAAACCAGTCAGGGCCATACGTTTACCATAATGCTGCACCCAATACTTATAGTACATATGTAATGGCTCAAAAGGTATTAATTCAAGATCATTTGCTAAATTCTAAATCCTTTGGCGAGCTACCTGAAAAGGGCTGGCGAGCTACTGGTAGATCCCGAGCCACAGGTTAGAGATCCCTGTCCTACACTGATGCATCACTTAGTCTCCTGGATAACTAAAACTAAAAATTAAACAAAAACAAGGATTCAGACAGAACTAACAGACTTCTTCTTATCAATATGTAACCATATTTTTTCATATTTAACCTTAAATAAAAAATAAAATAATCAGCAAACTTTTAATAATATTTTTCTGGTTAAGTAAATTACAGTAGCATTTTCAATTTTTGAAGAGAAAGAGAGAGAATGTTTGGATGGAAGAGACAGTTAGACCCATCGATGTTCACCCCCCAGCTTCCTGATTGGACAAAAATAATTCAAATCTTTGCCATTGGTCTATTGGGGCTAAAAATGCTTAATTTACAGGATGCAACAGGGTAAAACATATGCAATATTTAAACAATGAAATCAAATTAAAGGTAGACATCACCTTTAGGGGGAAATAACATTAAAGCTGCACTAACTGACTTTATTTTTGTATTCATTACGAAAATGCTATCCATGTCCATGTAGTGCATTGGGATATACGTCCTTTTGAAGAATAATTAGCGCAGATTTGTGCTGGCGTGACATTACATTTTAGATCGAGTTTTGATGAAACAAGGAAGAGATGTGTTTCGGGTCGCAGATTGTGACCAATCAGAGCGGACCACTAGCCCCCACTTTCTTGAGAAATCTCCAGGTCTCCGTTAGCACAGACAGCTGAGTTAGCACAACAAGACGAGGAGCTAACCTGAAGCTTCCTCGTCTTCGTCACTGGTTATTGCTTACACACGAAACAGCCATCCAAAAGAAAGTCTTGTTTCTCTGCGCTTCCCGGTTCTATCGTTCTATGGTCACGCCATCCATGTGCAAATCCATATCCATGTATTATCCATATTGAGAGACACTAGCTCCGTCCCAACAGTGGGTGTGTGTGGGGGGACCGCGGTAAAGTGGCCCGCATCGTGGGTGTGGGGAGGGGAGCTGAAAGAGCGAGGCCAGCGGGTCCGCGGCTTCAAAATCCCAAAGTCAGTTAGTGCAGCTTTAAAATCTATTCAATGTGTTTTTCTAATTTCATGCACACTCTCACAGATCCAACCGTTGCAAACAAATGTCCCACCCTGTGTTCCAGTGCTGATGTTCCAGGAGGTGTGGGGCCGCAGCTTCTGTCGCACCATCGAGCAGCTGGTGGAGGTGGTGCAGGAGTACCCGTCCCAGGTGGAGTACATCTACAGCCCGGCCTGCGTGCCCCTAGTGCGCTGCTCCGGCTGCTGCGGCGACGAGAAGCTCCAGTGCCATCCCACCCACACCAGCAACGTCACCATGCAGGTGCAGCAGCCACACCGCCCCCAATGTAAACCTCCCTCACTCATGCTAAGGCTCATGCTAATGGTGTCTGTGCTGTGTGGTTAGCTTCTGAAGATACGGCCGTCAGAGCCAGGGCAGGAATATGTAGAGATGACCTTTGTGGAGCACCAGACATGTGAATGTAGGTAAGGAACAAATCCCAATCTCAAACTTGTTTTTAGATCTATCCATCTATCTATCCTGACACAAACATGTGCAGTAACACCACCCCTTCTGTCTAAAAGTTCCTGTCTTAGCTCTATGTTATATGCAATCATTTTAAAATGTTTAAACAAACATTGAACCAGTCCGGCCCTCAGCTTGAAGCAATTGTATAGCTTTTTCATTTGTTTTGGCCTTCTGATGTATTTGACTTTGACATCCCTGATCTATAACATCACAATCAGCACAATTATTTTTAAAACAAAAGTATTAGTTTTGTAAATTTCTAAATTTAAGTCATAGCGAACACCATGGAGTGAACATACTAGACTGTATAGATAGCCAATGCTAATCTGCCAGCTCAATGAAGCCCAATAGGAAAGTGCTCATGGCTGAAGTTTTTCCCCCCAATTTATTCTGGCTCCTATTGACTTACTGAATCCATAATTCCATTCATCTTTTGAGACAAACATATGAGTTATATATATATATATATATATTTATATATACGGACTGACCAATCGGATGCCTTCATGCACGGGGAAAACTCTAGTTTCCCTGCAGTGCACCCATCTGAGCAATAAGTCTGTCCCTATCTAGTTTACGTTCAAATCGGGTTCTTCTGTATCAGGCTAACACTATGGAGACCTCAGCACTCGGTCAGTCCACTCTTAATAGTCTGTGGGAGTGAATGAATAATGCCATGTAAAACATCTTTGAGTTTCCAATGCAGTATTGGTATCATCCAAATCCAGAGAGAACCACCTTCCCTCTGGTCGTACCAGAATATTGTACATTTTACATTTAGTACTAAGGTCTGGCTTTGCTCCATTGAGCTCCGTTTACAGGTGGGAGGGGTTAACTCCTTTTGTAGATTGAATCGATTGGATCTGAGTTTACCGTAGATGCAGGGAAATGATAATTGACGGGATTGTACGGAAGGTACAGGCTACCTTCCCTCTGCCGTGTGTCGTTGTGTCAATGCAGTCTTGTGCTTGGGTCTTTAAAACCTCACGGGGACCTTTCTCTACCCTGACTTTAACGTGTTCAGGACTTTGACACTGGTTGAGGTTCAGTCAGAACTTCTCACATATTGTTTTAAATTGCATCTTTCTAACTGATGTAACATATAACTTTTTATGGACTAAGTTCTTAAAAACCCTTGAGGTGTTTAACAAGTATTTTTGCAAAATGACTTTAAACTGCACATTTAAGCCAATAGGTATAAACTGGAAACAAGCAGTGTGGTGATGAGTGTGTTGTCTTTGCAGAAGCAGGAAACCTGAGGTGAAAGTACAAAGGTAAACAAATACTATCTAATACATGGAATTATTGTACTGGTTTGTGTTGCTCATGTGTTTTAATTTGTGTGTTTATAATTATTTTATTGTTATTTTAGGAAGAGGCAACGAGGAAAAGGACGGAAGAGAAAAGAAAAGCAAAAACAGAAGGAATGTGAGAGGTAAGGATTTTTATCATAGTTTTTACAGTTGAAGTTGTATCAATACCTTGACATTAGAAGTATTTATATCGTATATATCGCATACCATTTAAAAAGCAGTAAACTATGGTTTGATGGACGTATACAGATGGATCATAAAGACACTACTTTGAAAGATGAAATGTTTGATAGAAGCAGTGACATGTTTCTGTCTTGTGTTGAAGTTGCCAGGTCCCACGGAGGTAGCGCAGAGTCTTCTCCCTCCTGTGGCTGATGGAAGGCTGCCCAGGTCGGGGCTGAGTGGGGCCCAGGTCCAGGGCCCTCCTGCTGGGGGCCGCCTGTTATGTCCAGCGGTGTACGGACAGAGGAACACGTCACCTGCCTTTAATGATGGACTTTCTGGAGCCAGTGCAATTCTGAACCAAAAGGACTGAAGCCTCATTTTTTTATCAGTCATTTATAGAACATTGTTTTTTGTTGTAAGGCTTGTTAAATGTCAGTATTTATTGAAGAGTGTAAATATTGGACTGGTAAGCATTAGATTATTTTATGTGTCAGCTTTTCTCATATCGCCTAACACAGGCAAGACCGTAAGGGCAGTTATTGGGAAATTACATGTCTCCCTCTAGTGTTGAATATTTTCCAAAGTGGAAACAGAAATAAGTTATTCGTTCAAAATGAAACCAAAAACTAATGGTGAATGACTCCAGGTGTCTGAGTTCTAACAAGGTAATAATTATGCATAATCATACTAACACTGTAAAAAACACAATAATTTCTGAAATTGTTCCATTGAACAAAACCTACAGTTTATTTTAGAATTAAATTACAAAATACATTTGGCTATATTTATTTTCTATCAATAAATGACTTCTATTGTATGTTGCTAAGTGTGTATCTTTTCATTCAAAACATATCCATCCATGATCTGTGAAATTAAATGAAACCAGTTGAGTATGAAGTTCATCAATGTGGAGAATGTTTCCTGTGTGTAAATCATAGACTGTATATATTAAAATGTATAAATGTAGGCTTTTCTCATGACAGAAATTCTTAAGTTAATCCAGTTTTGGCCGAGTTAGTTGCATGGATGTATGATGATGGTTAGTAGTTAGAAGATTGATAATATTTGGCTCTCCTGCACTTAGGCACAGTGTTGAGGGCAGTGTTGAGGGCAGTATTGAGGGCAGTGTTGAGGGCAGTGTTGAGGGCAGTATTGAGGGCAGTGTTGAGGGCAGTATTGAGGGCAGTGTTGTGGGCAGTGTTGAGGGCAGTGTTGAGGGCAGTGTTGAGGGCAGTGTTGAGGGCAGTGTTGAGGGCAGTGTTGAGGGCAGTGTTGTGGGCAGTGTTGTGGGCAGTGTTGAGGGCAGTGTTGAGGGCAGTGTTGTGGGCAGTGTTGAGGGCAGTGTTGTGGGCAGTGTTGAGGGCAGTATTGAGGGCAGTGTTGTGGGCAGTGTTGAGGGCAGTGTTGTGGGCAGTGTTGAGGGCAGTGTTGTGGGCAGTGTTGTGGGCAGTGTTGAGGGCAGTGTTGAGGGCAGTGTTGTGGGCAGTGTTGAGGGCAGTGTTGAGGGCAGTATTGTGGGCAGTATTGAGGGCAGTGTTGAGGGCAGTGTTGAGGGCAGTGTTGAGGGCAGTGTTGAGGGCAGTGTTGTGGGCAGTATTGAGGGCAGTGTTGAGGGCAGTATTGAGGGCAGTGTTGAGGGCAGTGTTGTGGGCAGTGTTGAGGGCAGTGTTGTGGGCAGTGTTGAGGGCAGTGTTGTGGGCAGTGTTGTGGGCAGTGTTGAGGGCAGTGTTGAGGGCAGTGTTGTGGGCAGTGTTGAGGGCAGTGTTGAGGGCAGTGTTGAGGGCAGTGTTGAGGGCAGTATTGTGGGCAGTGTTGAGGGCAGTGTTGAGGGCAGTGTTGTGGGCAGTGTTGTGGGCAGTGTTGAGGGCAGTGTTGAGGGCAGTGTTGTGGGCAGTGTTGAGGGCAGTGTTGAGGGCAGTGTTGAGGGCAGTGTTGAGGGCAGTATTGAGGGCAGTGTTGAGGGCAGTGTTGTGGGCAGTATTGAGGGCAGTGTTGAGGGCAGTGTTGTGGGCAGTATTGAGGGCAGTATTGAGGGCAGTGTTGAGGGCAGTGTTGTGGGCAGTATTGAGGGCAGTGTTGAGGGCAGTGTTGTGGGCAGTATTGAGGGCAGTGTTGAGGGCAGTGTTGGGCAGTGTTGAGGCAGTATTGAGGGCAGTATTGAGGGCAGTGTTGAGGGCAGTATTGAGGGCAGTGTTGAGGGCAGTGTTGAGGGCAGTGTTGAGGGCAGTATTGTGGGCAGTATTGAGGGCAGTGTTGAGGGCAGTGTTGAGGGCAGTGTTGAGGGCAGTGTTGAGGGCAGTGTTGAGGGCAGTATTGTGGGCAGTGTTGAGGGCAGTATTGAGGGCAGTGTTGAGGGCAGTGTTGAGGGCAGTGTTGAGGGCAGTATTGTGGGCAGTGTTGAGGGCAGTATTGTGGGCAGTGTTGAGGGCAGTATTGAGGGCAGTGTTGAGGGCAGTGTTGAGGGCAGTGTTGTGGGCAGTATTGTGGGCAGTGTTGAGGGCAGTGTTGTGGGCAGTGTTGAGGGCAGTGTTGAGGGCAGTGTTGAGGGCAGTATTGTGGGCAGTATTGAGGGCAGTGTTGAGGGCAGTGTTGAGGGCAGTGTTGAGGGCAGTGTTGAGGGCAGTGTTGAGGGCAGTGTTGAGGGCAGTGTTGAGGGCAGTGTTGTGGGCAGTGTTGAGGGCAGTGTTGAGGGCAGTGTTGAGGGCAGTGTTGAGGGCAGTGTTGAGGGCAGTGTTGAGGGCAGTGTTGTGGGCAGTATTGAGGGCAGTGTTGAGGGCAGTGTTGAGGGCAGTGTTGTGGGCAGTGTTGAGGGCAGTGTTGAGGGCAGTGTTGTGGGCAGTGTTGAGGGCAGTGTTGTGGGCAGTGTTGAGGGCAGTGTTGAGGGCAGTGTTGAGGGCAGTGTTGTGGGCAGTGTTGAGGGCAGTGTTGAGGGCAGTGTTGTGGGCAGTGTTGAGGGCAGTGTTGAGGGCAGTGTTGAGGGCAGTGTTGAGGGCAGTGTTGTGGGCAGTGTTGAGGGCAGTGTTGAGGGCAGTGTTGTGGGCAGTATTGAGGGCAGTGTTGAGGGCAGTGTTGAGGGCAGTGTTGAGGGCAGTGTTGAGGGCAGTGTTGAGGGCAGTGTTGAGGGCAGTGTTGTGGGCAGTGTTGAGGGCAGTGTTGTGGGCAGTGTTGAGGGCAGTGTTGAGGGCAGTGTTGAGGGCAGTGTTGTGGGCAGTGTTGAGGGCAGTGTTGAGGGCAGTGTTGTGGGCAGTGTTGAGGGCAGTGTTGAGGGCAGTGTTGAGGGCAGTGTTGAGGGCAGTGTTGAGGGCAGTATTGTGGGCAGCAGCAGTGACGCGGAGTCCAGGTCTATGTGCGTGAGTGAATCTGCTGATACTAAATGTTGAGTTAAATCCGCTGGGGCAGAGCTGACACTGTATTTGGACTGAAATCCTCTCTGAACACGTCTCCTGTTGGTAAGTAGTACATAACCTGTGCTAATCATTTGCCTAATCGTGCTTACACCCTGCTGCTTGTAAACAAACGCTGAGCTAGCTTAGCACGGGGCTAGGCTGTAAACAAGGTGCACAACATTTAGCTTTTGTCACGTTGTTCAAAGGAAAACAAAGGACTTTTATCATACATGTATAAAGCGATTTAACATAATGTTTTAGACTATATTTGCCCATCTAGCCTTAGGTTCGTAGTTTTAGGCTTGAAGCTGAGCGATGACGGATGTAGTGTTAGCATCTCTAATGTTAGCCGCTTCTGTCATTCGATATGTTAGCTGTTAGCTGTTAGCTGTTAGCTGTTAGCTGTTAGCTGTTAGCTGTTAGCCAGCTAGGTCACACTGTCTTTATCAACATTTTTTTGGAAAATGCGTATTCAATTTGAAACTGTCACATGTTTTTCTTGTATTCCTTAAATAGCGTTAATGCAATTGTTGTTTAATCATTAGTTATCTTAATCTTTTAAGAACGTGTAGTTGTTAGTTGTAAACCATTTCCTTCATTTCAGTGTGTGCTTTGGGTACATAATGTGTATGTACAGAAGTTAGGTCTATCTGCCCATATAATGCTACATAGTAATATGGTTGTGCCCTACTTATATTTATTCATTTAATCTGAAAATGTGCAAATAGATCAAGAAATATAGAGACAAACTATTGTTTTAATAAAGAATTCAAGATTACTACCCACACTGTATAAATGTTGTGATTTGTTGCTCTTTGTAATTAAAGGTATCCTTGCCAATGTACTGCTTTATACTGTGTAAATGAAATGTGAAACCTTTTTATACTCAACAAAATGTATTTGCAAGTCCCACTCTAAAATGTTTACCATGTGAACTGGACACTATTCATGTCAAACCCAATGGGAGGCTATCCACGGGGAGCTGTTAAAGCCAGAGCTGCCACTCCGCCTGATTGTGAAAATGTGATGGTTAAGAAGATTGAGATTGTTTATTTTGACGTAGATGCATGATTTGTATTGCACTTCTGGGTCACTGTTTTCTGTAGCTCGCTGCACGGAGCCAGGATGAGCCGCAGACACAGGACACCCTCGTTCACAATGGCAACACACCTCAGGGCAAAATCTGACATGGAGCGTGATTCAGGCTTTTCTGGTAAGACTTGAGTTCATATCAATTAATTCAGTTCAATTAATTAAATTGATGTTTGCATTTATTACTAAAAGAGGGTCGTCAACAAACAGTGTATTACTGCATTTTTTCAAGCTACAGTTGTAAAGCCCCCTGTCTGAAATCCAACTGGTAAGACGGGGCCCTGACCCAGTCTCGGTTGGGGTCTTGAGATGTGGGTTATGGTTAGGATGTAGATGATGATCGAAACGTCTTCCTTTAGACAACCACGCTCCTAAAAGAACATGGTCTATGGCTTTGATAAATAGCTACAGTATAGGCTCATCTCCATCTACAGACTCTGGTGTATGTTGCAGAGAGTTCTTGGAATAAAATCAAATTAAAGATTAAATTGCTTTTGGAGATTATGAATGGTAACACAAATCTTTTTCTCCCCACTCCTTGCTTTTGGTTGTGTGAAGCCATATTGTCACATGTTTTCAAAATTGTAATATATTTGAACATACATATATGCAATTAATGTAAGGCGACCCAGGAATTTACAGACCAAGAATAATGGGCAGCTTTACCATCAGGGCCTCATCCACAACTACCACAAAAGATGCAGAGCTAATACACGCTAATCAGGGTCAGAAGAGCAGTTCCTGTTCCTCTTTATTTGGCAATAAATACAACCACTAGCAGTAAGTGAATGTTTACCTTATTATTCATAATTTCTGAAATATAACCCCAAAAATGTAATATTCCAGACTATGTAGTATTGGTTGTGTCTCATGTAGAGACTCTCTCAAAAGTTTGTATATCGTTAAAGGAAAATATTTTTTGTCAGTCAATTTAGAAAGTGAAATATCACCAAAAATTGATACAAATCTTTCTCTTCTCAGTCTACCAAAGGCACTATAAATAAAAAGTCCTTATTAATATTGTAATTGTTGAGGGCTTTGTTTTTCTGTTGGCCCTCTTTACACTGACCTGGATCCTGGTCATCATCCTGATGGTGGTCCAGGCGGCGACAGATCTGTATCTACATCTGCCTGTGTTTTTAAAGTGCTAGAGTTTCATTGTGCCGTCCCCTCTCTCCCCAGACGCCAGCTCTGAGTACATGAGCGCAGTGGAGCAGGCGGACTCCGAGGAGCCAGGCAGACATGGCAGGGTGCGCGGCCCGGACCCAGCCTCACAGCAGGTGGCTTTGATGGGCGGCTCTTACGCTGGAGTCTCACCGATGATCATCATGAATAACTTTCTCCTAAAACAGGTACAGCTCTCTCGGTTCAACATACGGTGCCCATGTATTTGAACTGTCGACTTGCGCTAAAAAAAAAGTATAAGTCTTAGTAAAAGTAAAGATACTAGTTTAAAAATCAAAAGTAACTAATTCCCTCAAAAGTTTGTATAACTACTAAAATGTTTATAACAGTTTTCATTGGAGACATTTTAACACTTGTTTGACACTGACAGACAATATGACAAAGAAAACATGTAGAACAGAAGTTTAATGATCTGCACAAAGAATTGTGGCTAATCACAGAATCTGTTTTTGTTGTGTTGCCATCTGAAGTGTTACTCTTTGGGTTTAAAAGTGAGAAGTAAAGGTGGAGTTCTTAAAAAACCAAGTGATAAAGTAAAGTACTACTACTGACACAGCATAAAAGTACAATACTTCAGTAAAAATGCCTCGTGCTTGCCACCTCTGCTTACTACATAGTTGCTTTGAAATAATGGATGTGTACTTAGTGATTGGCAAAAGAGTTTATTAAGAGATTATTATTTTTTTCCAGCCTTCAAACCCTGTTGCAGAAAAGCAGTGGGGATATTCGTCCCCTATGGAAGTGATGCCGCAGTCACAAGTGGTTCTTCTTCAACCTATGCTCTCTAACGGCAGCAGCAGCTCCTCAAAGTCAAGCAGTGAAAATGATCGACAATCCAGAAGCTACACACCTGTCAAATCCTACCCACGGATCGCTCCACACCCAGGGGAGCATCTGTCTAAACGGGTGGGCTCTTCCAGAATAAGGGGCACCGCTGAGTACGAACCCCGGCAGAGAAGGCACCATCACAGCCACAAAGTGTACAGCACTGGCCCCCCAGAGTCCCCTCTGCCGGCTCCAGGCCGACACAGCAATGCTCCAGAACCACTGAATAATCAGGTCCAAGTCATTGAAGCACAGGTGTGTGACCAGGCTCTGACTTCAGTTCCCAACTACAGCGCTGTGCCGACATACACACACGAGTTCCAGAAAGCAATAAGTGACATCTCCATCTGGTCTGACAAAGATACTTCAGCCAACCACGGCAACAAACTGAAACGATTCAGCAATACCTACAACATCCTCAGCCAGTCGGGCTTGTTGGAGATCACTATGAGGACCAAGCAGCTGATCAAAGAGAACCGCCACACCCAGAGCCAGCTGCAGCAGCTGCAGGAGCAGACGTCTCTGCTGCTGGATGCTCTGAGCAGCGGAAACTCCCAACTCTGGACTAAACTACAGCATTCTCTGCAGGACACGCAGACTGAGTCCAGAGCAACCAAGACCCCCACACTCCTGTTATAATCACATGTACAGAGCCATAAGGTCCTCCAGTGTCCTCCAGGGTCTTGATCACCTGTAGGGCCAGGTACCGCTCCATTTTTAGCAATAGCTGCTCGTTTAGAAGCATTACTTTTACCAGTTGGAACATTTGTATCTCTGGCAAGAACAAAGAAAGCACTTAAAACATGGTTGCTCAGAGAGCATATTTGTCTCCATATTGGTACGTAGTACCTTTTTGAAAACACACAGCAACATACTAATGTACTGTGAATGTTAAAGTGTTCCCCGCCTGTTCCTATGTTACCCTCGACCCCATGTTTATGTTGTCAGTGAGGACATTTTAATATAGTCTTAAGATATTTTTACTAGGGTTTGAAAAGTGACAAAAGGAGCATGTTTCAAACCTCTGCCTTTTGTCACAGACATTTTTTTCTTAAATGTGTTTATGCCATTTTTTTCTTAAATGGCATAAACACATGCCTTACAGCAGACTGGAGCAATTGGGGACACTTTAGGCTTTTTGTAAAATGATTAATTCCCAACAAAACTTAATTTAATTTGACTGTCCAGAGTCTACAGTGACTTTGTGTCCAATGACATATCTAAGTTTGTATGTTCACTGCGCTTGCTGGTTTCCTCTGTATTTATTGGAATAATAATAATAATAATACTTACCTTGGTTCCAAGGTGCTGTAGCCATATTTGTTGCTGAGAACGGGTTGTTGTTCTATCGGCCTCAAGCCCGACGTGTGACGAGGACACAGCAGTGAAATCCTTAAGACGTGGTCAAACTCCTGCACTTTATATGTTTGTCATTATTTTGTACATCTTGTGTTGGTTGCTTCAGCCTTAGATTATATAATACACTGATCTTTTCTAGATGCCTGTGCCTTTAAACAAAGATGTTTTATAGCAGCGTTGGTTAGAAATGCATCAACATTGAGTGGAGCATAAAGAAGAGTTGTTTTCTGTTTGTATTTTGATATCAGTGCTACTTTATTTAAGTTTAGCTTTAACTTAATCCGTGTCAGAATTGTACAAATACAGACGTCAATGTTGAGTTTGTGTTTTGCACTTGCTAGCCTGTTTGATAAAGAGTATGTATTGAAATATAAATCTGATAAACTGCTTCAACATTGTTTTGTGGCCTTTACCTTTACACATCTCACACATGGAAACACACACAACAATCATTTTTGTATTTATTTATCAGTAATAAAACACTCTGTAGCAGTACATTGAACGAACACCTCACATTTGCGTAATCTTTTATGGCACATAGTAATAATACCCTGCTTGCTTATAACTTTATGGCAGTGTCAGAGATCCAGTCCCCTGAGAACCTGGCAGGTCTAGGCTGAGTCCGTTTTCTTCTTTTTATGCAAGCCCTTAAGTTATTAGAACATTACAGTACATATAGTGTACCACTCCTTCAGCAGTTTCACACAGTGCAGATTGAGCTATGGAAAAAAAACCTGTTATTCAGACTCAAATCGCTCCATTAAAAAGATAAAAAGCACTTAAATCTGAGATATCTTTAAATACTGCAAGCCATAATAAAACAGTAGTATTACTTGTTCATATAAATTAACTTACCATACATTTTGAGCCACCAGTATTTGTTATTAGTATGAAATGAAAATCCTCTATATTAGTTGGTGTCACCGCTCCATAGATCTGACCTGTATCGTCCTGGTGGTGATGTCACATGAGATTTTCAGTGTAATTCACTTTTGTTTTAAGCATTGATCATGTAAGAGGCCACAACAAAATAATGAAAACGAAATTATATAAATAAATAGGGCGACAGTAGCTCAGTTGGTAGAGCATTGGCCTTAAGGCCAGAAGGTTGTGGGTTCAATTCCCACCTCTGCACCTTCTCCACCGACTCCCACTGATGACTGCTGTCGTTGTGTCCTTGGGCAAGACACTTAACCCCACTTTGCCCAAAAGCCCCAGCTGAAAGATCAAGGCTATGCTCACACTCAGAGAGCAGCCGTTCTCCTGTGGACTCACCACCTGCAGAGGGTCAGTGAGGGGCTGGTGCTATGAGACTTGGGTGGCATCTCTGATTGCCACCCCCCTGACCCAGAAATGGATTAAAGGGTAGAAAATGGATGGATGGATGGAAATTATATAAATGTTCTGCGTCATGTTGAGGTCACAAGCATCAACTTCCTATTTATAAAAAAAAACCGAAAACAATGCAGGTCCACTGGGACGAATTTGGAATTTTAAGATCTATATTTTATCAAAGTTGTTGAAGCTACAGTACCTAATTTTTATACCACAAACAATTAAAATATGAACAAAAACCCTTAGATCAAAGTCTTGTAGATCTCAAAACAGTTTTCAGTGTTGCTCAATACATGTTACAACTGATAATCACTGATCACAAAACATTTGAGGAAAACATTTATAATCAAAAGTAATGTAACTAATGTTTTAACTTGAAAAGCCCTAAACCTAATATTTTGTATCACAGTATAGACTACTAGAGTAATAATATCTACATCTTTAGATCAGCATTTTCAGACAGAAAAGTGTAAAATACAGTACCACCTTCCCTTAACAGATCAGCTCCCGTCCCAAAGAGTCCAATAGTGACTCGCAGGGCAAAAGATACATAACATATTTTTCTAATAATACGAAGGCAGCATGTTATGGCCCCATTTGTTCCCAACATTTTGCTTTTACCTCATGTCGGGACGAAATCATATTATTGATTATGATAAAAATCTCTGCTGCACACTCGGAAGTTTTGCAAATGTATTCCAAAGTGGTTTTACTGCAAATGGGATAAAAACAAATATCTAAATCTGCAGTTAGCTCAGCTTTTACATGGTGTTTTTGTATCACATGATTCAGTATTGCACTCCTCCCATATTGCCCGCCCCTAGAATGAAAGACTTAGTTCCATGATAGAGACTGATTAGGGATTTTTAGTCCAGTTTGAGCTCCTCGGCCTCCTGCGTGGGGACTGCAGTCTGGACGGGCAGGATGAGGCCCAGGAGCCAGCGGGTCCCGAACACGTCCCTCAGGTTGTTCCTCCAGGGGCTGTGGCAGTCCACCAGCTCGCCCCTCTGCAGCTGGCACCAAGTCTGACCCCGGGCCACCAGCAACACCTGCTGGCAGCAAAAGCCCGCGCACACCAGACCGATGCCCAGCCACACGTACAGCATCAGGACCAGGAAGAGGTGCAGGCCTGAGATGGTGCCTGCATTCAAGAGACAATATTAAGAATGAGAATTATTTGTATTGTATTGTAAGTAACCAAAGTCCCAAAGTGGACTGCAAATAAATGATAAAACATGAGGTAATGATGGCTTGAATCGAGTGGTTTTGATCGTAATTTGAGAACAAGTTTGTTTGTCCCATTGGCAAATCGTGTTTTAAGGCAGTCAGGATGAAGGAATTGGTATTGGTTCAGTTATAATGAAGTAAAAACAAGTATAAGGCATGCATGAAAAAATAAAAACAACATAACATTTCCTAAAATTACTGCTACAAGTGCACACTAAGCAAACACAATAGGTATTTAACAGTGCAAAGAGAGATGGTCACTTTCAGGAAACTTCTCAGCCTCTCAGACTCATTTTCTGAAGTTTTATAGGTGATATAATTATAATGGAACTAGAAAATAATGCTTCTGCTCAATAACAATTAATCCATTGACAAAAAAAGAATTATTAAGCAACTTTTTTTTCTGATTTCATGTTTTAGAAAGTAGAACATTTTCAGTGAAAGGCAAAAAATGCTTCCCTCCTGTAACTCCCTGTGCTACCACCAGAGGGAGCTAATTACAGCTAATTACCAGCTGAAAATCTCAAGGCCGCTTGACCCACTGCAACAGCTAAATAACCGCGGCTAATCCAAGTATCAACAGCCTGGTCATAGACAAGGGGGCGGAGCTCATTCCGCAGACTGTTCATGAGGCATCCGGCCTTGACATTAAAGGGGTCTATATGAGCCAAAACATATTATCAGTCTATGATCACAGCTGTTTTAACACAACAAAAAGGGATGAAAAATAATAAAAATACATCTCAAATTTGGCTAAATGTATCCTAATTTGAGCATTTTTTTACTGCCTTAAAACAAGATCTGCCAATGATACAAGCAAAATTATCTTGTTTTAAAAAAATACGAGAAATGTCTCACTTGGAATGAGAAATAAATAAAGCCACCGTTTTGGAAATAAATATAAAAGACAGTCAGAATGAACTCAAATGAAAATCACTCCATTCAAGCAATTATTACCTTATCTTGTATCGTTTTTTGCTGTGTAATTTTGTCTTGAAGCCACACTTACCCATGAAGAAGTGCCCCGTGGAGAGCGGCAGCAGCGTGAGGAAGGTCAGCGGGTTCCGGAAGCACACGTCGTACTCCAGCGTCAGAAAGGCCACGCCCAGAACCAGCGAGTACAGGCAGGTGCAGGACGTGTAGACGCAGAACATGATGAAGTACCTCATGTTCCTGTTGCCGATGCAGTTCCCGGTGAAGAAGCAGTGGTGGTCCCGCTTCAGGATCACCTTCTTGCACAGTTTGCAGAAGTGGCGCCCGTTCAGCAGGTAGTGCGCGTCCACCTTGTCGGAGCAGTGGGGCGAGCACACGGGCACGGCGCTCTCGTTGGCGCTCTCGGCCGGGTACTTGATGGTCATGACGTAGTTGCCCAGTGCGTTGAACATGAGGAAGAGGAAGGCCAGGGCGTGCAGGGCCGTGCCGGAGCTCCCCAGGGCGCTGTCCGGCCCGGGGAAGATGGTGGGGATGAAGAGGTAGAAATACAAGATGAAGGTGACCACGGTTGCTACGGAGAAGTAGGCGGGGGCGACGGCGTTCAGCAGCCGCAACTTGACCATCCGGGTGAACATGGCTACGGGGCAAAACAGTGGAAGGTCAGGGAGACTTTTTTGTTATTTGGGGGTCTGAATGTTTAAAAGACAGATATTGGGTCACACTTTAGTTTATCCCTTACTAATTAACAGCTAAATATGTGCTAATTAGTGTTAAATATGGTTTATTAGTTATGAGGGTTTGGAATCGGGTTAAGGCCAGGATTAGGGATAGGGTACACTAATTAGTACTTAATTAGCTGTTATTTAGTGAGGGCTAGTTTAAAGTATTACCCAAAATTGTTAAATTAGTTGGTTGAGTTTATGTGGCATTACAACATTTCCAAGAAACTGTAGTGTATGGGCCCCGATAAAAACTTGGTAATTCGACCCGGGCTTAGAAAAATATCCACATTTTGTTCCCATTTTTTTTTCTCAAATATGCAGTTAAGAGTCAGAATCAGGTCGAGGTGAGGGGTAGGAGGGTTAGGAACAGTTCATTTTGTTAAGGTTGGGGTGCAGGCTTGCAGCGAGACAAATAAACAAGATTTTCAAAAGTCCCGCAGTTTAAGATTGTGGTGGAGGGCAGCTAGGCTTTTCTGTGTGGAGTTTGCATGCCTTTCCCTGTTTCTGGAAAGGTTTCCTCCTGGGGCTCCGGTTTTCACACATCCAAAATCACGCAGTTAAAATCCTTCAACCAAGGACCTGACCAAGAGCATTAACCTACCTCTGCAGATGGGCCCCCAGGTGCTACACTGCAACAACCACTGCTGAAAGAGGCCCCTGTGGCTTTGAGAGATGGGTCAAATAAAGAGGACACATTTCCCTATATATATATATATATATATATATATATATATATATATCTATATAAGTATATATATACACTCTGAAAATTTGAATAATAATAATATAATATTGTGAGAATAGTACATTTTAACATTTTTTTTGTTTCCAATGTACGATATCCCTGTCTTTCGTCATATTTAGTACACAACAATTACACAAGACATCTCAACAAGCACACTATGGCCAAACATCCTCGACTCTTATCCACTTACAGAGACTTCCACTTCCAGCCTCTTGCCTGTGTGATGCTGCTGCCTGTACTTGATGTTGGAAAAGCTCATTTTGTGAAATTGGGTCTGGGGACTCTCAGGGGCCATCGACAGGGCTAATAATACCACGCTTAGCTGCTGCTCTGCGCTCTGCCTCAGCCTCACACACTCCCATCAACTCTGAGACAGTCACACAGAACCCAGGCCACTGCTCTTTCACGCCGAAGCCACGCGCACCCCGCTTTCTCCACAACAACACTGCACAATGATGGAGACGGTGCTGATGCTGGCGTCAAGGCTGTCTCCATGGTAACGCAGGAGGCAGAGGATGTGGTGTGTTACCTGCAGCAGGAGGAGGAGGAGGTGCACACACAGCAGCTGTCTTCAGAGCGTCCACAGCCTCAGAGCTCTCGGCGTCCTGCAGGTTCAGGGTTCATCCACAGCGGTAGTGGAGCTCCAGAGACAGATCCAGGCACACGCCACTGTTTCATCCTCACACTGACTGAGTGCCTGTGCCACTGTAGTGCCCCCTGCTGGTCTGGATGGGGAGGCTGCAGTGAGGGTAATGGAGCATATGTTTTATATTTTTTTCTACCCTAAAAACAAGTGTTGGTCTGACTACAACATACACAATTATTGCATTGTTAATAATTTCCTCATATATTCAGTTAACTCAACTCTTTCTTTCTTTCTTTATTGCTTATGACCATATAGTATATGGTATGGAGCATAAGTTTCAAAAAATAAAAAAATAAAAAAAACAATCAATTTATGGACCTTTTTTAAAAATGCACCAAGTTTACAAATGATTCTGAAGCTTCCATTGTGCAAGTGCCAACATGTTTTTCATTGATGGGTATTTGACATAATACAGAGGAAGACATCTGCCTATGTATACAATAACTTCAATATTCAAGCATTAAAAACACAAAGTGAAACTTGTGCAAAGGTTACAAAAACGTGCATGTCTGTTGATGGCCTTGAATCGTCCATTGATCCCATTAGTCGTTTTTTGATGGCTGTAGAACGTGGGAAACAGTTCAGTTTTTCATATCCATGTGAACCATGTTTTACTGATTGCTATTCCCATCGGTGTGTACGAAACCACTCATGAGATATATGGATATATGGCTCCTTACACTGCCAAAACTGATGAAAAATAACAAAAAAATGCTCACTGTGGGTCCTGCTGAGGTTTTAACTTTTTTCTGCTGAGTTTTCTTTGACGATGCAGGGGGGTCTAAGGACAGGGTTACATAAATTTCGCAATATTTTTTCAAGACGAAACAATGAATATACATGCACTCTCACACACACAGGTCCAGAAAATTAAGATCAGATAAAAACCAACATTCTGTACACCACCTTTCAGCATAATGCTTAACCCCTCACCCAAATGGACCAATGACCCATATGTTTTACTTTGATATGTCCTTGTGTTCTAATTGTTTTATTTTCGAATCTACTGTTGGCAAATTGGCTCTTGTGTAAAATTCTTCGAGATGACTGCTTTTGTGATTTTTTGTTGTTGTTGTCAAAAATACATTTATTTGAAAACGACATCTTTATCGACATTTGTGAACTTACCAACCTCCCATATCCATCCACAGCTTGCAGTCCTGAAACAATACAAATCTGGGAGTACTGAAGACAAAGTGTAAATTCACGCTAACTAACACGCTGCATATTATAAATGTTTGAAGACACAGGGGTGGAACTATCCTTTGAGAAGACCTGCTTTGTTCTACTGCATCAAAGAGGAAAAAAAGAAGGAAATACCTCTGTAGTATGTGATTAAGTGATTGTGAGCCACTGAATATGGGGCCGCAACACATTACTGCAGTCTTTCTCAAATCTAAGGAGAAATGAGACATGCTGGTTTGTTATATACTAATAGAACCCTGACTTTTTCCTTTTAAAGTGTGTGTTGTAGCTTTAAAAGAGAGAGATTTCTATTTCAACTTTATTAATCTTACAACTTATACCCACATACATGAATTCCAACTTCATACACAAACACCACATCTTTGCATATATTTTACATTCAGTAGAGTGTCACGTCTTTGCACAAGCTGTACAGTTAGATAAAGGGGGCAGGGGGTGACCAAACACAGACACACCTCCAATAAACTATTTCTATTGGACTGTTTAAAACTGGGGTACCAAACTTTCAAACCACAAACATTATCCATTTCCATTCCATCCATCCATCCATCCAACATTAGATTATGCAAAATTCCAGCTTCTTCGCTCTCAATACATTTTTGAATCTATCTCTAGTTTTCACATGTCATTTTTTTCCTCTTGTTGCAGAAAACAATATGTTTTCTAATGAGATGAAGACCGAATGTTGTTGTCTTGACTTCACAACATGACGCATGTGCGAAAGGGGAAAATAAGTTGGGTACCCTACCTTTAAATTGGACAGAGGATGAACTATCAGTTATTTAAAACATAAAATACCATAGTGGTCTACCAAAAAATAGGTAGGCCACTATTTAACCCTTAAACATTAAATCCTTGTAGAAAACAATGTATTTTCTTATTTTTTTTTTATTTTCAAAGATTTAGGAGCACTAATACCATATATTTGTTTTTACGTTTTTTTGCAACCCTAAGTTTTTTTTAATTCTAGGCCTTTACCAAGGGATTGAGATGCAGATTTATGGTAAAAGTGCCTCAAACCAGGTCTGAAAGATGCCCCAAACAGGTATAGATTTCAGTTCCAAGCTTCAAGTAGATATAGTGACTCAAAAACCATTAAGGCTTATCTCAGAGACATCTTTTTTTTTTAGCTCATCCAATTGCTTTTCCTGTTTATTCCCATCTTCAAATCAAGAAGATCACTTGACGACGCTCCCTAACGCGTGACATATTGTGCCACGGTCCCTACGCGGGTGGGAGTTCCTCTTGTTGTACAGTAGCTCCATCAGCAGCAGCAGCAGCATCAGCATCATCCTCAGACGTCTTTCGCATCAGGACTAGCTCTCTTAGGTGAGATTTTCTTTACTAAAAAACATCTCTGCTCGTGAATAATTCCTTGGGTTGACTCGCGGGGGCTTTTCACTGCGCTATTTTGGGCGTAATCGCTTCCATCAAGTTGCACGGCTGGAGGATCCACGGGTTGACTGCGGGTGAGCCATAGCGGAGTAACCAAGCTTTGATTTCACCTAAAAATATGCTTTTGTCATGTTTGGGGATAAAGCTTCAACTTATTCGTTCAGCGGAATGCCCATTACGCAGTGCCTTTGTGGCTACATGCTTTTTGTGTAATGGGAGTGCGTCTGACAGCGTGCCTGACTACATCCACCTTATAATAACACCTATTGTTCATTACGTAGACAAGTGCAAGTCGACACCTTCGCTTATCCTACGTCCATGGCGCGCATGTCCATATGTAGACCGTTTAGTTTGAACTGGTTTTGTCATGTCATTTATAGTTTGCGCTTTCTCCAAGAAGACACAAAGCCCTCTTGGTTTCTAGCCAAGGCAGGGGCATCTATATTCAGACCTGTTGATGCCTTGCCTTACCTATAGTCTAAAATATGAAAAGCAAGCAGCGTATGTGTGTGTGTGTGTCTATACATAATCTAAGGACACGTCTCTGTGTAATATACGTGCACTAATTGAAATCCAAACGTGTGTCCTTGCCATTTGTAGGCTGTATAGTGTGGCATACAAGTGAATCCAACTCCTCAATTTGCCTGTGACTGTGATGAAGCATGCCCTTTGAAAATGCCACTTGTATAATGGGTCTTCGAAGTTATCGCGGAATTGCTTTGATAAATTAAAGGGGAGGTATCTAACTTTCAAAACACAAAAACGGATCTATGAAAACAATCCATGTAACTAGTTGCTGGTTCTAAAATAGTTTGGTTCAATCACTAGTTCTCATATGCATCTAAATTTGGCCTCTGCCACATCTCTATATATAAGATTCGCAACATTATGCGTTTCCAGCTATAATCTGTATTGTTCAAACTGTAATATTAATGAAAATAACAAACAGTGTAGGTTCCCCCTGCTTTAACAAAGAGAAATGGATATACAATTATAATTCAACTATTTTCAGATCGCTCGGGATTGGAAAGCTAAGTGAACTAATGCATGTGGTGCACGTATGAATATTTAAACAGTCCGTCAGTGGTTGCAAAGAGTGGTCTTTAAAGTGGATTCCATGGGTGCGTAATGGCAACAGCTGCAGATCTAGAGGCCAGGGCGACATCTGCGTGCGTGTGCAAACAGGAGTGATAGGCTGTTTTCTTGTTTCAGCACCAGCAGCAGGTGGACAGCTCCTCCCCGGTCCCACTGATCAAACAGAGCAGCTTCCGAGCACAGGTGTGGAAGAGGCCTCATATTATTATTGCAACCAAATCTCTGTCTAATAAAGTCAACACCAAGAGCACTGGGCTATATCTGGAAAGGTGTTGTTGGTAGGGCTGAATGATTCATCGCTATCGAAGCAAAATTGCAATCTGTGTGGTCGCAATTGGTAAATTGTGAAGCCTGTGATTATTATATTTGTGTGAAAACCAAACCAGGGACTAAAGATGGGAAACACATCGCTTGAATTGGGAAAATGCTTATTAAAGCTGCATTATATATTGATATTTTTGCATATTTGACCTTATAGTGACCAAGAAGTGGTCTGTAGGATGCAGTAGGATCTGTTAAGGCTTTCTTTGCTGTGGGACCCTTGGAGCAGCTGGTGACGTTGTCAATGTCAACGTCACCAGCTGCCCAAAGTGCTTCACGTGCACGAAAGAGAAAATATATAAGCAAACAGCATAAAATACATGCACATACATGTAAAAACTCAAACTCAGTTGGTGTTAAAAGCCAAGGCGTAAAAATGTGTCTTTAAACTAGATTCAGGATCTGCTCTAATGTACAGAAGTCACTATTCCACAGTTTGGGGGCAGCAACAGAAAAGGCCCGGTCTCTTCGAGTCTTTAGGCGAGACCTGGGCACGATCAACAAAAGCTGGTTAAGGCCCCATGATGCCCACTCATGCCCACTGGGTCACTAAGGTCAAATATGCCAAAACATCACATTTCTTTCACTGAAGAAGTTGAATAATGCATCTTTAATTTTAGAGTTTATTCAGATGACTCTTGATTGTCTCTTGACAGAAACAAACAATGGGAAACAAAGTGCTCCTCATTCACACAAAAAACGAAACACAACAAATGCCAAATACCATGAACTCGACAAAATCTGTGTGAGGAGTTGGAGACAAATGCCCACAATTGTAAAGTGCTTTGTGACTCTGGTATGTGAAAGGCGCTATATAGATAAAGATGACTTACTTACTTACTTGTTGTCCTCTGTGGCAGTTATGGATGAGGTTCTGTCTCCTCTCCGATGGTAAATATGCCCTTTCTTCTTGGCAAAAAGCCTCCAGTTCCTGTAATTTCCTGGGCCACCTCGTATGAACTGTACATTTGACCTCTGGCTCACCCGTCCTGCTTTTAGTTTATTGAAGTTGTTTTGAATTGGTAAATCTTTTAGTCTGGGTTTAGTCAGGATCTGGTCCAAGGTTAGTTTCAAGTACAGATGTGTGTGTACAAGTGAGAACACAGCTGCATTTACCTCAAATAGATAGATACAGTATATATATACTGTAGTGGGTTTACATAATTCACCCATGGAACTTTGAATTTCCTTGTGTATGAATTGTGCTATATAAATAAACTTGCCTTGCCTTGGTGTGTGTGTGAATGGTTGGTGGTGGTCGGAGGGGCCGATGGCACATACTGGTTGCCTCACTTCTGTCAGTGTGTCCCAGGGCAGCTGTGGAGTGAAAGAATAATGACATGTGAAGCGTCTTTGAGCGTCCAATTTATAATAATGACAAACATCAGTCGCTGAAACAGTCCAGGACATCTTTGTTGTTTGTCCTTTGTTTTTGTTTATTATTTGATTATAGAAAATCCCCTTTTTTGACAACATTATGTCTTCACCCAACCACTTACAAGGTACGGGTAAAAACATGTTCGTGTAATCTCCAAAATTTGTCCCAAAACAGTCAAATCGCTGGTTGGACCCTTAAAATGTACTTTTTTTTTTCTATTGACGCAGGATTTCCGAAAACTCAACGTATGAAATGTGTTGACACTAAACTCGGGGAAACAGTTTGCGTAGATCTGTGGATGAATGAGAGCCCAGCTTGCGCACACTACCCACGGCTTTGGAACAGATTGCTCATAGTAATAGTTTGGATGGAGATAGAAGAACACAGGAGTACCGCAGTGCTTTGCTATTCCACCTGGTTCTGACGTGTACCACAGGCGCCCTTTGTTCTTTTTCAAGTTTGGCTGAAGGGAAGAGGCTGAGGCAGAGGCGTCTGTTTGAAATTCCTGCTGTGAACTTACATAGCTGTTCCTCCGGGGCCTTGCTCACTGAATTGTGCACTAAAGAGCGTCGGTATTCACTTCAATGTGTTGTTGTGTATTATGGGTTTGTATTTAAGATTCATCCGAGCAGTTTGTGGGTACGCATTGGAATGAGGGCTGCACGATTGATAGCTCTATTCTACGACTGCTCTAATAGTAGAAAAACAAGGGAAAAGAAGCAAATTCTTGTCTATTTCTCTCTATTTTTATATTTGTTCTTTACATTTGTATAAGCCTTGATGTGATTATGTGTTTTTCCTGTCTGTAGATTACTAAAGATATACAGTTTGTCAATCCAAAGTATTGGGGAAAGACCTGAATTGTTGTAGAGTTTTCGTGACTGTGTGATATATACGTAGTTGAGCAGAGGCGTATATCAGAGTAATATCACTAAATAAGATAAGATAGAGGGGACATTATAAAATCATTGTTGCGCACATACAAATGAAAAAGAGTAAAAGGAGGAAATACGTGCTCTCTAATTGCATACATCCAACAGGCTCTATTATTCAAGATAATAGATAATATAAGAAAATAATTAGATAATAAAACACGAAAAAGTAAAACTCTGGAGCTACAATTGCACTTTGTTCGACGATTTTACACTAGTGGTCAGCAGGAGGTATTTACAATGTTTATATTGTCCTTTAGCAGCAGAATAACCAATAACAGCAGCAGGTAAAGTGACTGGTGAATTATCAGAACTGTGTGTAGACTCAGCAGTTCTTGTTGTACAGTCTGACAGCAGCAGGAAGGAAGGGCCGCAGAACCTCTCCTTCACTCAGCGAGGGTGAATAAGTCTGTCACTGAAGCTACTCTCCAGAGCAAAAATGACACTTTCAAAAATCAGATAGATTATTTGAAAGGGGCGATGCTCAAGTTGAGTAAGGGTGCGGCTTGTGCCATTTTGATAATCAGAATTCCATGTCAGTCGTTGATGCCAGATGGGGCTCAGACAGAAACATCCCAGACGTCCCACTGAGCATGAGCAGAAGCAAATCTCTGAAAGCAGCACGATCATGTACTGGCTCAACAGCACAGTTAACTGCACCTTTATAATCTATGATGTTCTCTTCTTTTGTCCATCTGAGGGTCGTCTCAGGGCAAAACATTTATTTGAAAAGTCCATTTTGTACCGGCCTCTCTAACATTGTACAACATTAAAGAGATCTGTACTAAATAGATTTTTGGGGCTTTTGGTTCATAATGTTCTTTCTGCTAATACGACTTTGCACAGGTATTGAATAGACCCTGATGGTATTGAGCCTTCCTTCCGGATTTCATTCTGCAAATGTGTTGAACACATTTGGGCCTTCAGCCGTTCATTACATATTGTGTCAGATTGTCGAGATACAACCTTTGTCTTGAGAGCAACACACTTTCTTCAGATCATTTATTAGTTGAGACATTTTTAAATGTATTTCCAAGTAATCAAATATATTTGTATTCATATTCATAGACCATGGCAGCTATGAACATATTACAACTGTTTTCAAGGCCTTCTTTGTCGAGGTGTGATAATTAGCTCTTATATCGACCATTTTTTCCAGAATATTGTTTTTAAAATATATGTTTACTAGTCAAATTATTAGTCTAATCTAACAGGTCAAAATGCAACTGCTGTACCAGCACTAGACCAGGGGTGTCCAAACATTTGAGTAACGGGGCCACTTTACCTGACCCGACAACTCGGATTGTAAAACTGTTTTGACTGGATTTGGGCTGTTCTAAGCTTTATAATTAGCTACAGTATAACAAAGATTAATTTGGCTGAATGATCAATGCTCACCATCTCACCAGCTACATGAACACATCCTGGTTCTGAGCTTTACATTTACAACATGTCTAAATTGGTGGAGCTGAAGTCGGCTGGATGACACTGTGAAGTTTTGTTTATGATCTCAAAGATTACTTTACTGTAGGTTAGCAGGTCAGTGGGCCACATGACACAGGGCTGCAGAGTTTGGATATGTCTGGCCTAAAAAAACAGCTTAGTTTAGTTTGGTTAATTTAGTTCATTGTTAATTTAAATCACAATAGACTTTAGTATCAAATCACATAAAACTCAAATCATCATTGATTGGCGTCTATCTGCCTCAGAAAGTCTGCACAGTGAGAGCTATTATTTTGTCTATTGGTTTGATAAGACTATGCTTCATACATTTAACAAAAGTTAGGTGATGAAGATTATTCACATTTTTGACACCAATATTTTCATTTTAACTGCTTATTAATATTGGGTCTTGATTGTGGCACGTCGAGCCTCCTTTTCTACTAAATATTGGTATTGCACTGAAAAAAACAAATTGGTCGACTCCTAACATTGCCATTTATACATATTACATCCATCAATCAATCAACCTTATTTTCTAGGTTTTCATGACATAAATCATACATATTCAAATAACACAAGAGATTCAAATAATTAATAAACACAATGGATTAAAAAGATTATAGATTAAAAAATGTCAGTTGTATGCACAGGAAAACAGAACTGCCTTCAACCTGGATTTGACACACTCCTGTCTCACACTTTCGGGAAGACTGTTTCATATTTTAGCTGCTTCAATCTGAAACGCTGCCTCCCCATGTTTAGTCCTGACCCCGGGCACCAGCAGGAGTCCAGTCCCTGTGCTCCTCAGAGTCCGAGCCGGTTCATATAGCACCAACATGTCACAGACGTACCTAGGTTTGAGGCCATGGAGAGACTTGGAGGAAAAAGCTAATTGCCTCCTGTCGCTGTACCGCGTCTGTATTACAAAGCAATCAGAGTTAACCCAAAACAAAGTCCCTCAGCGCCTCACACAGACAGAATCTCTCATTGTTCCGTGTGTCATATCCTCTTCCGGCTGTTCCCGTGACGGCGTTGGCAGAAATGTCAAATCTTCCGTGGGTGTGTGGTGTGCAGGTGCAGACAGGCGGCCGCTCTGTAACAGATGAGAGGTGTGCGTACGAGAATAGCAGCAGTAGTGGTTCTTGGGAGAGATGAGCGTGTATATTTGTGTTTATGGTAATCGAGAGCGGCCGCGGAGGGTTTCAGTGTTTTATCAAGCGCTGAGTGACAGTTATGAGGTGTGTGTAGGAGCCACCGCTGGGATATTGTGCTTATTTATATCTTTGTGTGTTTATGTGTGTGTCTGTGGGTGTGTGTGTGAGTGTGATGAGCAGAATGTTTTGTGTTGGCCAGGTTGCAAACAGATGGAGAACCGATTCTGTGGATAAAATGCAAAGTAAACTTGTTATGTCAAAATAGGCCGATACAAAACATTAATCTCAGCAGCAGACTGGGGCTGGGCTCTTTGATTGTTTGACGATACTTATACGATGATTTGATACATAGAACGCAATACGATACATACTTATATTCAATTTATTATGATACACAAGGTGTTCTAAAAGGGGGAATGTTTATCAAATGTCATTGCTGGCAAAGATGTGGTGGCTCTACTCCCCACAGGCTCTGTTAGCGGCAAAGGAGATGGCTAAAGCTATGTGTGTTTTATGAATGATTCTGATTTGTGCCGTGTTGAAAGACAAATCTCTGCTCAATTTGAACAGACAATAAAGATCTATTCTATTCTATTCTATTCTAGGCTAATTGCTAAATGCTAGCGACTCACTTACAACGTCACTGAAAACTCAGATCCAATCGTTTCAATCTGCAAAAGGAGGTAACCCCTCCCACCTGTTCACGGAGCTCAATGGAGCAAATCCAGACCTTAGTATGAAATGAAATTTGTACGATGGTGGGGTAATACCAGGCTAACCCTGAACTAGTGTACACTATGTAATGGCAGTGGAAACCGGAGCACACTGAGGAAACCTACGTAGCCACAGGGAGAACATGCAAACTCCACTCAGAAAGGCCCTGTCTGGAGGTGGAATCAAACCCAAATGTCTTGTTTCGTAACATCTAAAAAGACGTAATCCAAAAAGTGGCTCGGTTGGTAGAGCATTGGCATTTGAGCCTGAAGTTTGTGGGTTCGAGCCCACAGTGAGACCCTCTCCCCCGATTCCCACTGACGTCTGCTGTCGTTGAGTCCTTGTATTCATCAAACTGAAATTTCCCCACTGTGGGACGAATAAAGGACCTTCTTTTTCTTCTTATACAGTGGGTGCCCAGGGCGACCCACTGGTAGAGCATTGGCTTTTGAGCCACCTCAAGACTTTCACCATCGACTCCCACTGTCTACTGTCGTTGTGTCCTTAGCAAGACACTTAACCTCTGGGAACACCTGATGCCACAGTGGGGCGGCTGTGGCTGTAAAGTGCAAAACTGCCGTTGTGTCCTGAGGCAAGACACTTCACCCCCACTGCCTAGAATGAGTCTGGTGTGTGTGTGAATGGTTGGTGGTGCTCGGAGGGGCCGATGGCACATACTGGTTGCCTCGCTTCTGTCAGTGTGCCCCAGGGCAGCTGTGGCTACAGTAGTAGTTTATCACCACCGTGTTTGGAGTGAAAGAATAATGACATGTAAAGCGTCTTTGAGTGTCCAAAACAGCGCTATATAAAACTGATGCATTATTATTATTATTGTTATTACCCCAGCTTTAAACGTGAATATTTTCTGCCATATCCGTAAGTGACTGGATTCCACTTGAACGCGGTGACTCCTGACCTTTCCATTTGCTGGAGGCCTTGTTTGAGCTCTTGTCACTACCACTGCTCCAGCTCCAGATGTTTTATTCCAGGACTAAGAGCAGATCATCTGAGGAGATAGATACAGCGTCTGCGGCGTCTTGACGACACTATTAAACCACCACACGGATTAGTTTGATTGGTGCGCTGCTATTATGTCGTTTGTGAGATTATAGGAGCTGTGTGCGAGTGCTGAGTCATGGCTGCGCTGACGTGGGCCCAAATCTGGTGTGAAAGAAACTGTGCTTCCTGCCCTGCTGTTTACAAGCAGACAATTAGATTAGTGCCAAATTAGATACATCAATTATGGAATTCTGCAAAAGGCAAATGTACTGCAAAAATATGATACAGTATGACATAATAATTGCTTGGTTTTAGTGGTAATTTTCAGTACGTTTCGACTAAAACAAGATTTGCCAATGGGACAAAGCCATTTAGTCTCATTTCAAAAACAGTTGCTATATTTCTTCATTCCAAAGGAGACATTTCTTGTATATTTTTAAAACAAGATTATTGGGTTTTTCCCATTAGCAAATCTTGTTCTAAGGCAATTAAAAGGTGCTCAAATTAAGATACATTTAGCCAAATGTTAGATGTTTTTAATTTCTTTTTACAGTGTGCACATGTTGATTTTGATTTAAACCTAATTAGTGTTTTTTACAATTTTTTGCAAATCTTTTACAAATTAAAAATTTGTAATATATAGAAGAGAGCTCGAGAAACTGGTAATGTTTTCTCCAACGCAGACAAGTCAAAACACGATATTGTTTCTAAAACTAACCCTAACTTCAGCCTTTTTTTATAAGTCACAAAAAAAATCGTGACTGTGGGAAGTGACAGCAAGAAACATATCCCCCTCTTTTTTTAAATAAGTTCTCTTTCCAAGTTTTTTCATAAAAAATAAAACTAAATGGAACTGCTATATGAAGTTGGGCTGTATCAAGTTCATTGATTGATTGCAAATAATTAATTATTGAGATATTTCTCACCGAAAGAACAAGATCGCAGATACAAGCGGTCGAAATGAGCTTCCTCCGCAGAGTGGCTGGGCGCTCCCTTAGAGATAGGGTGAGGAGCTCAGTCACACGGGAGGAGCTCGGAGTAGAGCCGCTGCTACTCCACGTCGAGAGGAACCAGTTGAGGTGGCTCGGGCATCTGTTCCGGATGCCTCCTGGACGCCTCCCTGGGGAGGTGTTCCGGGCACGTCCCACCGGGAGGAGGCCCCGGGGAAGACCTAGGACACGCTGGAGAGACTATGTCTCTCAGCTGGCCTGGGAACGCCTTGGGGTCCCCCCGGACGAGCTGGAGGAAGTGTGTGTGGATAGGGAAGTCTGGGCGTCTCTGCTTAGACTGCTGCCCCTGCGACCCGGCAACGGATGAAGCGGAAGAAAATGGATGGATGGATGGAGATATTTGTCAACTAATATACAAACATATTCCTTGTTTTTTGGTCTATCATAGACTCAAACATACTGAGAAGAGGTTTATTATACAGAAGTATTTTTCTAGTGTACACAGTGGAGTAACACAACCCCCAAACTGGCAGACTGGGCCGGCTGCATTACACAAACACTGAACAGCTGGAGTCTGGAACGGTCTTCCTGAGGATGTGAGACTGGCTGCCTCTCTGTCAATGTTCAAATCCATGTTAAAGACTTTTCTTTTTTCCCGTGCATACAACTAGAGAATTTTATCTTTTTAACACACCTTGTTATTTATTGTTGTAACTTTTTGTGTTTTTAACTATTTTATTGTTTTTAATTACTTGTGTGATTTTTATGTTTTTAAATTACTTATGTGATTTTAATGCTTTTTAATTACATATGTGTTTTTAATTGTATTTTAATGGTGATGATTTGTGCATTGTGTGGTGTGGACTGTGAGGCGCTTTGTGTTGCCCTGTGCAGGAAAAGCGCCCTATAAATAAAGATTGATTGATTGATTGATTGAACGTTGAATTTGATCCGTCCACTTTCGCCGGTTTATTGATTCCAAGTGCTTTTTGCAGTATCTACTTATGGATCTGGTCTATTTCTGCCTGTTCCCCCAGCCCTCACGCACATTGTAACACACCGCTGGAGGAGACACTTGCTGATATTATTTCTCAATGACCTGCCCTCTGCACCGGGGAGATGATGGAGGATATACTCACTGAATATTGACCCAGAGATTTCACAACTGGAAAGAGCAGAATGTGCTATTTTTTACACACCAGCCCTCCTCTGCTCGCTCCAGGCTGCTGTGCCACAAATAGAATAACATCCCAGACAAGCCGATTGTTCATCCGGCTACGTCCGAATTATCGCCAGATTTTTAATGGCTTTCGGATTTTTAATTGGCACGCAAAGAGGTTTGGCCTTTGATCCCCAAGATAGAAGTTATTTATGCTTCGGTCAAGAAAAAAAGTACATTTGGCAGAAAGAAATATGTGTAGGGCTTTGGCAGGAGCGAATAGGAAAATGCCAAATGGATCCGCGAGGCCTTCCATTGTTTTGTTTTGAGAATAAGAAAGACATTGTTGTAAAGCCTTCAGGTTAGCATTTAACCAAACCAAAGAAATAATAAAAACCAAAAAAATCTATCTACAAGAGGAAACCATGAGGACTTGCAACTTGAGACTGATTGTCATTCCACCGTGAAAATGAAACATGAAAATATTTTGGTTCTGAACAGGTTCTGATGCCTGTAACAACACCAAACACGAGATATATTTCTTTATCATGTGGCCAAATACCAGTATTGATACAGAATAATCTAAACTGGATTACCTAAAACCACAAACCATGTGATAAATGTTCCTGTGATAAAAATAGATGGTTCTATCACGAGTTTTCATTGTCACATCTTTAGTAAAGCCACCCACACTCAGCCAATCAGCTCTCAGTATACAAGACTTTTTTTCTGTGGGGACAAACATAATGTATTTATGAAATTTATGAAAAAAGAGGCATTCTAGCTTTAAAGGTGATGCCTGCAACTTCGATTGTATTTAGAAAAGAATACATATTTTTGACCGAATGACCCTGTAGTAATGATATTACGTATTTTTCATAATAAATATATTTAAAACACCAGTAACATTTGCTGGAGGAGAATATTCAGACCAATGGTGAGAGCCCTCAGCTGTCTATCAAGGGTTTGAATTTGAATTGTGTCCAATTAGGAAGTTGTGGAGGCGGGTCTAACTCCAGCTCACATCAGAAAAACATCTCTCCATCTTCTCAATTTGAAAAGAGACTGACCTTCACTTTAATGGCTCAATGATTTGTGAATTGAAATCTGAGTTCTATCAATACTATCGATGAGTGGGCTTCCTCTCCGCCGCCGTGAGCCCGTCTTTGGCCTCTGTGCTTTGGACATTGGCCTTCACAGCGGCACGTCTCACGCTGGAGTGACAGGGAGTTGTGGCTTTCGTGTCCCATCTGTAGTGGCATTTGTCAGCCGGGCGCAGATCGATGAGGCCTAATGGAGCGGGCGGACAGCAGCCTCATGCTATTACTTATACCAGCAAGACACACTCACACACAACTGTATAGAAAACTGCTTCTTTTTCTAATTTGCTTTTAATGATTTTCAAGTTGCATTTGTCAGTTATTCCGCAAAGATAATTTTATTCTTTAGATTTATGCGGAAAGGTTTCAAAAGGTTTTCTTTGTCGGCTTACATGTGTGATTCTATTAAAGCTGGGTTACTGACTGTAGAATTATATAAGTTTTATTATCATTTATAATATATTCAATGCATTATATATTCATTTTAATGAATATATAATGCATTGTCTTTAAACTAACTGTGTTGTCAAAGATCACTGTGATTAAGCTGACGGCAAAGGTGAATGCATGTTAACAGGTCAATGGGTTACTTGCTAACCGTTGTCTTTCATGTTTGCATTGTTAATGGATGTCTATTTGCCACTAAGTTTGGGTTGTGAAGTGACTTTGCTAAAGTGCAGTTTTTGGGTTGTCAGCAGGAGATAAGACTGGAAACCTTTTTAGGCTAAAATGGTTGAACTGTGTCAACAAACTAACTTTTTCGGCCATATGGAATCTTTGGAGTGACAATAATGTGACCATGATGTAGGTGTGGTTTTTTTGTCTAAATAAATAGGCCTGTGATACAATGGAGTTCAGTGCACGCACGGTCACAGCGCCCATAATCAGAGATGTGTAAAAATTATCCTTGTCTGTTGTGTATGTCAAGGTACTGTAGTTTATTACTAGCTTTGACATTTTAAGCTTTAACAGTTACCTATCTTTCTTTTCCCAGTATTTTGTATAATTATTAAATTTTAATGATATATTTGGTTAGTCCCAACAGAGAGAGTCTTGTAAAAGTAAAATGCTGTGAACAAATCAATCCACAACACACTGCTTTTATCAGAACAAATGTGAACTTTTGAATACTTGTTTAGAAGGAGCCATGTGAGGCACTATTTGACGCTTTGGGATGAGAGCTGATTGGCCGAGGGAGAGTGGTTCTTTTCTTTTTTCCACTTTTCAGACTGAAAAAGCTGATGCTAAAGCTAAAGATGTGACATGCATGCAGTGAAGGTTTTTGTTCACATACTGTAGTTCCTGTTTTGTGGTGTGAAAATTAGGTACCAGAGCTTTAATAAGCCTAGGAGATCATAAGATAACATAAGAGAACCGTTATTTGTCCCACAGTGGGGAAATTTCAATGTTGCAGCGCACACACTGGACAGTAGTAAGAGCAAACAGGGAGCACACAAGCTCTACAATAGACTGTAAGTAGTTGATATGATTCTTAGATAGATGTAAATGCCTCAATATCAACATATCGATATATTTCTATCTATATAAAAATGCAAACTCCACACAACAGTCCGCTCTCAGGTCATATTCGTTCCATGCAATAGTCTTCATAGCAAATGTGTTGTGCGTGTCCTTTCACAGGTATGTCCTCTCTCTGATGGCCGACCTTGTGCTCTCAGTGACCAGAGCGCCCCCTGTGGGTGTGAACATGCTGGAGGTGCTGAAGCGTGTGGCAGCAGAAGACAACAGCACAGAGGACAGATGTTTCCACGCTCACTCCCACAGCAGCGTCCTGGAGGGCCTGCCCTTCGGAGGCGTGCCCACGGTGCTGACCATCAACCTGCTCCTGTGGGCGGTGAGCTTTCAGTCTCACACGTGATACATGGTGCTAAATGTACTTCTTTGAGATGTGAATCATGGTATAACTGTGTTTCTAATTAAAAACAGACCTGAAGTTTTTAGCTCCATTCACTCTGACATCAGGAACTTCAACCACAGAAATGTAGTTCCGCCCTCTCTGTCTAAAATCACCTCTATCCGTCTTGTAACAGTATGATGTAAAACTATGACATCATACTCAGAGCAGTTATCTGCCCATTTATTAGTTTTGGCAATTACTAAATTAGTAATTACTAATTAAGTAATTACTAATTATCAAAATAGGTTCTTTACAATCACGTCTGCGTTTGCGACTTTTGAAATTGGAAACAGAAAAACAAATTCCAACTCCTCCCTCTGGTGGTAGGGATGGGAATTACAAGCATAAAGTATTTTTTTTTGTTTCCCTTCATTCTTGCTTCACCTTATTGTTTCTATGGAAGATATTACATCACATTCTAAACCTGCCTGGCTAAGATTCATGACTGGAACATGGCTCATCTGTAAATAAATCACTAGTGTGCAACATTTTAAAACATGAATTAAATAGTCTCATTTTTAATGTCCAAAATATTGTTTGATAATGATTATTTAATACCAAATACTGATTCAAATTGAAAAGAAGTAAACCCAAAACTTAAATCCTTGTCATCTATATTTTGAGTGAACGGCATGGGTTAGGGGACTATGAACTAGTAAAACACTGAAATTTCCCCACTGTGGGACAAGTAAAGGATCTCTTAATCTTAATCTTAATCTTAATCTAATGTACATGTTGGGAAAGTGGTTGGGGAAACCGGAGCACCCTGAGAAAATCTACGTAGACACAGGGAGAACATGCAAACTCCACACAGAATGACCTGCAGGTGGAATCGAACTCATGATCTTCTTGCTGTGAACAAGCGCTAACCACTGTGCTACTGTCCCGAGGCGGCGGGTGAAATAAACAAGATACAAAATAAAAACAATTAAACAAGACATGATATAAACATAATAAACCCATTGATCAACCACTTGATCAAGTGTAGAATGTATATTCTACACAAATACCAAAATCACTTAAAGTATAACAACAAACAGTTATTATCATCACATCTGCTCTTGATGCGTCTCTAAGAATAGCTTCAGAGTTTGTCCTCAGAGCTCGAAACATCACTGATCATGTACATTTTGACGATGTAGAATGAGCACGATACTCTCTGTCGCCTCGTTAAGCCTCAGTTCCTCAGTGCTCTGTTACCACGACAACCCAACATGTGTCCTGATGATGGCATGAGTCAAAGCATGCGCACCACACCTCCCCCTAGTGTCGGGAGCACGCCTCTGCAGCAGCTACACCACAGTGAACAGCCCCCATACCTCATGAGACATCCACAGCATCACAGACACCCAAGGACTCATTTTATTTATACACTTTAAAACTGGGGTATCTTAAAGCTGGGGTACCTAACTTTGTCCAGAAATAGAACCTTTGTGTTGTAAATTGTAACCAAATTAGACCAAAACATGCTGTCTTCATATAAATGATAGATGAGAATAGCATTTCTTATATGAAAGAGCCCTGTGAACTTTGACTTCTGTGGGCTGAGAGCTGATTGGCTGAGTGAGGGCAGTCCTCTCTTTGGCATGGCATTACTGTTACTAATATTAACGGTTAAATACTGTATCACTGAATCACATTATGCCTTCGTGATATCAGGATTTAACCGAATGTTCCTGTTAATTCACTTACAACAAAAACAGCATTTTAATGTTGATTTCGTAGTATTACACCATACAGCATACAGGTTTAATCCTTACTTATTTGTGATTTTATAACTGAAATACTGTAAATTTAACACCCCATTTTTCCTCAGCTTTGGGCATACACTTTAGAATTGATCGAGTCGCCCTTTAGCTCAGACTTTGGTGTCAAGCCAGGGCCACAAAAAAGCTTTTCTTCTTCTGTGTCAACCTGAAAGATTGATTGGTTTAGGGAGTTTCCTCTTGTCTTCCTCTTGATATTTGGTTCTTCTACACCAGACAATAAAAACTCAGAGGAAGATGGCAGTATATCATCAAAACATGTCAAGGTCAGAACATACCTTACAATCCTCTGGTTTAGAAGAAGCAAAAATCGTTATGAATGAATGATTGTTCTTCTAATGCCGACCACTGCTTGGGAGAACATGTTTCCACATCCGTCGCCCCGAGGTGAAGATTGTTTAGCAGAATTGTTGACGCTTCCAGGGCACTTCACAAGCCTAAATTCTATTCTCCCATAATTCAATTCCCCGCTCTGTTTTTAGCCCCCTCTCCGCTGCGACAGAATCGATCGCCCCAGTCGGCTCCTGCGTGTGCACTTCCCTCTTCTCTGTAGGAAGAGGAAAGGCGTGTACAGTATTCTCAATTTATTCTCACACTTCATCCTGTAAAGCGTTTCTTAGAAGAAAAAAAATATCTGGGAAACTGTGCCTCACTAAAGGGGCTGTCTGTAATATTTCAACTTTAAATCTAAATCTTTATATGTGTTGCCAGATAATAGGTCAGTGTCTATATTATCTATTTAAACATAATAAATAATAAATAAGTTCTCAGATATAATTCAGGGTTTGTACCATTTCTATCTAAACTCCAGCAGGTGGATTGGACCAGTACTCAGTGCTTAGGAGTTGGATTAATAATAATAATAATAATACATTTTATTTGTGGGCGCCTTTCAAAATTCCCAAGGTCACCTCACAGGCAGTATAAAAACAGTATAAAACACACATTTAAAAAAATAAATATTGTATTGACTTATATAGAGGGCATATCCTTTAATTTGAGACTTGCTTAATTACAGCAAAAACATTTGAATAGTTTTCGGTTAAAATCCATTTATATGACAGTTATTAAATGAATAACAGTTGAATTAAATTAAATTACTTGAACAATACTCTAATTTTCCCAGTTTGATTGTTCTTTCACTCCTCTGTACATTCAGATTAGATTTATAAGGTGCCAGAGAGAGCCATAAAATCCAACATGCATATGAATACAAACAGTGCTTTTAAAATGGAATCAAATATTTTAATTCATAAACGTTGACGAGGAGAATGTATTTATTTGACACCAAGTCTATCTGCTCTAGTGTCGTTCAAAGAAGACGTTGACTGAACGAGGTAAAAATATGTGAAAGGGATAAAAGCCGGTGTGCTTCCATCTGTGTCAGTTTCCAGGGCAACCGTATATTTCTCTTAAGGGTGACATCACGCCTGGATGTGTCTCTCTGTACGGCAGTAACAGGAAGTGCTTCTTTACAGTTTCTGCTGCTGATCTTCTCGTGTCTGAGGAAAGCCGCCTGGGACTACGGCCGTCTGGCTCTGCTCATGGAGAATGACAGGTGTGTGTTCGGAGAGGGAGGAGTCAGAAATGTAAACACACAGAAATGTAAACACCACAAATGGACTTGGACATGAGCCTGGTCTGGAGCATGGACAGTAGCCCGGACTGGAGCCTGGTCTGGGGTCTGGTTTAGAGCCTGGTCTGGGGTCTGGTCTGCTCATGGAGAATGACAGGTGAATGTACTGTATCTTTGGAATGTGAGAAATCAGTAATGTAAACACGACAATTGGAGTTGGACCTGAGCCTGGTCTACAGCCCTGTCTGGAGCATGGACTGTAGGCTAGTCTGGAACCTGGTCTGAAACCTGGTCTAGAGCATGAACTGCAGCCTGGTCTAGAGCCTGGACTGGGGGAGATCTAACCTGCATGGACTGCGGCTGGTCAAGAGCTTGGACTGGTGCCTGGTCTGCTGCCTGGTCTGGGGCTTGAACCTGAGCCTGGTCTGGAGCCTGGACTGTTGCCTGGTCCGGAGCCTGATCTAGAGCCTGATCTAGAGCAGTAGTACCAGCACACTCTGTTGGAGGAAAATAAAGCTGCAAGCAAAGGCAGTAAATTCAACAGTTCATTTCTACAAGCATTGTTGAATTTGAATAGATTTTTTGTTTAGAATAGTTTTGAAATCTACATATTTTAGCAGCTTATTCAATTAAGGATTAGGTCTATCACTTTCAAACCACAATGTAATAAATCCATCTAATTTATGAACAAGAAACTTGCAACGAGAATTCTGGTTATCTCAAGTACTGGGTTGTCTGGAAATGCCATGATACTTTGTTGTTGAATTAATAATCACAGTATCCGTTTTATATCATCATCGTTATTATCATTATTATTATTATTATTATTATTATTATCATCATCATCATCATCATCATTGCTTTTATTATTATCATTATTGTTATTACTTTTTGTCCACTGTTTTGACATGACGTTTATGTGTCTTCCAGTCTCACGTCTCTCTTCTATGGAGAACAAAGTGAGAAGGAGAAGTCGTCGTCAGACTGCAGCCCAGCCGACTCAGAAAGCAAGGACATGGTGAGTGGAGACATGGGTGTGTTGCCTCATAATCTCCACTAGGGGCGATCTTGAGTTGTAAATGTGCAAGTGGAGCCAGACAGTTTGCAGACAATAATATAACACTGCATACAGTTAAAGCTGGGGTACCTAACTTTTTGTTTCATGATTTACACATGTTGTTTGTCCCAATGGGAATAGTAACATGTGATGTTACGTGATATGTTCTCAGTAGACATTTTTTGTGTGTGTAACTTGTAAGAAAGACAAGATTTGTTTTTGACGTTCAGTTGGAATTTACAAAGAAATAAGGATACACACACACACACACAAACACACACTTGAAAAAACAACAAATTGATAATAAATAAAAAACAACAAACAGCTAAGAGGATTGGTCGAATCTTTCTAATTTTTTTGTCTAAAAATATGATTTAAAGATGTGACAAATGCAAAACATACAGTTATGTCAAAAATATTGATTAAACCTTTTAATATATTGAGAGCGAGAGACGAGTTAGATGGACTTTACTACATTGTTGAATTGTTATACAAGAATAAAGTAAAAGAGTGTTGAATATGTTTCGTAGTTTCAAAGTTAGGTACCCCAGCTTTAATACATAAAAAACATAAGAAAGGGCTGTATAATATGAATTAATTGTGTCATATTGATAATTATGATTATGATACATTGTACTTTTTGTAAACGCTTTTTGAATACTCTGAGACGCTTTTCAAAATGACAGGTGAATATAAAACAAACATATATAAATAAAAAGCTTAGACAGTTGAATGTAGTAAGTGTTAATATTTTATTCATGTTTTACCCACTTGACTACATGTTTAAAAAGATGCATAGACAGTGATAGATTATTGATTAGTGTGTGGCTAAGCAAAATGTCCATGAAATCCTCTGTTGCCTCATCAGCGCAGCAGGAAAAGCTGACTAAAGTGCAAATCCCCCAAATATTATGATGAGGTTTTTTCTGCAGCTCCAGACAGTCTCCAGTTGTTTTCCTGCTTGTTATGCAGAGGTGTGATCCTACAGGCCCAAAGTGCTGAGAGCTTCTGTATGATGTATGATGCAGCTGACAGACTGGGTCTCCTTCACACTGTCGTGACAGACCACGGTGTTTGTCCTGTGATTGGACAGAGTCAGGCCAAAGCCGTGCCACTGCGAGCCCAATGCAAACATATTTTATATCTCCCAAAGCACTGCATTAGACTGTGCGAAGGGTCAGGACAGGGTCGGCACTAGATCATATACGGAATCGGGACGTAACAATCCTACTTTCGAATTAGTTTTAGACTAATAAGTCCTTAAGTGGTGACTGGTTAAGTTTTAGGTGTCTGAGTAAGATGGTTAAGGTTAGGGTTAAGGGTTGGTTGGGGTTATTTTATGGGAATGGCTGGTTAAGTTTAGGCATTAATAGGTAGTTTGTTGTATTTACTTCCGCTTCCGTCCCGATTCCGTATATGATCTAGTGCTGACCATCAGGACAGGAGCAGTTTGATTGTTACTGATCGCCATGGCAACCTTATCCATGGCCTCGCACCAATGTACATCTGTGACATGTTAGTGCCATAGGAACCAACTCTGAGGAGCACAGGGACTGGCCTCCTGCTGGGTCTCTGAGGAGCACAGGGACTGGCCTCCTGCTGGTGCCCAGAGTCAGGACTAAACATGGGGAGGCAGTGTTTCAGATTTATGCAGCTAGAATCTGGAACAGTCTTCCCGAAAATGTGACACCGGATTTTTCTCTGGCAACGTTAAAATCCAGGTTGAAAACAGTTCTGTTTAGCTCTGCGTACTACTGAGAGATTTTATTTTCACTCTTTTTAATGTACAGTGATTGTATTGCCTTTTGTGACTGTCTCTTGTTTTGTTCAGCACTTTCAGTTATGTTAATGTTTTTGTATTTGCCAAACACTAGAGATAGAATTTTAATATTAATACCTGCATGTGAAAGCCAGATCCCATCAGATCTCTGAAGCTAAGCAGGGCAGGGCCTGGTTAGTACTGTGATGGGAGAGCTCAGTGAATGGATAATGACATGTGAAGTGTCCAAAAAAGCGCTATTTAAAACTGATGCATTATTATTGATATTAGTATTCTTGGAAATGTATTTGATCTGATATTGTTTGAAAATGTGCAGTGTATTTATGTTGGTTTTGCTGTGTACTTTGCCATGCTAATGTTATTATTCCTCCCATGTTTCTGAAATGTCGTTTTCTCTGTTTTAGTTGAGCTGAGTGCAGTGAAGATTTCATAAACATTCATTATCACTTTAGAAATAGTTTGTTTGTAGCATTTAGGGTCAGGGCTGGCACTGAGGGGGCTACAATCCTGTGTAAGCCCCAGGGCCTATGGGTGTCTGAAGGTGGCCCTGAAATAGCCAGTGTGGTTATTTCCATTCAATTAAATTGTTTACAGCCCTAATTAACAGTCAAAATTGTCAATTTGTCAACAACAGATGAGAGAATAAAAAAAAAAATGTATTCAAGTAGATTAATCAAGTAGTTTATAAATGTGCTGGTTCATCCCTGTCCTTAATATTTGGTGTGTGTGTGTGTGTGTGTTGCAGGGCTTCTGCTCATGGCTGGCATCTCTTTACCATATGAAGTAAGTAGACAAAGCCCTTGTAATTTCAGCCGTCCTCCTTTTATTGCGTGTGTCTTCAAAGCTGATGTCACCAGTAAATGTAAAGTCATTGCGTTATATGTCATTTAGCTACAAAAACAAACGCTCTGAGCTCATGCGACCGCTGGAGCCGTGGTTTCTCATTGACTGTTTGCACTTGCTCCAGTCTGACTGCACACAACACATTTAGGCTGTAAAAGTGCCTTTCCACACTGTCCATGGTTTCCATAGTATTATGGTGGCTTCTGTTTTTAGCTCTCGTGCCAGTGGCTCACCCCAGGATCCCTGGGAAAGAGAGAACCCACCCTGAGAGCGCTCTCTGTGTGGGCCGTCCAGAGAGCTCTGCTTTTACACTCTGTCTCTGTGTTCTGTTATGACACTGGCTCTCATCAGGCTCTCTCATCAGACTCTCTCATCAGGTTTTCTCATCAGGCTTTCTCTCCCTGATCCCACACAGAGCTCTACAGCAGAGGGCAGCTCGTCTTCATCAGAAAGGCTGTGTCATTGTACTTGTTTTATCAGCTGTGTCATGCCTTATTCTGTGGCACGTGGCTGAGTGGGGAGCACTCAGCAAAAAGATTCTGGGTTCTAATCCTGGTCGGAACACAGCGTTTCTTAGTGGAGTTTACATCTTTTCCCCGTGTCTGTATAGGTTTCCTCCAGGTGCTCCGGTTTCCCCCTACCACCAAAAACATGTGCAATACAGCAGTTCATGGTGAATGAGTGTGTGTTTGTGAGTGCGACTGTGGGACGACGGACGCAAATTAGCTCAAGGGTACAAACCGGAGAGGTGTGTTCATTAACATGCACTGTCCCAACCAAATAAACAATAAATACAAAAATAACTAAATTCCACTTGATTCAATATCTGGATCTATGTTGATATTTACATTTGTGCATTTTTGAGTTAGACTTCCTGTGTATCCCCTGCATCTCCCTGTGCCTCTCTTTGTCCATTGTCCATCCCATCCCTAGTTCTTTTATTTCTGGACTTTTTGCTTATTTTCCCCAGAATCTATTTCAATGTTATGAAACCACGTTCATTTGCAGCCTCGCGTTTGCGTCCTCTGTCCTTTTTATTGTGTGACAGCGTTGCCTTGTCTCAGCTCTTTACCTTGGCAGCGGCGAGAGATGCGCTTGACCAAATGAACCTCAACACGGCACCGTTTAAAACAGCGTCTGCTTTCACTGCGTTTATTAATAGATACAGTGAACTAAGTGTGTCTCTGGATGTTGTCAGGGACGAGGAGATCCGGAGCAAATGTGGCCTGGATGCAGTCACCTACCTGTCCTTCCAGCGCCACATCATCCTGCTGCTCGGAGTGGTCTGCCTGCTGTCTTTGGCCGTCATTCTGCCGGTCAACCTTTCCGGGAAGCTCATGGGTATTTTTGAGCTCTTCTGTTCCAGCCAAAGCACCGGGATACCCTCAAACGCTGCAGCGGGCGGGCCACACAAGAGACAATCACACACAGCGCACACAAGGCACACACACACCGCAGATTTATGGCTCCAATGGAAGATCTGGGGAAGTAAGATGTTTGGTGCAAAAATATAATTACTCCCATGCAGAGATAATTTTAACTTGGATCCACTCGTAAAATGCCTAAATTGAACAATTTCTCACACATAAACTGTGTACGCAGCTGCCTTTTTATAGAAGGGAGTTGCTAGTGTTCTGGTGTCACTTATGCAGGTACAGGGTGTAATGGAGACACATACACTGCAAAAAGTGATGGAAAATAAGTCAGAATTATCACAAACTCTGTAGCTCTTTACCATTTTTGTCTCAAGAAAGTAGCTAAACCAGGGGAGGAAGGTTGGAGATGCAGATGTTGTCTTATTCCACTTCTAATATTATCTGGGTTTAGTTTGATATTTATTCTTGTGTCTTTTTGAGTTGCTAGCTGCCTTTTATAGAAGGGAGTTGCTAGTATTGTGGTGTCACTTATGCAGGTACAGGGTGTAATGGAAACACATACACTACAAAAATGTATACAAATGTAGAAAAAAATTGCTCAAATTTTGGAAAAAAAAATCTAACTAATCGACAATCTATGTTCTTACCTTACCTTAGGCTCTTGTGTTTGTTTACTTGGGGGAAAGTGTTGAGTAAGTCTTTCCGTAATGAGATCCTGAATGCGGCACACACATGTTTTTATTGCTGTTTATTACTGTCACCTCGCGGAGCAGGGTGTCACCACCAGGCTGCACCCGTTGGCTGGTTGCCGTGGAAACGTCAAACACCGGGGCCCCGTTGTTAAAGACGTTAGAGACCCGCAGAGTGACGAGCTGACGTGAGAAAACAGACTGAAAATGTCATGCGATGAGTGAAGGGACAGGAGGAGGAAGACTGTGGTTTAGGGGAGAATGAACGGACAGAATTATGAGAAATGGGATTTTTTCTCATAAGACAGCAATGTAATAAAGCTGAGGTACCTAGCTTTCAGTTTTTCATAAATTGTTAATTTTGTTAATCTCAGCAATTACAATATATATTTGCACCTCAAGGAAATAACACACATTCATAATAATACATTGGTTTTATATACTGTAGCGCCTTTTTGGGACTCGTTTTGGATATACTTCACATGTCATTATTTCACTTCATACACAGCGATGATAAACTGCCACTGTTGCTACAGCTGCCCTGGGGCACACTGACATAATCGAGGCAACTACAGTATGTGCCATCGACCCCTCTGACCACCACCGACCGTTCACGCACACACCAGACTCATTCTAGGCAATGTGTGGGCTTTTGTGTCTTGCTAAAGGACACAACAGCACTTTACCGCCGGAGCCGCCCCACTGTGGCACCTGGGGTTTCCAGAGGTCTCCCATCACAACACTAACCAGGCCCTGTCCTGCTTAGTGCTGTGAGGACTCAGAAAGAGACTTGTAAAAGTAATCAGACCGCAACATGCTGTCTTTATCTTTTTTTAGGAAACATGTTATATATTCTAGTGCATATGAGAAATATATAAGAAATAGCCCTGTGAGTCACTATTTGACCCTTTGGGCTGAGAGCTGAGTGAGAGTTCTTCTTCTTCTCTTTTTTACCTTTCTGTCTGAAAAATCTGATCTAAAGATTTGACAGAGGACAAAAAATACATGTATAGTATGTGAAACTAGTGATACAAGCAAACTATTTTGAGAGCGAGGAACTATTTACATTCATTTAATTACTTGTTAAATTGTTGTAGTTTGAAAGTTAGGTACCCCAGCTTTAAGTGTTGTGCTCTCTCCAAAGGGGACAGTCCAGAGAGCTTCGGGCGCACCACTCTGGCCAACATGAATACAGAGTAAGTGTAAGACTGTTGCCTCTTGACTTGTTTGACTGACTTTCTAACACACCTCCTCCTCCTCCTCCTCCTCCTCAGAGACAGCTTTCTGTGGCTCCACGGTGTCTTTGGCCTGCTGTATTTCATCATCACTCTGCTGTGCATGGCCCACCACTCCATCCGCCTGGACTACAGCGAGGACCACAAGGTTTCTGTTGACTCTTTCTGCATTTCTGTTTGCAGAGGCTCATGCTTAGTTTACTTACTCCTACTTTACATTAAACCCATATGTCTGCTCTTTCTGGTCCAGGAGTGTCAAAATTTAACCCAGCCGCAAGACAAAAGTGATTTTCATTTATTATTACTCACTTTTACCAAGACATGCAATATATAAGTTGTATATTAGTCAATACATTAAATATAGAACAATGGGTTTAACTTTATATTTGGTCCAATTTTTGTTAAATCCAAACAATAAATATATTTTGATTTCAGAAAAATTAACCAGAAAATATTAGTGAGACTCATGTCACATTAAAGTCAAAATACCTTCAGGAAATCCTTCTATTCTTTCGGCCCCAGTTTCTTTTGTTTTCATTCGGCCCCTGGCCAGAATGAGTATGACACCCCAGTTCTAGTTCGTACATTTTGAAATGACCACTTACTTCATGACAACACAACAGAAAAACAGGTCCCACGTGGTTAGCCATGCAGCTAAGTGAATTACAGTAATTCATTGTGGTTAGCCACGCTTCTAAGTTCTGTTTTGTTTATAACCATATTCCCTGTCACTATGAAATATTTCCACAACAGTATAAAAAATACTGTCCATTCAACCAATTTGAATTCTGACATGTATTGTATACTGAACTTGAATACTTTTTGACCGAGAAAATTGCTTTTTTGATCTCTTAACCTTTTTAAAAGATTGTTTATCTTTAAAAACAGAGTAACAGACCAGGAGTATTCTTTATGATAGTGAGCCAAACATGTAACTCCGCCCCTTTTGTCTAAGTCTTGTAATAGCTGCCTTAACAAAAGTATTGCTCATAAATTAATTTTGGTAATAAATCTTTTGAAATAGTGTAGAAAATAATGTCTGGGGTTGTTGCTCGTAATTTTCAAATTTGAGAAAAAAACAAATTGAGAAACAACCAAAACCAAATTTAGCCCCCTGGTGGAAGCATAGGGAGTTACAGGTCAAAAGCCTTTTTCTTACGCTTCATACTTGTGACACCATATGTTTTCTATAGAATATATTATTTCACATCCTAAAATATGGCCAAATAAAGCGTATTATTCCTTCTTTAACTGAATAATCATTTGATGAATACAGGTGGCCCGGACATTGATGATCACGTCTGTTCCTCGAGAAATCTCAGACCCGGGGCTCCTCACCAAACACTTCCAGTACGTAAACACACCGCGTGTAGACAATACTGCATCAAAAATCAAAATACTTTATGATTCCATTCTTCATTCTCTTCTTCAGTGAGGCCTACCCCAGCTGCACGGTCACCGACATCCACTTCTGCTTTGACGTGCACAAACTGATGAAGCTGGACTTGGAGAGGTACCCAGACTTTTTCTTCTTCCCTAAGATCTGTGACGGTATTGGCTTAACGGTGCCATAAGCTGTAAGCCAATCTTCAGTTTTGGCCAATCTGTCTCTGCTAAAACTAAATTTCGTCTGTATATTTAATAGAAGTAAGTCAGTAATCTTTAGATGGGATCGGGGTCGACCTATCGTACGTTTTTTAGGGGTAAGGGAAACCCAGTCACCTGGAGAAAACCTTATTGCCGTGTTCTTATACATATTACAATAGAAAAAAAAAATGTTAAGAAGTGCTAAGTGATGCCTGACCGAAAGGGGTTTAGGCTGAAGTATTTGGTCCAATTACCGTAATCTGCCACACTCCTCTTCCTCTTCTCAAGTCTCCACACATGTAGGATTCTTAAACGAGTCAAACAACATAAAACAGAAGGAGGCAGTGGTTTAAATAAAGTTTGAGATGTAAGTCTATAATTCAGACCAGAGAGCACTGCATCTCTGTGAGCAGGGGCGGAGCACATAGAGGAGAGGTCTTGGGGCACATAAACCAGTGGGGGCCCCTGACACACCGGGTTTGATATGTTAAGTCTTTGCTTGTTATAAACTCTTTACTTGTTATAATGTTGATAATTGGCTCACTTAAAAAACCTTAAAACATCTATGAAAATTTGAATATTTTGAAACTGGACTTAATGCCATAATCTAAGTCTATATACTACATTCGTTTCAAATGTTATCGCTTTTGAACGATACTCTAACTTGCAGAGTATACCCTGTACGTGTCAAAAGTAGAATATTATGGAGACATTGAAAAGTTTTGTTAGTCAAGCCATAATCGTCAAAAACACAGGAAAAACAAAAAAATTAAACTTTTGACAAATGTTATAAGAATGATGCTCCGGTCCCTGAAAAGGCTAGCACCGCCCCTGAAGCGACCCTTCATTTCACCATGACATACAGCATTATTTACATTCAACTCTGTTACATCTCCCCCGCAGACGAAAAGCCATGAAAGGCCGCCTGTACTTCGCTTCAAAGGCCCAGAAGGAAGGCAAGATCATGATCAAAACCCACCCGTGCGCACAAGTCTTCTGCTGCGACGCGTGCGGCTTTGAACAAGTGAGTGCAACCTGCTTGTAATTAGCAGGAGGCCCTTGTGCACAGGAATAGCGCGGCCACTTGAGGGCACTGCAATCCAAACAGACTTAAGTGAAAGCACATGTGGCCTGGGCTGTGGTGAGAGATGCGGTGGGGATCTGATGGGCCCCCTGCTGGTGCCTTCTGCAGGTGGATGCAGAGCAGTACTACAGCGAGCTGGAGGAGAAGAGGACCGACGAGTTCAATGCAGAAAAGAACCGCATCGGCACCAAGAGGCTGGGCATCGCCTTCGTGACCTTCAGGGACGAGCGCATGACGTCTGTGTACGTGCAGCGAACACACATGTGGAAATGACATTAGATTTGGAAGAAGGTTTCAGGTTTCATTCATGTCCCCAGGGAGAGATTTGTCTTGGAGCATTTACAGACAGTTGACTATACAGAGACTTAGCTTCCCACAAATATCTCACTGCATTTTTTCTACATAATTGTCTTCTATGTATTTGATATCAAGAGATTCTTTATTTGTCCCACAGTAGGGAATTTTCAGTGTTGCATCCTAAGTTAGAAAACAGTAGGAAAGAGGAGCACACAGCACAAGATAAGTGAGCTACACTAATTAAAATAAAACAAAATCTCTAACTCTAGCATCAAATAACAAGTATAAAATCTCTGTTTGTGTTATTGATTAAAGTAGTCCACTCTTATTAAGTTACAGAGCATCACCTTTTGTCTATTTCACAATACATGTCTTCAAAAAACGCTGGCGCCTAAAGGGTTAATCACAGCTAAGCAATTATTGAAATAGCTGTCAACTTATTAGGAAGTCGATGAATCATTTTGTGAACCTTACATAGACTTTGACAAGCTGAGATGAGGTTTTATGATCAGCCGACCTTTAGCCCCGATTACATACAATTGCCCGCTGAAATGTTATGTAGGCGGGGCTTAAGGTCAGCCTGTGCCAGACTAATAATAATCTATAATGACAGCAGAATTAAAGGAAAACATTTTCATAATGTATATATAATCAAACCCTATGACATTTTGAGAAGTCGTCTCTATAAAAATGTGAAATGTTTAAGAAATCCCATATTCTTCACCTTTTGGGATATGAACAACTAATCAAAAACAGTCATCAAAAGAATTGTCAGCCAACTAATCAATGGACTAAATAATTGTTAATTACAGCCCAAGAGTACAGACAGAAAATAAGACATTATTATACTGTATAATACATGTTAAATCACAGGTCCAGACATGATTAGCAGTTTTAGGGGCTTTTAAACCTGTTGCTGTTACACAGTGTGATCCTGTATCTACACTCCAACAGTTTGAATTGAATTCAGGTGGATCTCTGATTAATCTCCGAGCCTGTCTCACTGCTGACTGCTCAACAACAGTCTGTGGGGTGATCAGAGTGGACAATAACCCGGGATAGAAAGGCTGGGAGAGAACTAAAGTGACTGACAGGCCGAGGTGGGAAAAAAAACTAGTCGTCAGTTTTGTTATCCGTGCGATAATTTAAGATAAGGTATAAAAAAAAACTCTCTGGTGAAAGTATCGTAGTGCTCACACAGTGTGGGGGACTAAATAAATATATACAGTGCCTAAAAGTGTACACAGCCAACCAGAGATTTCCGTGTTTGGGCCATATTTTGGAGATTATGAATCAAAACTCTTTTTCACTCAGTGGTGGTTGTGTGACGCCATAAATTAAAACATCTTTGAGCTGTCTGAGGGTATCTCAAACATGCATTTTTTGCGATGCGGCCAAGGAATGTACAATAATTGGAGGCCTTTTGCCAAGAAGAATGGGCTGTTTACCATCAAAGAGGATAAAGAACCTCACACACAACTCCAAGCGGTCATAAAGCAGATGTTAAAGGGGCAATATTATTAAATATAATAATAATAATTCATCAGTTCTTATAGACACTTAAAGATGTAGCATTATTCTATCTATGCCAAATGTGGTGTGTACATTTCTCCAGAGTGAGATCAAAAAAGTCTATCTTAAATTGTCCTAAACTACTGTAGCCACAGCTGCCCTGGGGAAAGCTTCTGTTGTAGTAGTTTCTGTTGTCATTAAAATTTGAAAATATAAAATAAAACATTGTTCGACCATAATGGATTCACACGACCACTGTGTTTACGTGATCCTTGATGATCTGTGACCAAAACAAGTTTGATAATCTTGCAGAATTGTGAAGGACTTCCAGTGCGTCCAGTGCCGGCGGCAGGTGCAGCAGTCCAGCATCAGTGCAGTGGTGCAGTCGCAGAGGTGGGGGGTCAGCTACGCACCGGCCCCCACTGACATCATCTGGTCAGTGCACACACAACTGTCCTCAGCTCAAGCAACAGATAGTGGAGCTCTCCTCAGCACTGTGAACACGTGGAGAGCTCCGAGGAGACTATGTCAATAAATGTCATGACCCACAGTCGATGAGTCTGTGAGTGAGGGGGCTTCCACCTGCTGGCAGCGGTAACAGGTCATACTTTTTGTCCTACAGCATCACTCCACACTCCAACACACTCAGCACTCTTCCACGCCCCAAACATAAATACAACCTGCTCAGGGACCGCAGGCGTAAATTAGCGTTAATGCTATAATCTGCTACACTTCATCTCTCATTTTGGCTAATGTTTATTCTACACTGTCCCTTTAACACTAGAACTCCCAGAGTATTTACTCATCCTGTGAACGTTTTTGGTCTCCATAACTTTATGACTTTTTCTGTTTCTGTATGTTGTTTATTTCAATGTACTTTTGTTTATGAAATTATGAAATTAAAGCTAATCTGCTTCAGAGCAATCTCAGTTTGGAGCAAGTGCTGGTTACCATAGCAACACACTGTTCAGTGATACCAGTTTTAGCATGCATCAAAGATAAAAACTGTATGAATTACTTAATTTTAACAGTAGTGGAAAAACTAACACTATTTTTTGGGTATTTGTCCGGTTTAAGTTTTATAACAAAAGCATACAGGTGTCAGGTACATTAAGTCCTATCGGTTAAATAATAGTTTACTTACTTTTATTACATTTCTTTAGATGAAAAAAATCCTCTCTTTTTGAGTCACTATATCTACTTGAAGCTTGGAACTGAAATATACCTGGGGCATCTCTCTGGGTTTTATGCACTTTTACCATCAAAGTAAAATGAATGTTAAAAGTAAATTTTCCCATTTTGAGATCAATAATGTTTTATCTTATCTTTATCTTAAAACTGCACTAACTCACTTTGTGAGATTTTCGAATGTGAGCGCTGGCCTCGCTCTTTCTCGCCCCCCCTAACCCCCCCCCCCCTTCACCGCATTCATGGCGCTTTTGCCCCCACTACCCCCCTCCCACTCAGCCTGTGCTCATGTGCTAATTGTTTACGGAGCTCACGTCTCACAATATGGATGGTACATTTGAACGTGGATGGCGTGACCATAGAATGATAGAACCGGGAAGCGTGGAGGACGAGACTTTCTATTGGCTGTTTCGCTGAGTAAGCCGTAACCGGTAACGAAGAAACAGGAAGTTTCAGGTTAGCCTCCGCCGCTTGTTTACCTCATCTGTCTGTGCTAACGAGAAACCTGTGGCTTTTCTCAAGAAAGTGGGGGCCAGTGGTCCGCTGTGATTGGTCACAATCTGGTCCCGAAACAAATTCTCTTCCTTGTTGCTCAAAAACTCGATCTAAAATGAAATGACACTCCAGCACAAATCTGCACTACTTTTTCTTCAAAAGGACGTATATCCCACTGCATTGCAAGGATATGAATACAAATTTTGTAATGAATACAAAAATAAAGTGAGGTAATGCAGCTTTAAGCATCTCAACCATTTAGTGAAGCTCTATATACCATACTTGCATGCAAATGCCAGATCCCCTCAGATCTCTGAAGTTGTGCAGGGCAGGAGATGCACCATACCAGGTGGCACAGTGGGGTGACTGTGCCAAACTGACATTGTGTCCAAGACACTTCACCCACTTACCTAGAATGAGTCTGGTGTATGTGTGAATGGTTGGTGGTGGTCGGAGGGGCCTATGGCACATACTGGTTGCCTCGCTTCTGTCAGTGTGCCCCAGGGCAGCTGTGGCTACAGTAGTAGTTTATCACCACTGTGTATGGAGTGAATGAATAAGGACATGTGAAGCGTCTTTGAGTGTCCTGAAAAGCACTATATTAAACCAATGCATTATTATAATGTGTTCAAAAATAATGAAAAACACATTATTTGTGTTCTTGGTGCTGCTACACCTTAGAAAATCCAAAAAAGAAAAAAATGACTTTACTTTCCTCAAGGAGTGAACATAAAAGGGTTAAAATACTTCTTTTTGGGGTTTTTTCATTTGGATTTGTCCTGTTGTAAAGTCTCAATAGTGGCATAGTAAAGCAGCTGGTTGCAGAGGCGACAGTTGGGCCTCATCCTGGTTATGGCACAAGTTTATTATAGTATTCAGCGGCGCCCACAGACACTTCTTACAGACGATGTTTCAACCGAATCTCGCAAGATGTGTGACTGTGGGCGGAAATCAGATCACCGCTGCCATACAGAATTTGATGTAATTGGCCATTTTACAAGAGCTATCCATCACGCCGACATTAGCCTCCCTGTAATTTGGCCTGATATATGGGGCATCTTTGCAAAACCTCCGGATCGTGACTAAACTTTGAAATGCAAGAATTTGAAGGAAAAAGGAAACACCAAACATCTGCGGCCCTGTTTTCTCTGCGCTAAGCAAATCTGTTCTTCCAACACCAGGCCTTACCAAAATATCAGAGTGGGGAAAAGACGTGCTCCTTCTGTTTAGTGTTCTTGACAGTGATGGGCTGTTAGCACTTGTCCGTCACCAGCCTCCGCCGCCAACTCAAAAGACTGTGTGTGTGTGTGTCTGCATCAGGCCTGGAGGCACATAATGGGAGCGTTTCTTATACTTATTAGTCAGTGAGTCCATAGAGATGTGGCGAAGTCGGGGTACCTCAATAACATGGAGCTATGTCATAAAACTGTCAAAAATGTCATAAATCCTCGCTGTCAAAACTGTTTGGGTTTGATGACTAGTTTTTTCACGTTCATGTATTTTTGGCCTCTGCTATATCTGTGGAAATTAAAAAGGAGAGATCCACCTTCGCTCCAAAACAATGTATTGTATTGTAATTTCTTTAGATGAAAAAAATCCTCAGTATTATCGGATACTGAGGACCCCCTCGAAAAGGAGATGAATAAGTAAATAATGAAATTTAACTGTGATTCACAGGGCTTTTTTTTAAAGTAAGCACAATGCAGCATGTTTTGGTCTGATTTGTTCACAACAGACTCTTTCTGATGGGACAAACAGGATAAAATAAATGATAAAAACTCACACAAATAATGTAGAGGAGAGTTAATAACTAGAGTTTGTTTAAAAGTCAGAACGGACCACGATCTTATTTGACCAAAATGAATGCCCGAATACAACAAAATCCCAGGCCTTACAATAATAATGCATAGGTTATATACAGCGCTTTTTTGGACACTCAAAGACGCTTCACATGTGTCATTATTCTTTCACTCCAAACACGGTGGTGATAAACTACTATTGTAGCCACAGCTGCCCTGGGACACACTGACAGAAGCGAGGCAACCAGTATGTGCCATCGGCCCCTCCAACCACCACTTTCACACACACAGACTCATTCTTGGCAATGGGGGTGAAGTGTCTTGCCAAAGGACACAACAGCAGTTTGGCACTTTACAGCCGCAGCCGCCCCACTGTGGCACCTGGTGTTCCCAGAGGTTAAGTGTCTTGCCAAGGACACAACGACAGCAGACATCAGTGGGAGTCGGTGGAGAAGGTCCGAGAAGGCTCGAACCCATGACCTTCTGGCTCAAAGCCCAATGCTCTACCAACTGAGCTACTGTCGCCCCAGGATGACCCACCTATTTACATTTTATTATGATGATTTTTGCTCATTACAGCAGATTAAACGGAGGAAATAAGAGCATTCAGGTTACACACATTATGATTATTCAAGACAATGAAACTAAAATAAAAAGACAGTGAAGTATCATTACAATGCAGTACATAATATAATAATGCAGTTTAAGTTGGTGCCATCACCTTTAAAGCCAACATTCTCAGCTTACATAACAGATGCATATAATGAGACACATATCATCCACCAGAGAAGTGTGTATTATTTCTAGCTCTCATTTCTCGCTGCCCAAAATACCCCACTGTGATACGGTTCAGCACAGACTTTTGGACGGCAGACTGAGCGTGTCTGAGTTTGCTTATGTGCTGTGCAGGGAGAACCTGTGGGTGTGTGGGACTCGCTGGTGGCTGCGCTGCGTGCTCCTCAACAGCCTCCTCTTCCTCCTGCTCTTCTTCCTCACCACACCGGCCATCATCGTCAACACCATGGACAAGTTCAACGTGACCAGGCCGGTGGACAGTCTGCAGGTGGATTCTCGATGCTTGCCCTGGGAGCCTACGCACTGTTAAAGAGCAGATATATTTTGTGAAATTGATATCTTGACTTTTAAACTTGTTTTAAAGCTTCATCCACAATATTACGAGGAATTTTTCAAAACTTTCAAACGTTTCATCAATCTAGCGTGTTAGCATTAATGTTTATATATATTAATGCAATTAATAGTTAAGATCAGAATTCTATTTATTGCCATGTAAGGAAAAGGAAGTAAAAAAACTAGAAATCTGCTTTGGTTCAAGTTATAAAAGTAAACATAGAAAATAGTAAAAAAAAAAAGATTATATACAAGTTGGGGTTGCTATGGACAAGAAGTGGTTTATGTGAATTATCTGGGCCATATAGGAGCCATAAATATAATGTGGAAGTGTGATTTTATAAGGCTGACCCAGTGTTGTGTGTGTGTATGTTTGTGTATGCGTGTGTGTGTATGTTTGTGTATGCGTGTGTGTGTGTTTGAACAGAGTCCGGTGATCACACAGTTCTTGCCCACCCTCCTGCTGTGGGCCTTCTCGGTACTGCTGCCCTTCATCGTGTACTACTCAGCCTTCTTTGAATCCCACTGGACCAGGTACTGTCCACTGTCATTATAACCATTATGTGTGCGTGTGTGCGTGTGTGTGTGTGTGTTCCACATCTTCATCACTGTAAAGGCACGCAGAACTATGTTTCCACAGCACTAGTGAGACCTGGATGCCTAACTGAACAAGACATATGTCAAACTATGAAAGAAACCACGGAGACAAGGCAAGCATCTGCATCTAAGAGCACAAGGACAAGTTGTGCATATATAATAAATGTGTGTTTGGACGCATATAGGAAACTTATATTTATCTTAAGTACATTTATCAGTCTTTTAACTATATATATATTTTTTCCTTATTCAAAGTGTGAAAATCTCTTTAAATGGACAAACAAAATGCACTCAAACTATCAATCAAACCTTCAAGCAATGTTTTACCAATTCTTGTATTTTCTTTTCACGATGCGTTTTCAGTGCGACACTCTTCCAAAGGCCTCGTGTCCATTTCCATCCATAATATATATATTTTTCCAGTCAGCCTCTTGCTGTCGCTCGCTGTCACTCCCGTTATTCTGGGCAGGTTGTCATAGCGATGTGATCCGTGTGATGGATAATGATATGCACCGCAGCCAGACACTGCAGTGGAGCATATCTCAGCAGGAGGAGGAGCGGAGCAGCGAGGAGCGCCCGCATCTTTACAAAACCACCCCCTTCACCGTGCCCCGCATCAGTACCATCAGTGCCAGCAGTACCCGGGGGTCCCGCTATTGTAAAGACAGTCCCATTACTTTGTCTTGCATCATCTCTTAATCACAAAAGCAGACAGTGGGCAGGAGTTGGCTCACTATCGAGTGAAGCAGGATCGAGACAGGACGACTCCATTCAGACCACAACGGGTTTGTTCCATTGGCCGGACGGCGAGTAAAATGACAGTGGACATGTTCACGTTTATCAGGCACAATGCGGCAGGAAAGTTTGACCCAAGATACTCGGTTTGAATTGAGTCCAGTTGACTTTTTCCTTTGCCTCCAGACGTGCACTTGTGGGGTCCCAACCACTAATCAGACCGCTCGGGTGCATTGCTTTGCTGATGCTGAGAATCCACGTCCATCCCAGACATCATAAAGACAGAGGATAATATACATATGATTATCTGACTAGCGATTAAATATCTCGCCGTGCACAGACGAGGGTCCTGAGTGCGTCACTTGAGTTGGGCCTTTCCATCAGAGCTTGTGTTTTCTCAATAATGTCCACCTAGTTTCCCCAATCAATCCTAAACATGCATCACGTCCTAATCCTGCAGCATTAAGAGATATGGCTGTGGGCAGCAACAAGCTTTCTTGTTTGGATAATAACAAATCTGTGCATTACTTCATAGCCTTCACGTCCAGTGTTGGCAAACTGGCCTCATGGCTTTTCCAATACAGTTCAAGAATGTGATGTGGTGACGTTAGGTGTGTTTAAGCAAAGGAAGGTTTCTCACCCATCATCTGTACTTCTTAGCAAGTTTTTCCGACGTTTCGTCCTCAAACTAGCGGACTTCTTCAGGGAATGAATTCTCGGACCGCGCGTTGGAGATTTATAACCTATGGGTGTGGTTAGATAGGTCATAAATCTCCAACGCGCGGTCCGAGAATTCATTCCCTGAAGAAGTCCGCTAGTTTGAGGACAAAACGTCGGAAAATCTTGCTATGAAGTACAGATGATGGGTGAGAAACCTTCCTTTGCTTTGACTAATCCCTGTACGACTGAGGGCTTACACAAACTTATCGTTAGGTGTGTTTATACTGTGCACCTGTGTTTTTTGACCTGTGTGGACCCAGGACAACAGTGGTCAATATAAAAGGGTCAAAACATTCTCATGACTTTCAATATCAGTCTTGACCCTTTAATGATTTGCTCAACCATCACATTTTAACCCTCTAGGCGCCACGGTTGACTTAAGTTGACAATATGTGGTGCTGTTGAAAATGATCGATTGTGTAAAGCAGGGAATAAAAATTCATTCATACTCCTACCACACAATAATTTGCCCTCTTTTACTATTTCCCCGACCCTTCAATGTGGCACAATGCAAGTTCTGTTTGTGTGTTTTAATGTCCTAGAGATCTGTGTCTGTCAGTAAAAAATATATATATTTCATAAAAATCCACGATTGCCATGCCCTAATAAAGTCATAATATGCTAAGTATGTGGGTACATTTAAGTCCTAAATAAACTTTGGGTCCTCCTTATAATTTCTCTAATTTACATAGAGCCTCTATCTCTTTTCACTTTTGAGTTTTTAAGAAATTAAGATGTCAAAATTGAGCTTCTGAGGAAAAAACCTCTGGCGCCTAAAGGGTTAAGTCACTATATCTACTGAAATCTACCTCATTGGGGCATCTCTTCACTTGGTTTTATGCACTTTTACCATCAAACTGCATCTCAACCTTTTGGTAAAGGCCTATAATTTAAAAAACATCCACATGCATTGATAATAAAATCCATCTTCCATCTTCTCTGTCTGGTGCACATTGGGGTAGTCTTGCACAGTTTTCCCAATGTGGTTTTACTGAAAATGCAAATACATTCTTGAATCTTGAATGTGAAAACTGGTGAGAGAACTAGTTTTTACTACATAGCTATTTTTTGTGGTTTGAGTGTTGGAGTTTTAGGTACCCCAGCTTTAATATAATTAACTATCGTAAATGTATTTATTTTATGCAAACACAGGAGCATCATAGTTTCTGAATAGTTGTTAACGGCCAACTTTACCTAATAATAATCAAAGTTTTCAACAACGTTTTTGATATTTCCCTCAGATCGGGAGAAAACCAGGTGACGATGCATAAGTGCTTCCTGCTGCTGGTCTTCATGGTCATCGTCCTGCCCTCACTCGGCTTGTCCAGGTGCAAACTCACCCTCACTTCACCCTCACTTTGTAACCTAACCCTAAGCTAACGTGTGCCGTCCGCTACAGCCTGGACCTGTTCTTCACCTGGCTCTTCGACGTCCACTTTTTGGATCAGCCTGAAGTCAAATTCCAGTGAGTGGCTTTGAAATAGTCTGAACGTAAAAGTTAGAGACGATTGAAATTCTCGCTGCTTTTTCCAGGTGCGTCTTTCTGCCGGACAACGGGGCGTTCTTTGTGAATTACGTCATCACTTCGAGTTTGATCGGAACCGCCATGGAGCTGCTGCGGATCCCGGCGCTTACCGTCTACATGGTCCGACTGTGTTTCGCCAAGTCCCAAGCCGAGCGCATCCACGTCAAGAGGGTTCGTTTGTGATGTCACTTTGATCTGTCGTGTACAATTCATATTTCATGGAGGTCGATTGTAGATGGAGGTTCAATAATTCTCAAGTAGGATTTTTACTCCAAAACACCAGCGCTCCCAGAATTCAGAAATAGAATAACACCCAGAGACGTCATTTTTACTGCTCCCATTCAAACCATCTATGCATCCATTTTCTTCCGCTTCATCTGTTGCCGGGTTGTGGGGCAGTAGTTTAAGGAGAGACGCTCAGACTTCCCTATCCACACACACTTCCTTCAGCTCATTCAGGGGGACCCCAAGGCGTTCCCAGACCAATGGAATTCTAAAAATTCCCCCACACGTTTGTAAGTTTTCCGCCAGATTAATTTTTAAAAGTAAAAAAACGTAATTATCTTCACTAACTTTTACTCAGTGCTTAAACTGGTTTGTGGAAAGGCTACCAAATGCTAACGGCTGCAAGTAAACTTTGTGTTGCTACGGTAACTACAGTATGGTTACTTCTCTGTTGGAAAACCAAGCTGACTTGACTCAGATCCAGTCCAGAACAGTGTGACTATTATGTGTGATTATGGATTGAACAAAAATGTAAAAAGGTTTAGCAATTATTTGTATTTTTCCTATTCAACCCAATCGCGTGTTGCGTTCAATGTTTTGGATAAATCCATTTAGATTAAAACAAGGACTTCTTTAAATCAATGCCGTGTTGGGCAGTCCTGGTGAAGAGGCACATAGAGCAGTGTTGTAGATCCTTCTTCTGTTTCTGTCTGATGGACCGTAGTGTGTTGTGGCCCCTGTGTCCAGAGCCAGGCCTACGAGTTCCAGTTCGGCCTGGAGTACGCCTGGACCATGTGCATCGTCAGCCTCACCCTGACCTACAGCATCACCTGTCCTCTCATCACTCCCTTCGGTGAGCCGCTTACCGTGTCACTGTGTTTAGGTCACTGCTGGTCACTGCTGCTATTTATCACTCCTGGTGCAAATCTGTGTGTGTGGTTCCCCTGGTTTAGTTCTACAGACCTGTGGTTAATGGTTAATAATGCTAATAACTTTTATACATGTGCAAACCTTCTTCTAGACATACATATACTACTAATACATACATACATATACACACACATGCATACATATATACTGTACATACATACACACACACACACACACATACACACATACATACATATATACTGTACATACATACACATACACATACACACACACACACACACACACATACATACATACACAGACACACACACACACACACACATACACACACACATACATACACATATACATACATACATACACATACACACACACACACACACACACATACATACACACACACATACATACATACACATACACACACACACACACACGTACACACACACATACATACACATATACATACATACATACACATACACACACACACACACACACACATACACACACACACACACACACACACACACACATACACACATACATACACATATACATACAAACGTACACAATGAAAGTAAAATGTTGTGAAACAATCAGACCAAAACATTTTGTCTTCATCTTACTATTATGTTATCTTTTTCAAGAAAGCGTCCTGATAATCACTGTTTGCCACTTTGTGCTGACAGCTGATTGGCTGAGTGAGGGTGGTCCTCCCTTTTTTACTTGTCTTTACTTGTCATGTGCCAGAGACCAAAAATGCATGTGATTTGTTTTAGTGTGATGGATTTGATTACATTATGCGTGTGTGTACCCCCGCTTTAACAACAAAAGGAAAGTTTAAAAACAGAGTTTACAGAAAAGTTGGTCTTTAGGCAGCGCATTCCATTTACAAAGAGCATGGCAGAGAGGAAAGACGTTTCTCCTATTTGTAGTTTCACACAAGGAACAGCGAGAAGGTTGGAGAAGGCTCACAGGTTAAACAAGACATAAGCCAACACAGAATATTTGAGAACGCCAGACTGCGAGGGGCTTCCTGAAGGAGCACAAGGATCTGAAAGTGGGTCTGGGCCTGAACGCGTGTGGTGCTGGTCATCTGCTGGTCATCTGCTGCTGCGTGAACGTGCTGCTGTATCGGAGGCGCACAGACAGAGAGCTGAGAGCCAGACGCCCACTCCGCTCCTGTCTGTGCCGACCAATCGCCTGCATGTTTACTGCATAATACCTGCCTGCTGCCCACGTCGGACACATTCGCCTGGAAATCAGCCTCTGTAAACATGTTGTGTTGACAAAATAGAAGATTGTTAGAGCTGATTAAAGCTGGGGTACCTGATTTATTGTTTTAGTAAATAATACATGGTGTATGTACCAATAGAGAGTGGAATGTTGTGAACAAATCAGACCACTACATGCTGGCATTGTTTTATCTGTGCATACTTGTAAGATAGAGCCTTGTGACGCTTTAGGCTGAGAGCTGATTGGCTGAGTGAGGGCGTTTTATGCCATGTAATTGCAAAAACAACTAAGTGAGCATCATGAGAACTTGTTGTTTTTACCCTAACCTTTTTCCCCTAAGCCATGAGTATTTTTATTATAAGTACTGGGTGTGATTGTCATTGTCATAGTGTTCTGTCTTAAAAAGCATGTGACAAGGCCAGACTTACTGCATGTGAATTCCCCAGCTGTTCTCTGATCTGGGCTGTAAAATGATCAGACATTGGCAGCGTTGGGAGAATAGTTACAAAATACTGGAAACCTTATTTACAATGTATTTCCCATTACCTGGTCCTTTATCTATTGTTGTGGGTATGGAGGAATGTGTTTCTGCTGCTACTGGACACTTGGATATCTCCTACGGGGATCAATAAAGTCTAAATATCTATCTATAAAGAGGAGAGTAGTTCAGGATCAAAGCTAATGGATTTTTCGACTAAACTGAGAGGTTCTGTGTTGAAAGTTTACAATAGATTAAATGGATTATATAGTGTGGTATTTTTCTTTTAAGATGGATTGTACATAGTTACCTTTTGCTATCAATACTGCAAGCTCAGAATTATTTGGGAACACAAATTTATAATACAAGATTACTAAATATTATTCTTTTAAGACTCATAACATTAGTATTTCATTCAAAAGTTCATTTATTTTTGTGAACTTCAATTCAATGTGAAACCAATAGTTAATATAGACTCTTTAAATGCCGAGTCTTTGTATCATTTTGATGATTTTGGCTCACAGTCCTTTCTCAAATGATTATAATTTTCATATGTTTTATTTGGGTTTTTTACAGCTGTGAGACAATTAACGTTATAACAAAAAAAGGCTTGATATTTCTCACTTCTTCACATTCTACAGTAAGTTCAATTGGAAAAGTAAATGGACTTTTGAGCGATATTCTGATTCTGAGTTTTCCTTTGATCCTTTTCACCATGAGACCCTGTGACCCTGTGATGCCTTCGCAGGTCTCCTCTATGTGATCCTCAAGCACATGGTGGACCGCTACAACATTTACTACGCATACGTCCCCACCAAACTCAACCAGCGCATCCACAGAGCCGCCATCAACCAGGTCATCGTGGCTCCCGTCCTCTGCCTCTTCTGGCTGCTCTTCTTCTCCGTGCTCAGACTCGGTACGACGCACAACCGGAGCTAGCATTCCACGTTGAAACGCCTTCGTCACATGCTCTGTTCCCCCCCTCAGGTCCAGTGCACCCCATCAGCCTGTTCACCCTGGTGTCCCTGCTCTCCTGCATCACTTTCTCCATCCTTCGCTTGTGCCTTCGGAAGCAGCCGGACAAGTGCAGCAGTTACCAGGTCAGCTTTGTTCGTCCCACAGTGGGGAAATGTCAGTGTTGCATCACAAATGACAGAACAGTAGGAATGAGGCAAGGCAAGTTTATTTGTATAGCACAATTCATACACAAGTCAACTCAAAGTGCTGAACAAAACAAGAGAGAGAGAGTCACTCAAGGCATTAAAATTATAAATAATCACAGTGCATTAAAAGTAAAGATAAAATCCCTCAGTTGTATGTGCAGACAAACAGAACTGTTTAAACCTGAATTTGAAGAAGCCCGTCTCGCATTTTCAGGAAGACTGCTCCAGATTTTAGATGCAAGAATCTGAAATGCAGCCATGAGGAGCACACAACACATAGTGAACATTAAATATAGCATTTAGAAGGAAAAAAATAACATCAAGTCTTTCTCTTTGGCGAAATAATAACAAAATATAGAATACTGTATCCTCTAGTGCTGGGGTCTCCAACCTATAGCTCAGGAGCTCACCGGCCCCTTACAGGTAGCTCCCCAAAGGATCTAGAATTTAACACATAATAATACATCTATTATAAGTAAAAATATAAGTTTTTACAGTATTATGGTATATTCAGATGTGTTCTCCATGTGAGTTCTCTCGCCTAAAGTATTACATAGATTTTTTTTTTTACAACTGCAAAAAAGAGTAACTCTCTGCCTATTCTGTTGTATAAAAGTAGCTCCCGATTGAAAAAGGTTGGAGACCCCTGCTATAGTGCAAGAATAATGTACTTCTATGTATAAATGGGGCGACAGTGGTTCAGTTGGTAGAACATTGGTCTTCGAGCCTAATGCGGGGTTGATCCCCCACAAGACCTACTCCATCTGCTCCCACTGATGTCTGCTCATGAAGAAATAAATGAATAAATATATACATTCTGTCATTAGGAATGAAATGGAGCTTTGTAAACGCTTCTGTGACAAATGTCCTGTGTTGCAGATGTCAGACCAGCCGGCAGAGTTCACCGACTCAGAGAGGAGCGCGGTCACCACCACCTCGGCTTCCAATGTACCGTAACAATCCTTAACAAGCCTTTTTCTTTACAGTTGTGCTTCAAAGTTTACACACCCAGGCGCCATTTTTGTATTTTGGGTTAGGGAGAAATCAAATGCAGGACTCAAAAATAAAGAAAAATGTAAAATATCAGTCTCCAGGATACAACAGAACACCAAAATACAAAATCGAACCCCATAGGTACAAAAACAAAATGGACCGACAACAAGAGGAGAAGAGCACAGGGTTTAAATACACACAGGGACACACATGAGGGTGGTCAAACTCAAAAGAATGAATATATCAACATGACAATTTGGGAAAATGTAATAAATCTGTAAATCTGTTTCTTTATAAATTTTACTTGTAGGTAAATTTATTGCGCAGTTTGAGAGAGCTGGTCCCATATACACAGATGAAGAAAACATACATACAACAGAGAAACTACTGTAAAATACAATAAATAGTGGTCAAGTAAAATCATTGGCCAGCCTCAGACCAGTTTGGACTTTCTGCATGATAGACAGTTAGAGAGGATGGCACGAAGCATCGACCCAGAGCATCCTTTGCACTCAGAGTTTCGATTGCTTCCGTCTGGGCGTCGGTTTTTGATGCCAATGAGCCACACGAACCGTTTTAAGAAAAGCTTTGTTCCCGCTGCCCTTTCCTTTATGAACAAGTCGGGATCAAACTGCCCCTGACACAGGTTTTTTATCTTTGTTACTGTCAAGTGGCTTAAATTTCAGTGGTTTTTTGTACCAAAGGCACATCCTGTTAGTATGTGGAGCACTTATAAGTTTTGTATTTCATATGTGTGATGTTTTATCTTTGAAATGTGTTTTAATGTGTCGACTAGTTCTCAGAATTGCAAAACGAATTTACCCACGGGTACAAATAAATTAACCTAACCTAACCTAAATACAAAGACAACATTTCAAAGCTGTCTCCGATCTTCTTGACGACATCGGTGGCATTTAAGTGACATTATCGGTTTTATTCAAGAGTCAAATAATAATGGTAACAGAAGCTCCTCCTCAGCCTGTATTTAGCATCAGTGGCATCTTGGAGTCTTCTGTGGTAGTTGTGGATGAGGTTCTTTATCCTCTCTGATGTTAAAGCGCTGCATATCTTCTAAGCGAAAAGCCTCCGGTACCATCACATTCCTGGGCGGCCTTGCATGAATTGAGACCCCCCAGATTGGCTCCATTAAATTATAATTTGAAAATAGAAAACCCATTTAAAAGACAATATACGGCTCTTTAAAAATATGTCTGCCTGGGTGTGTACACTTTTCGAGCACAAGTGTTTATAAATGATATTTTGTGGATTTTCTTGTTAGAAGTTGATAGATTGTCATATTCATTACTGTACCTGTAACATGTGTGAAGGAGAAAAGCTCGACCTATACGGAGAGAGAGAGCTTATACCTGTCAACCAATGATTTTAATTCAAGGAATCAGTGGAAGACAGTGAGGGCGGGTCTAACTTGTGCTGCTTTTGAAAAATCATCATTTCTCTCTTGTGTATCAAATATTCAGCATTCCCTTAATAATAATGATAATTTTAGTTTAAGTCCTGTTTCTTTTGTATCCCGTTTTTCATTATTATTGGATATATGTGTACAGGTTTGAAAGAAATGCATAAATGAAACGTATAAATAGGTATAGCTATAATAATTCTCAATGTTACCTGTTTATTGTGTTATTATCAAGAGAGAACACTTGAATCTTATACATGGCTATGGACCAATTAAATTCAGTTTATTTTGTTTAGCCCTAATAACAACAGCAGTCGTCTCAAAGGACTTCACAAAGTTGACGATTCTCCAACAACAAACCAGATCGAACACCGAGACGCAATAATAACAAACACATAGATCATAAAACCAAATAAATGTTTTAGTGCGACAAGCTGCTCATTGTTTTTTAGTGTTTTTTGATTTTGTTATTCCGAGAACTAGTTGTTCCTGTCAGTTTGAAAGATGCCCACAATCACCGGGCAAACAAGACAAACGTCGATGACACTGAATAAGAATTGAATCATCTCACAATGCATCAATCACAAACACACAATGCACAATCAGCCGCTCCCTAGATAAAGCTTTTGTTTTCCCTCTCGGCAGATGTTTGTGGCGTCGGTGCTGTTGGAGCCCGAGCTGGCCCTGACCCCCATGCCCTCCCCGGCTCACCACGGCTATGGAGCCATGTCCAGGGACGAGGGGGCGGCTCACCGAGAGACAGAGCTCCAGGACTCCCCCGTCATGGACTGCCCCGTCAGCTACCAAGACCTGACGCGCTAGCTCCTGTCCCCCCGCTCCCCGCCCCCCGCCTGAGGAATCCATGCTGCACCTCTGACTTTACCCTACTCAGCTGCGTGAACTTGCCAATGGAATCTTGTACAAAGCTGTAAACTTTATTTTCTGTATATTTCCTATCTGCCAAGTCAATCGTACTACTTCTAACCCACTTCTCTCAAATGTTGCTGAAAAGATTGAAGGTATTCTAGGTCTGTGTGGGGGGAATGTGTCATCTGCCTGTGACCCGCTGTATGCCAACTCCAATTAGAGTCATAGAGAAACAGCAGTACATCACTCGGAGACCACAGTCTTAAGGCCTATTCACACTGAGCAAAAAACACCTCTAGCTTACACACTGAGTGACACAGGTTGGTGTGTCAAAACAACCCCGCATTGAACCTGCCTCGGGATCTAAATGTGAACACTACGGAATAGCGGTAATTTAGACAGCAATAAAACCACACTTTTTCATACAATCTTGCTTACATATGGGTCAGGTGAAGAAGGTTATATAACTAAACACAAGTCACATGAGGAACAATACCTAATACTTGCATTATGACAGTGACAAACCGTGTAACGAGCTCTTCCCATCAAAGTTTGGGCTTTTGCACGCACTGCCCTTTCCTTTATGAAGTTTGAAAATGTATATATTGCTCCACGTGGGTGATAAACTTGCCATATCCATTAGATGCAATTCCCTGGGGTCCGGTGTGCACTGCGCTGTGACTTTAGAAATTCAGAAGTTATATTACAGTTTTAATTTGGACACATTCCTGTCAATTGTGAAGAAATTTGACACGGGTTCAAACAAAACGCCAGCCTTTCCCACTGTTGCCCCGTGGTTAACGCATCATTTCAACCTGAGTCAAGAAATCCTGGTCTTCAGTGTACTAAGGCCTCTCGCTGTAAGGGCTAGTGAAAACATATATTAATTACAGAAACACCCTCAGAAGCAAACAGGGGTAGACACACCTGCTGCAAGTGTAATATTAATGTATACTTAATACTTTAGCCAATGGGAAAGGTCTTGAAGTCGGTGAGGTCTGCGTCTGGCCTCGGAGGTTACCAGCACAGACACAGTCCTGGGTGAGGGGGCGGTGTGATCAGGCTGCCCTGCTCGGGGTGAGTGGCAGAGGGCAGGCACTCGTGAAGCCATCTGCGGCGAGAGCGTTGGCAGAAGGGACGCACACTGAGGATTTTACACATATGAAACATGAATATATTTTATTGATTTTGTGTTGGGCGGCGGCGGGGGGAGGCATAAGGCTGACAGAAGTGCAGTGCTGTGTATTATGTCCACTTTTTTGTTATGATGTTTTGGAGCGCAGCATAAAAGCATCATTTTGAAGATAGGGCTGTTTTGAAAAGTCTTGTTCCAGAGAATGTTCAGACATAATTGGCCCCATAAGATTTGTTTACAGTCTAGCTGCGTCCACACTCTCTGTAGGATAAAACAAGACAACCTCTCTACATCCCACATTGGAAAAATATTCACTCAATCAATCAAGTTGGTAGTTAATAATAATAATAAGTATAATGATGATGGTTTTTGTGACCCCCAAAGATAATTCACCTGGCAGTATTAATTCATTAAGTCAATTCGGTCTAATTGGCCCCTCTGACCACTAACCAAGTGTCTTGCCTTAGGACACAAAAACATTTCGACCCTTTACAGCCACCACCACCGCATTGTAGTGCCTAACGTTTATTTTTAGTATTAATTAGAATTCATTGTAGCTGGTATTTGAAAAGGATAGGGTGGAAAAACAAAAACAAATGTTCAATCCTAAATTTGGTGTCATTTGTCGAGACCAAAATGATCACAAATTTACACAACGATGTCTGAAGGCGGGGCTTAACTAGAGGGAGAAAACATGAATTTGCTGTTCCATATGAAAGTTGAATGTTTTGAACCTCGCTAAATGTATTATCGTAGTGTTTCAGGGTATTGGGATGAGAGGGAATCTCAAAGTGTGCCTCGAAAGAAACATTTGACAATTGCGAATATTTACTGCTACTAACAGAAGCCATTTATACAGAACATCAGATTGTTCTCACTTTAAACACTCTTCAAACTGGACTAAATACTGTGTTTTCTACAATCTTGGATGATCAGAGAATTAGCAGGTGACTCCATTACATCATTTTTAGTTTATTATGTGTTCGATCATTTGTCGACAACGAAACGATTTCATACAAGCAAAAAAAGACGGATTTTTGTATTGACTATTTTACCGAAAGGCTGAATCTGGTGACACTAGACTCCCAAACTGAACAGAAGCATTGACAAATATGTTATAAGATACATTTTAATGCAGGTATAGAGAACTCACCCGACATTAAACCATATACAAGAAAAAGTCACATTGTTTACAAAACCCTGAAGGCGCCTGCACTGTCCAATCTGAATCCCCACATATTTATTGCGTATATTTTTCTAGCCTAAACGAATGTAAACTGCTCCTTTCCCACATCCCCTTGTTGTGCCTTGATGAACCCCTCCCTCCATGTGTGACAATCTAGACTCATGGAACTCAAAAAAACAGACTGACCTGGACACAAGGCTCCGCACGCCTGGGAATCTGGGCTAAAAAAATGCAAAGAATTATGTATTTTCACATCTTTGGCCCCGCTTCCAGTTCTTTTGTCCGCTCAAGACAATGTGTTCACACGCTTTCTTGGGCCAGTGTCTTATCCTTATGACAGGTGACCGTGTTTCAAATTGGTTGGAATCTGTTGTTTTCTTTTCCTCTTCATGTTTTTGACCACCGGACACAAAAACAAAGTCAAACACACTGCTTGCTTTGTGTCCTAGTAAATAGCTGTATTATTCCCATATCGACAAAAACAGACACTGTACATGCGTCTCCTGTTTTGTATGGTGGTTGTTGAGTATTTAAAGAATGTACAATTATGGCTGGGATTAACTGCTGTTTATACCCAGGCTATTGTCCAAATTTGTTGATGATGTATGGCTTTATAATTTGTGCGTAGCCAGGGCCTTTGTTGCTGTAGTGGCTCTCCATAACATTATAGGTTTCCCTTGGGTTTTTTTTGAAAGAAATGCCACTCTTCCATATAAGTACTCGACATATTGTTATTGTCTAACTATAGCCTGTATGCGAGCAGTATTCTGAGTTCAAGCGCCGTATATGATTTCATTTCATGCAAAGAAATGTATTTGGAAATTCAAAATGCAGCTTGGTCTTGTAAAACCCGGGCACAATGGCCACACAAAATGACTTTCAAAAAACTATTAAATTATCAAAGCCAGTCTTAAAAAAAGAAAGTCCCTCGTTTGATTCTATATTTCCCGTCCCGTTAAACACTTAAACACAAATAAAAGTTATTATGATATTCTTAGCATAAGGATTGTTTTTTCATGCTTCACTGGTTTTACTGCGTCCGCTCGCTGGCTGTTCCCCCGGTCTATGTTCGGGCGCACTTTTCCAGACGCGACTGGCCCTCTCCGATGGTATATGAGTATCACACTATAAAAGACTGTATTTTTATATTTGGGGACTCACTGCTTCGGCGTCCATCTCTGTGGGGTTAATGGGTTTTCTTTGTACTCCAGTGAAGTGATGTGATCTGAAAATAAATATGATTTGACTTTTTATGATGTACTTTGCATTCAATAAGCGGGAGGCAGAATGTTGGAGTTCCAGTCTATGTATTTATATATTTTAACATGAAAACACACATCAAACATATGTGCACATAAACACACACACACACACACACACACACACAGGACACTAAAGAAACAAAAATAGAAAAATAATCTGTTCAAAATATACATAAAACAAATTATCTTAATTCATCTTCAGATTATCTTCAACTGTCCTTTGTGTTGGAATGCGTCAGAGCGTGTGAGACAATGACCGAGGGGGCTTCCGTCAACTGTAATTCTTTGCCAATATATCTGATGATACAGTATGTGGTTCTCACCAGAATCCAAGATACTATGATGGGGATTTAAAGTTTATAAATTGTATTTCACATATTATTCAACAATTTAAAGTTAGGTTACTACAAACAGTTAACTATTCTGGCATCTTTCACATCTTAAGATCAGCAGGAACAGGATACATACAAATGCATACTAACAACACACTTTTTGTGGATTAATCAAGTCAAATGTTAGTTTAGCTCCTGTCTCATTCCTGTTATTATGTAATTATACTGCTATGACATCACACTTTTGTTTAGCCTTTCACTGTAAAATTAAATTACTGTTCATAGATTATTTAATTGTTTGGTTCCTTTTTTATTTCATTTTCAAATTTGGAAAAACTAAAACACAACTCGTCCCTCTGGTGGTTGCATAGGGACTTAAAGGCAAATATTATTTACACTTCATACTTGTTTAAAACTAATATTTTCTTCTTAAAATATTATTTCACATTTTAAAACATGAAGTAAAAAGTCTCATTATCATTTTTATTGGCCAAAAGTAATGCATAATATTTCTTCTTTAAGTTATGAATTCATACTCCCTCCGTTGATTAACCTGTGTGTGTTGGTGTGTGTGTGTTTGTGCTTGTGTGTGTGTGTGTGTGTGTATTTGTGCATATGTGTGTGTGAGTGTGTAGTATTTATTGCACTCATCACCTGTGTATCCTGGTGCGTAACACCATCACAGCCTCAGATCACACACGCCGCTTCAGACACACACACTCACTCAGTTAGACACACAGACAGACACACACAGTCAGACACACACACAGTCAGACAGACACACATCGACAGACACACACAGACAGAAAGACACACACACACACATACACAGACAGACGGGGCTGACAATATGAAAAGCAGGATTATTTCGAGACATATTGAAGAGCTAAGTGCCCCGTCACCACTGGCAACATGCAGACGGCCACAGACTGAGGTGAATTCCTCTGGGGATGATTAGGCTCAGAATAGAAGACATCTCCTGCAGCGAGTGTGATGATCCCGGAGGACCATCCATCCATCCATCCATTTTCTTCCGCTTTATCCGTTGCCGGGTCGCGGGGGCAGCAGTCTAAGCAGAGACGCACACTTTCCTATCCACACACACCTCCTCCAGCTCGTCCGGGGGGACCCCAAGGCGTTCCCAGGCCAGCTGAGAGACATAGTCTCTCCAGCGTGTCCTGGGTCTTCCCCGGGGCCTCCTCCCGGTGGGACGTGCCCGGAACACCTCCCCAGGAAGGCGTCCAGGAGGCATCCTGAACAGATGCCCGAGCCACCTCAACTGGTTCCTCTCGACGTGGAGAAGCAGCGGCTCTACTCCGAGCTCCTCCCCCTATCTCTAAGGGAGCGCCCAGCCACTCTGCGGAGGAAGCTCATTTCGACCGCTTGTATCCGTGATCTCGTTCTTTCGGTCATTACCCACAGCTCATGACCATAGGTGAGGGAGGGAACGAAGATTGACCGGTAAATCGAGAGCTTTGCCTTTCGGCTCAGCTCCCTCTTCACCACAACGGTCCGATACAGTGACCGCATCACTGCGCACGCTGCACCGATCCGCCTGTCAATCTCACGCTCCATCCTCCCCTCACTCGTGAACAAGAACCCGAGATACTTGAACTCCTCCACTTGAGGAAGGACCTCTCCACCCACCTGAAGAGGGCAAGGCACCTTTTTCCGGTCGAGCACCATGGCCTCGGATTTGGAGGTGCTGATTCTCATCCCAGCCGCTTCACACTCGGCTGCAAACCGTCCCAGTGCATGTTGCAGGTCCTGGTTCGTTGGAGCCAGCAGGACGACATCATCCGCAAAAAGTAGAACACAACATCCAGAGACTTTAGAAATTTAGGACGGATCTCATCCACTCCCGGCGCCTTGCCACCATGGAGGCTGCCAACCACCTTGGTGACCTCGGCCAGGGAGATGGAAGTATCCGCCCCAATATCCTCAGCCTCTGCCTCTGTAACAGAGGACGTGACGGGGGGATTGAGGAGAATCTCGAAGTATTCCTTCCACCGCCCGACAATATCCCCAGTCGAGGTCAGCAGCCCTCCACCCGCACCATACACGGTGTTGGCAAAGAACTGCTTCCCCCTCCTGAGGCGCCGGACGGTTTGCCAGAACCTCTTCGAGGCCGACCGATAGTCATGCTCCATGGACTCTCCGAACTCCTCCCAGTCCCGGGTTTTTGCCTCTGCAACAGCCCGGGCCGCGGCACGTTTGGCCTGCCGGTACTGGACAGCTGCCTCAGGAGTCCCACGAACCATCATTGCTCGATAGGACTCCTTCTTCAGCCTGACGGCATCCCTTACTGCCGGTGTCCACCACCGGGTTCGGGGATTGCCGCCGGGACCAGCACCAGAGACTTTGCGACCACAGCTACGAGCCGCCACATTGGCGATAGAGGAAGAGAACATGGTCCACTCGGACTCGATGTCCCCCTCCTCTGCCGGGACCTGGGAGAAGCTCTCCCGGAGGTGTGAGTTGAAAGCCCGTCTGACAGGGGGCTCAGCGAGACGTTTCCAGCAAACCCTCACTACACGCTTGGGCCTGCCAGGTCTGACCGGCCTCCTGCCCTGCCAGCGGATCCAACTCACGACCAGGTGATGATCGGTTGACAAGCTCCGCCCCTCTCTTCACCCGAGTGTCCGAGACACGCGGCCGAAGGTCAGATGATACGACTACAAAGTCGGTGCCACGTGCACTGATGGACACCCTTGTGCTCGAACATGGTGTTCGTGATGGACAGGCCGTGACTGGCACAGAAGTCCAACAACTGAACACCGCTCGGGTTCAGATCAGGGGGGCCGTTCTTCCCGATCACCCCTCTCCAAGTGTCACTGGCATTTCCCACATGGGCGTTGAAGTCCCCCAGGAGAATAACGGAGTCCCCGGGCGGTGCACCGTCCAGTACCCCTCCCAAGGACTCCAAGAAGGCCGGGTACTCTGCACTACCGTTAGGCCCGTAGGCCGTCACAACAGTGAGAGACTTGTCCCCCACCCGGAGGCGGAGGGACGCGACCCTCTCATTCACCGGGGAGAACTCCAACACGTGGCGGCTGAGATGGGGGGCAATGAGTATGGCCACCCCAGCTCGCCGCCTCTCCCCGCGGGAAACACCAGAAAAGTGGAGCGTCCAACCCCTCTCAAGGAGTTGGGTTCCAGAGCCCAAGCTGTGTGTGGAGGTGAGGCCGACTATCTCTAGTCGGTATCGCTCAACCTCCCCCACAAGCTCGGGCTCCTTCCCCCCCAGTGAGGTGACGTTCCACGTCCCAAGAGCCAGATGTTGGGTGTGTGGACTGGGTCGTCGAGGTCTCCGCCTTCGACTGCTGCCCAGTCCTCTCTGCACCTCGCCACCACGGACCCCTCTGCAGGTGGTGGGCCCACAGGAGGGACTGCCCACGTCATCCCTTCGGGCTGAGCCCGGCCACCAGGTCCTCGCTTGCGAGCCCCGACCCCAGGCCTGGCTCCAGGGTGGGGCGACGTCACGGTTCTCATTGTTGTGCTGTCCATGGTTGGCTTCGGACTGCGCTTCGTCTGACTCGTCACTTGAGACCTGTCTGCCATGGGAGACCCTACCAGGGGCATGAAGCCCCAGACAGCATAGCTCCCAGGATCATCCGAGTTCTCAAACTCCCCCACCACGTTAAGGTGGCAGTCCAAAGGGGGAGATCCCGGAGGACTGCTGATCAAATACACCACCGACTGTTGCGTAACATTAGTTATACCTGAGATTAGTGCTGTTGGAAGAGTGGTTAACGTTAGTGCCTTATGACTGCATAGTTGTCAGATGGTCTAATCTGGATAATTGTATTTATTTATGAAAGAAAATAAACTTTACTTTAACCTCCCTTTTATTCATTCGAGCAGAAATTGATCTCCATCATGGCAGACATAAACTATACTTGAATACAACAAAATAAGGCTCTTTGCTTAAAAGGGAGTGAGAGGAATGAGTTGTCAGAGGGGCTGGTCAGATCCCATCAGACTTCTGAAGCTAAGCCAGGCAGGGCCTGGTTAGTACTGTAATGGGAGACCTCTGGGAACACCAGGTGACACAGTGAGGTGAATGCGGCTGTAAAGTGCCAAACTGTCATTGTGTCCTTAGGCAAGACACTTCACCCCAATTGCCTAGAATGAGTCTGGTGTGTGTGTGTGAATGGTTGGTGGTCGGAGGGGCAGAGGGAACCTACCGGTTGCCATGCTTCGGTCAGTGTGCCCCAGGGCAGCTGTGGCAACAGTAGTAGTATTTCACCACTGTGTATGGAGCGAATACAAAATGAGTGTTCAAAAAAGCACGATTAAAGAAGCTGTAGACCACCTTGGAATACATTCGGAAACGAAACTGGCGGTAATCTTTCAGTTATACATTTTGTTAGCAGTGCGTTGCTTTTGTACCATTTCATCAGTGATTGTTGTACAGCTAACAAGAAGTTACGCTAATGCTAATGTTAGCATATGTATCAGATCGCAAATAAAACTAGATGGCTCCGTGGGATGAGAGCGGTGTGTGGAGGTGAAATGAGAAGCCTGTGCGCGAGTTGAGGGGCGGGGCTAAACATTCAAACCTTGCAGAATTGGGTATAGCTCTTTTAATATTATTATTACTTCTCCTTATCTTGTAAAATAACTTTAATAATGTTTTAGTGTGAAGCGGCTGGGATGAGAATCAGGACCTCCAAATCCGAGGCCATGGTGCTCAACCGGAAAAAGGTGCCTTGCCCTCTTCAGGTGAGTGGAGTGGTCCGGGGAAGACCCAGGTCACGCTGGAGGGACTATGTCTCTCAGTTGGCCTGGGAACGCCTTGGGGTCCCCCCGGACGGGCTGGAGGAAGTGTGTGGATAGGGAAGTCTGTGCGTCTCTGCTTAGGCTGCTTCCCCCGCGACCCGGCAACGGATGAAGATAATGGATGGATGGATGCTTTACTACTATACATTTAGCACTTCCTCTGTCTTATACTGTATCTACTTATATCAACTATATTTGAGTTGATACGTTTGCTAACTATGCAAACTGTTCCATTGAATCCATAAAAGCATTCACTGAGTGTCTGATCCTGCTTTGTTCTCAAAAGTCTCTAAAATACATCATTCCAGTTTGTCCAATGTTGTTTAAACAAATGCACAGAGGACTGATGTGCAGCCTTCAGTATCTCTCCAGGAGGCAGGGAGGGAGGCACATTCCACACACAGAGCTCTGGTGTGAAACACGGACATGTCCTGGACTGAACTGGGGAATCAACTGCATCTTGTTTATGTCTGCACCTCTGATTATCCCCCTCTCATATGCACCGCCACACCTGCCCCCAACGCTGCCAGAACAAACAAATGGGAGCTATACACGTGCATGCCACTCTCCTGTCAACGTGAACTGTTGTCATGACGACGTCCAATAGGTTGCGTTCATGTTGTAGAATTGTGTTGCAGTTGAAAGGACTGGTGCCGATGCAACTCTAAGGGAAGAAGGCAATTGACAGAAAAAGTAAAAATGTTTTCCCAGTCCATTCATTGTTAGTGATATTGTTTTAAACGTACTTTCTAATGTATGTGTAGATTTTAATGTTTATGATTTATCCTTGATGTGAGGGTTGTGAGGTGCTTTGTGTTGCCTTGTGTAGGGAAGGCTCTCTAAAAATACTGGCCAACACCATTTGCTAAAATAATTAGACCATAGTTAATGTACTGACAAAAAGATGTGGAACTTGGTGACAGTATTTGTTTCATGTGGATTGTTCCAGGAATTACAGATATACGATATAAACTAGGTCTAGACTTTTTATTTTTGCCAAGAAAGATTTTTCACCACAATGTTAAACAATAGGCTCTTTGGAATGTTGTGATGTCACATGACCGCAACCTATACCCTTTAATTCCCAAAGCCTTTGCAGCAAACTGAAACGCTGTCCTGTGGTCCTGCAGCAGACTTAGGCTCTGGGTTGATTGAATAGATATTCAGTATATAAACTGTACATATTTTACTGTATAAATATGTGTATATGTATGTATACTGTATATATATATATATATATCCATCCATTTTCTTCCCCTTAATCCATTTCTGGGTCGGGGGGGTGGCAGTCAGAGCTGTACCCAGTTCACAGAGCACCAGCCCCTCAGTCACTGATCCTCCTGCAGGTGGTGAGTCCACAGGAGCCTTGATCTTTCAGTGGGGGCTTCAGGCAAAGTTAAGTGTCTTGCCCAAGGACACAACAACAGCAGTCATCAGTGGGAGTCATGAAGTAGGTCTTATGGTGGGCTCGAACTCACGACCTTCAGGCTCAAAGGCCAATGCTCTACCAACTCAAGCACTGTCGCCCACTATATATATATATATATATATACTGTATATATAAGCTTAAGGGAGCGTAACGTTTGAAGCGTCTGAGTTTAAGTGGCTTTGAGTTGTCATAACTTTTTAGTTCTTTCCCGCTCCATTTTAAACAGCCGTAAATAACACATTGTGAAACTATGGCAAATACTGTTGCTTGATTGTATATTTATGTTTGTATATTTTTAGATATACTGTATGTATATACTGTAAGTACAGTGGGCAACATAACTATTTACAAACATTCTCATAAATGTTAATATCATAAATACTTATAAACATAACATTTCTGCTCGATTTAACAAAATCAATCAATACCTCACCAACCCGAGCATCAACATCTGGAACTTGGTCCTCGGGGGTTGTGCAATGGCGGTCGCTGCTCCTGACAGAGGCCCAAGTGGCATTCAGGATGGGTCAAATGCAGAAGAAAATCAAATATTACTTTACTTTGCATCATCTGTATTTGACCCTAACTCACCCCTTGATGCCATGAGGGCAGCCTGTCAGGAGCGGGACCCTCTCAGTTTGGTCAGGGCCTTTTTCTGGAGGATATTCCTGATTTGTGTGATGGGTGACGGAGCACCCGGAGGGAACCCGGAGAAACATCACTCCCTGTGTCTGGGTGGGTTTACATAGGTCCAGTGGGCAAGACACTTCACATACAGATAAGAAGATGGTTTCCTCCGGTTTCCCCTACCACTAAAAACATCTAACTTCCACTGTTTGGAGAAAATGAAACAACGTCTTAACTCTGAACATTGTAAAGTGCCTTGGGTGACCTTGGTCTGTAAAATGCACTATATAAATAAACATCACTTCATAGTCCTTCTTTGAGGGACTAGACACAGTCAGCACAGACGGTGAGCAAACGTCTCTCATTTACAACTGAACTGAACGTAATATACTCTTTTTCAACATCTCATAAATTACACTTGTTAACCATGGCTCTAACTACAGTACAAGACAAGCGTAGGGGCACATATGTACTCCTCATCTTGTTATCCTAATGGCCCACAGACTTAAGTCTACTTGACATTGTGCAGTTGAATGGGTAAGTGGAGTGATGTGCCTGCAGCCCCCTCCGTCTCCGAGTCCGGGGGCTGTTTGGGTCTTACATAAGGGCTGTCAGTGAGGGCCTAATCAAGCATCGTGTCATTGATTTCCAACCGCAGACGCAACACAACACACTGCAAAAAAAAAAAACAGACTGACCCTATTCACCGATACCACACAGAAGACTTTATTACTCCAGTACAAATGAGCACAACATCCAGTTACCAACAGTGCATCCAATATGTGCGTCCATGACTTTTTTTTGGTTGTAGGATCATAACTACACAGGCATCACTGTTGTTGTAGTAGCAGCCAATAATAATGAGGTAGACACACTCAAAATGTACACATGTAAAAGTATAGGTAGCAAGCGCCAAATGCTAATAAGTATTATATTCTTTAAAGATGGAATATTACGCATTATTTTTGGCCATTATAAATGATATTAAGACAATTGGACATTGTTCAATTGTCTCAAATTCGCCATTTCATGTTTTAGAATGTGAAATAATATTGTAAGTAGAAAATATTTCATGAAACAGGTACAAAGGGTGAAAAACTTTGCCACATCTAACTCTCTATGCTACCACCAGAGGGAGGAGTTGAATTTCTTTTTTTTTTCTTTATCCGAAATTCAAAAATTACCAGTTGCAATCACATGTCTGTGTTTGCAGCTGGTAATTTTTTTAATTTATAGTGTGTTATTTCCCTTGAGAATTTGCCCAAAACAAAATGTATGGGCATTAGTTTTGTTTCAAAAGGCAGAAAACTGTAGAAAACTACCCTGGTTATATTTAAGTCTAGACTGACAACAATTCTCTTTTAGGGGGTTGTTTTAAACTGTTGTTTTTAAGTTTTTATTTTGTTTTGTATGTGTTTTGTATGTGTTTTGCAGTGTGCTTTAATTTTCTGATTGCTGTTTTTAAAAGTTGTGTATGTGAAGCATTTTGAGTTGCATTTTTTATGGACTGTGGTATAGAAATAGATAGGGGTGTGACGATATATCGATATATCGCGATACTTTCTCCCGCGTTTCGATTATCAATATGCATTTGCCAAGTATCGATATCGATTTTGAAAAAAAACACATCTCCATTCCATTTATCATGAAATAAAGTGTATTTTTTCTTTTATTTATGCCATAAATTGGCATATTGTATATTTCTGACCAATATATCGATAATCGTCATATCGTGAGCTTTGTAACGTGTATCGTATTGTATCGTATCGTGAGGCACCCTTAGGTTCCCACCCCTAGAAATAGATAGATTGATTAATGTCATAGTGGTACAATGACATCATACTATTACAGGACTGAGACAGGAGCTTTTAGACAGAAGGGGCGGAGTTACATGTTTACGACAGAAGTTCCTGATATTAACGTAAAAGGATCTAAACACAACACCAAGTTTTTGAAGGTTGTAACATGGTTAAAAGCTCAAAAAAGTCAATTTTACTTAATATGTCTCATTTAAAAAAAACATTGGAAAAAATTGGGAATAAAACTGAAAGTTCCTGCATAGGATAAGAAAAGATTGACTATAAATACACATAAATGCCACCTACACACAACATTACACCTGCGGGGCATTACCTCTCTCTTTCAACAGTGTAAAACGGACAATGCATTTGACATTACAATATGTTTCAATGACTCCAATGCTTTACACTTTATAGTATATAGTGCATCACATTTGTCCAAAAGTACACACTCTTAACTTCACACACACATATATAGAATATAAAAATAATTGTAGGTATGTAAACTCATCCTAAAGCAATGGTAACCACGTATCAGCAGCTTGGATTAACAGTGGATATTATGAAATACTTGGCACACTGTTGCTAAGTTACTTGGCATTCTGACCATAGTGTAAATAACAGCCAAGGATGTTCCATGTGGTGCTATAGAGTAGATATATATAATACATGTAATAGACAGCAGACATCAGTTATTGTATGATTTTTTTCACATTACATAAAGATCCTCTGCCTTCAACTCTGTCATCACACACTATTGGTTAGAACCACATCTCTGGAGCTGAGGTAAAGTTATCTGCAGCCTCTATACTTTGAACATAGGGCTACCCTACACCTTAAATGACAGTAACCTGATCTGTCTCAAAGATCAAAAACCCTTCCCTTACAAACTCTGGTCACATAACAGTCTTAGCTGAGGGTAACAGTCGACTAAAGCCTCTGGGAACAAGAAGCTCTCAGCAGGAGCACATTGCACACCAGTCAGTAAGGTGCACTTAAGCCTTAACAGTCATTATACACTTGAAAAATCTATCAAAAATAACAGTTCTATTCAATTATTGTTAGAGTAAATCTGTGCTTGTAATCAAGAGGGCAATTCTGATGCATTATCCACTGCCCTGTGTTAATCTGACTGTGCTCCAGTTGAAAGACAGCTGCCAGTCTGGGTCACAGTAGTCACAGTTTCAGTTATGTATAATGCCTAAATATGATATAAAGTGATTAACACGTGTGTAACTGTAAGATACAGCACAAAGACCACAACAGTCACTGCTATCAGTACAGGACATAATGAAAGCCACTATATACAAGTGGATTGGCAGCTAGGTGCTGGAGGCTTGCCTCAGTGGGACTTTGTCCAGACCATTAAGAACCAAAGTGGGCTGGCACAGATCCATACAGCTGTACAGCATCATTGCCTGGTAGCTAACATCCACAACAACAAAAATAAACTATGATTTGGTCAATCCAATTGTCATGTTTAACCACTTCATACATTTTCTATGCTACGCTACCCAGCTCACTGAGCAAAGCAGCCAAAACCACAATGTTGCAAGTTACACAACCTTATTCCATGGCAACCATGTAGAGTGACTTGGCGGCATCTGTTGCAGCGCCACGCTTCAGTCGGCCTTGTCCTCGCCGTTCTTGGCCCATCCTCGGCTCATGGCCGCCACCACAATGCTGTACATGTTGAGCCAGGCTTGTTGCAGGGGTGCAGTGTAGACCTGACCCAAACTGCACTGCAGCATGTAGAGAAGGGCCTCCCCCACCACCTGTAGACCAGAACAAACACATTCAGACAAACAAGCCGAGCTGCACCAGCACCACACATGTCACAAGCAAATCCTACAGCAAAAGACTGGGTGTGCACGCCAACCGCCTGGTGCTTTCTCCCAAGGTTCAGCAAGAAGTCTTCTAGCGAGGGCAGGTCGTCAAGGTTACTGACTGCTGCATCGATGACCAGCATCACCTACAGATGACACAGTAAATTATGAAGAGCCGGTTGTATCAGTGTGCAGCTGCAGACGCTCACCTTAGTGACATGCTCCACAAACTCAGGGCTGGATAGGCAGTCCTGGCTGGAGCTACACTTTGTCTTGTTGTAGAAGAGAGTCAGGAGCTCTGGGTCCAGTTCAAAAAGTCTGCAGACGAGACACAGACAGTCAGTATATTAACTGTAAAACAATATTGCTATAGCTATAAACATGTTCCATGAAAAAGAGTGAGTTATTCTTATTTGTCACAGGTTATGGTTGTGAATGATTGTAAAGAAGGATGAAGCTATTACAAGCCACACATTGTTGTTGATGTGTCACATGAGTTACACATTACCTGGAGAACATAATGACACCGTGGGGTACTTTGTTCTTTCCCAGGCTCTCCCAGCTGCCTCGGATCAACTCCTTGTCCTTCTCCGACAGCATGTCCATCCAAGTGTCAGACGGTACTTCACAAACACTCCGGCTCTCTGCAGTTTGTCAAGTGCTGTGACGAGAGGAGAGAGACTGCCGATGAAAGTTCACCCGCACAAGCTTTCCCTGAGCCCACAGCCGCACGGACAAACACTAATCTCACCTTGTTGTGGTCGGCCGTCCCTCTGAGAGCCCACTGCTGATGCCTGCCGGGATGTTGTTGAGATGGGAGTGTTTCTTGCCCGACACTCTGTTGCTCTTCCCTTCTGCAGCCAAGTTCTTATCTGTCACACTGCTTCCTATCTCTCCCCCCTTTCTCTCTCTCTCAGCATCAGGGATATTAGTCAGGCTACTGAAGCAGAAACCAGGGATGTCTCTCCTCTTCCCTCCAGCTCCCTCTGCAGGTGAGCCCAGACACGCAGCCTTTTTGCGCTGGTCTTTTTGAGGTAATTAACCCTTCATTTGTGGCGCAGACTGAACAAGCCAGAAAGCATAACAAATCTTTCTATACATTGTAATTGTCTGCGTCTGATAGCCCGGATCATCTATTTTAGGATGTTTCTACAGCTGCAACCCACACATCAACAGAATTAAATGTGTGGGAATTTTAATACCGTATAGAGGCGAAAATAATAAGAGACCTCAAAATGCCACCTGGGCCAAATTATATTCTTTATCTGCCACTCCTCAAACAAGCATCATCGCAGCGTTTGGCGGTAGAGTGCACAGCCTTTCATTAATCTAAATGAGATGTGATCATTTTCTCAACCTCTACTTTTGAGAGGCGCTGAATGCCTGAATGCATGCCATGGAAGTATGCCGGCTCGGGTGAGACCTAAAGAAGAGGAGCACAGGTTTTTGGGCTGTTTCACTCGGAAAGCACAGGTGTGCAATGTTTTCATAAGGGACTTAATGGACGGACGGTTTCCATGACAACACATGAAGTTGCTGAGGCCTTGTCATGTAAGGGTTGTATGGCTACTACAGCAGTGGTACACATATGCACTGTATAGATTGTACATGTATATCAATGTATGTATATGTTTGGACTGAGAGCTGATTGGGTGGCAGCTTGGATTGTCACCCGCCTGACCCAGAAATGGTTTAATAAAAGGGATGAAAATTAATGAATATATTTATGTTTATTGTGAGGGGATATTAAACACATAGCTCAGTGTCAGGTTTTTTTTTAAAAGCAAAACTGATTGAATATTAAACTAATTGAAGCAATAGCTGGCCCCATGTAAAGGTTCTGCCCAATTACAAATATTGTATATGTGTGTATTTATTTAATTTTTATTTCTTTGAACGTTCCTTGTAATGATGATTTAACAAAACCCTGTAATTGTTTATTAGCTGAGGAATGTAACTTTATTTTTTTATTATTTGTCCCACAGAAAGAGTCTTGTAAAAGCATAACACTGTCTCCATCTTATTAGAAAACGTTTGCATATACTTGTAAAAAAGAACCCTGTGAGTTACTAATTGACGCTTTGAGCTGAGAGCTGATTGGCTGAGTGATCCTTTCTTTTTACTTTTCTGTCTGAAAAAGCTGATCTAAAGATGTGACAGAGGGCAAAAAAGATGCATATGAACTATTTTTAAATTAGTTCAATCTAGTAAGGTAGTCTTTTTTGTCACATGGTTTCAACTCTCTATGTCTGTGGAGTTTTGCAGCTGACACATCACCTGTTGCTTTGACTACAATCTTAAAAAACTCTATATTTTCTGAAACGCAAACTCCATGTGTCATTACTTTTCATATTTGACACAGTGGCCTACTAAGACATCTCCTGACATGACCGGTCTCCGTGGAGGTCCTTTGATGGTGATTATACATATTTAGACATGCCCATGTGGCTTGTCAAAAGTGATGTCTTGGATTTCTGGTAGCACTCTCTCTAAGAAGGAGTTTACAGAAAGGCCAGAGCCCTTTTTGATGTGGGTCCAAGGGCTTTGAAAACACCGCCGCTGTGCTCTTTGTGAGGCTCATGAACAGTTATTTTAGCTGTGGCCATAGATATAACTGGGAAAATACAGTCTTTCCCTCAGACTTGTTTCAGAGGGCAAATGTCCTCTAAGGACCCTGCAGAATGTATATAAACTCTTTTTTACCTAAAGTCACCCCCTATAACACACAGTGAGTGTATGTGCAGTGAGGCAGCGGCTCACTTTATGGATGCTTTTTCACATTGCATTGCTTCAAAGACAAATGAGCACAACAGGAGTGTCATGCTAAGTGTATGTAGATATATATTATTATTATTATCAGTATTATTTTTATTATCATTCAATGTATTTTGGAAAGACTTTTATTTAAACAATGTTGTTACTCAACAACAGAAAGAGAAACAAACAATGCAACATAACAATCACATAGGAGCCATTAGTCCGTGGATGACCCCTATGGACCAATGGTCCAAGAATGTCCTTAAATGTCCCATAATTATACTGGCAGGGAAAGCCTACATCGAAAGCCTGGCTGGTATAGAGTACAGAAACATCTGTGCAGAGTATGGGCTGGAAGGCCAAGGTCAATGTGGAAATTCCTCTAAAGGTGGTGGAGAATGAGCGTGCAAAGATCCTGTGGGACTTCCAGATACAGACTGACAAGATGGTAATGGCATCAACCAAACATCATGGTGGTGGACAAAGGAAAGCTGTGGTGGTGGACGTGGCAAGTCCAAGCGATGGTAACGTCAGGAAAAAGGAGCATGAGAAACACCAAAGACTCAGAGAGGAGCTGGAGAGGGTGAAAGTAAAGGTGACAGTAGTGCCCGTGGTGATCGGTGCACTCGAGGCAGTAACCCCCAAACTAGAGCAGTGGTTACAGTAGATCCCTGGAACAACCTCGGAAATCTCGGGCCAGAAATGGGCAGTGCTCAGGAACAGCAAAGATACTGCAAAGAGCTGAGAGAGGGATATCATACATAGACTGTATTAACGTCACTACATTTGATCTGTGCACTGTCTAAATCCACATGGAGGTTACACTACCGCCTCAAGCTACAGGTCAGGGCTCAAAACACTGGTATAGAAAGTTCAAGACAAAGGATGTTAGAATGATGTCATGGTGTGTCTTCCACATTTTCAATAGGTTTTCATTTATTTCTTTTTTTATGATCCACTACTTTTCACTACTATTGTATTATGTTTTGAAATGACAATATTTTCCTTCAAGTATATTTTTCCACGTGCACCACATATTGCAGCACAGCTAGAAAGATCGGTGGTCTCCGTGACAGGACTGTGGGTTTTGGTCTTGGAATGGCCACTAAACTGTCCGTGCCTGACCTGTTTTGATCATGGCATTTCGTCCCCTTTGTTGTTCACGCTCTCCTCTCTCACATCTTCAATTTTCTCCCCGGCGTCTCCATTTTCTTCCCTAAATCAAGCATTTTGGGTTAGAAAAATGACTACATGTAATTACACCAAACTTTTCCTTGGCCCTGGTATTTGTCTTTTCTGTGCTGAAAACGACAGGGCAAGAGCTCAGAGAATTATGTAATGTAATACAACCAAACCACATGAAGTCCTTGGCTCTCTAGGACCAGTTCTATTCATATTTTTACCGGACGCCGGCAGGAGAATTACAGTGTGAGAAAGGGAATTGTGAAGAATGTACCTGCTAAGTTGGTCCTCGCAGCTGGCGTCTGTATTTGCCTCAGATATGGAGGCGGAGGAGGACAACCTTGCGAGACCGTTTTCTTCAACAAACTGCTCCTTTAAGCCCGCACTTCTGAGCGTGTTTATGTAAGTCTTCTCCGCACTGGCCTTCGCGGATTTCTGTCACACAAAAGCTTTATCAAGAAACTCACAATACACAAAACTGGGAATTTTTATAGGTACTGTGTATTCTCCTTGAAGGGAGAAAGGGGTTTTTGTTCTGCTTGTAGCAAACACATTTTGGAAATCAAGAAATCTTATTTTATCACAGCTGGACCACATATTACACGTCATAATAGAAACAGTTTTGTAATAATGGAAACATTTTGTGAGGAAATCTGACCACAACATGTTGTCGTCAAGTTTGTATTGATCTTTTGGGCTGAGTGCTGATCGGCTGAGTGAGGGTGGTCCTCTCTTTATACTTTTTTGTCAGAAAAAAGCTGATTTAGAGATGTGACAAAGTACAAAAATACTAGGGCTGGGACTCAATTAAAAAAATTAATCTAATTAATTAGAGGCTTTGTAATTAATGAATCGCATATAAATATTTGACCTGAGAACAGTGAGAAGTTTTTTTTTCACATGGATTTTTAGTTTACCATTGAAAAATGACTGAATACATAAGCTTAAACAACACATGTTCATTGAGGATGATAAGGGGATCAGATGGACTTCTTTCCCATCAAATAACGTTTCTGTCATTGCCTCCACAGACTCTGTCCACAACAGACGCTTTTTATGGCCACAATCCTCTGCACTCGCAGTGAGCACTGAAGCAGGACATGCGCTGTTTGCTAAAGCTTTTATAATATGTTTTTAATGTATACATTCGGACTAAACATCAGCAATAGCAGCTCACACACCTGTGTCTATCTCCTCCTCCTCCGCCTCAATCTCACACACAGAAGCGCTCATTTCCGTCTCTAACTCACTCGGGTTTAGACAGCGCTAAAGTTGGTCTATGCTTGTTATTGTCACTCCCGTATTCGTCCCGGAAACCGGATTCGTCCGGAAGTTCAGATTGATCCAATGAGCAAACGCAGCAGTAGATTACGTCACGGAATCTGGACGGAAGCGGCAGTAAATATAAAAAACTACCTATTCATGCCTAAACTTAACCAACCATTCCCATAAAATAACCCCAACCCAGCCTTAACCCTAAACTTAACCATCTTAATCAGACGCCTAAACTTAACCAGTCTCCACTTAAGGACATATTAAACTTTTTGACATGCGCAAACTGAACTTCCGGACGAATCCGGTTTCCGGGACGAATACGGGAGTGACAGTTATAATGTACTTTTGAAAAGTCACGGAGCTCAAGTTGGTGCTCCAGTACAATCGGTCCGTCTGAAACTCATCCAGTAAGGAAAGTTCCGCGGTGCAACGTCCCATACGATTAAAATGCGTCAATTTGTTTTACGCGCTAATTTTTGGGGCATTAATTAATCTTAATTAACGCGTTAAAGTCCCGGCCCTAAAATATACATACATGTTAAAACTAGTGGTGGAAGGAACTATTGTGTTTTGAAAGTCAGGTACCCCAGCTTTAATAAATGTATTTTATTTTCTTGAAAACTTACTTGAGAACTGCCATTTGTTGTCCTATTTTAGATATGCTTCATCCCCTGTTTAAAGCTTCATGAGACTTTTTATAAACCTGGTTTAAATCTGCAACCTGCTGGAAGTCAGTGAAACTCACTAATATTTCCTTAGACGGAAACCACTGTAGCTGACAAAATATCTCCTCTTCTTGTCTTTTTGTCCTGTCATTGATCTATTAATCTGCCATATTTACTTTAGCACAATTAAATATATATCAGGTATAATATATTGTGCAAATTTTCTGTTTTGTTTCAATCATTATTGGATCTAAAATAATAACATACTGTTTCTATACTATTCCTCTTAAAATTGCTACAATTGGTTTTATCACAGGTTCAGAACATGGCCTTTGCAGTCTGTTAAAAGACAGAAAAGATATATTCGATTTTTAAATAGTTTGCATCTCAATAATGAAATCCATTTGGAATTGAAATAATGTGATTTTAGATTTATATAAACTGTACCTGATTTTAACTGTTAGTCATTATTGGATGTATATTGTTGTGCTTAACCCTTCAATGTTCACTCCTTAAAGAAAGTGTAGGAGCACTATAGCACAGATAATTTGATTTTACGTATTTATTTTTCAACCCATATTTGTTTTATCATGGGCCTATACCAATAGTTGAGATGCAGTTTGATGTTAAAGGGCCTAAAACCAAGTGACAGAGATGCCCCAGTGAGGTATAGTGACTCAAAAAGTGATCCACCAAATGTTGAGGAAACCATTAAAGGGTTAAACATGTAAGCGCACGTTAAACATTAAAGGGCACTCATGTAAAAGATTTTGGAACTCATGAGCCCTATAAATAAAGATTTACAGGGAGAGCTCTAAATCAATGTGAATGAAAAGGAATACATATTAACTTGTGTTATCTGTCCTTTTATAAGTGAATCTTTAATCGTCGGACAGAGGATTAAAAATAATACACTAACCACTACATCTACTTACAATGATCCTGATAGAGTATGACTCTTGCTACATTGGGGGCAGTGGAGGGGCACAGTAGGCGGCACTCACCTGCTGGAGCTGCTGGAACAGATACGGGCGTTCCCTGACCCGTGCCCTCATGCCCTGCAGCTCTGTGCTGTAGTCTCTCATCCTCCGCTGCTCCGCGTCCCTACATGTAAGCACAGATTACAGTGTGCTGCTGCAGCCCACATCGTGGTCCTTGTGATGTGACTTGGGAGGTTGAGCAGGCCGCTCACCGATGCTGCTGGAGCTTCTCATTATACACCTCCTTGAGGCTCCGGTGCGGGTCCAGCAGCTTGGCCTGCAGCGTGAGTGTCTTCTGCAGGGCCTGTGATCTCTGCTGGTACCTCCTCAGCCACTCGCCGCTCTCCTGGCTCTTGCTCTCTCGGAGTTCCACCGATTTTCTGTCACGGTAAAATATCATCTCACAAAAGCACAAAAAAAGAAGTACAAATGATAAAGCAGATAGTTCCTCACAATTTTTGAGGTGGGTCTATAAAAGAGATGGGGCGTCGAGTCAAAACATATACATAGTTTTCCATCACGTGCGTATTACCCATGATGCTTTGCGCGAACGCCATGTTGCGAGTCAAGCTTATATTGCACGTATCATTTGTCACTGATAATTTGTCACGGATCATTTGTCCCCAAGCCACGAATTCAGCCGACACTGACCGCGTTAAGTATATTAATACACTGGAGTAATCTGTGAGGCAAGATCCTTTCAGAATCGGGAGATTTGGATCCATATGAAACGAGGCGAGACCAGTGGACTTACTTACATGATGTATATAATGCAATATTTCTTTCAATCAATATTTTGTTTGAACAAAGCAGTTGATATCACAGGCCGCAAATCACTTCTGTCTACCACCCTTTCCCCCCTCCTCCTCCCCCTCTCCCGTTTTTCAGGGGTCAGGGTTGAATCCCTCTGGTTGATCCTCGCCAACTAAAGGGTCCTTTTCTCCCTCGAGAGTCGCTCCCCTGGCTCGTAATAGCCTTCGGAACGTCCCCACAATCTACCATAGACAGTAACGCGGTTACTGCACCCCCAAATGATGCAGGCAGTCGGCATGTTTTGGCGCAAAAAGTGATTTGGCCCGATTTGTTTACCTACAACTAGCGGCGGCTAGACTCCCAAAATGGCGAACTGCGGAATTGTGGATAGTGCGTCAGTGGAAAACTATCTATAGTAGGTCAAAGAGCAAATATATTTCCAAGTAATGTTACAGGAGGTTGCAAAAGTACTAGTCAACAGGTAAAATCCACTCTGGTGAAAGTAAAAGATTTTTTTTTTTACTTGGGTGACGATGTTAAAGTCCAAGATTATAAGATAAGATAAGTACCTCTGTTTGTCCCACAGTAGAGACATTTCAGAGCCCATACAGCAGCACACAAAACATTCAGAGATAAGTAGCTGTAATATAAAGATTATGTATATTGATGACATTTTTCCTGATAAGCCCAAAAATAATGAACTAAAAGTGTACATTTTACTAAATAAAAATATTTAGATTGAGACTTTTTACGTTATATTTCATGTAAGAATGTGAAAAACATATGTAACTCCCAATGCTACCAGAGAGAGGATGAATTTGTTTTAGCTTTGTTCCTAATTTTAACATTTACAGCTGAAAACACAGGAATTTGATCATAAAAAAGTACTTTTGTGTGATGTCATAGTGGTGCAGTGACATCATACAGTAGTACAGTGTGTATTGCTCCCAAAGAGGAGCTGGTAGACAATAGGAACAGTAAAGAAAGGCGGTACGTTTATCTTCTTAGACCTGCGGAGATTCAGGGTGTTCCTTTTGAGGACAATGTGAGTGACAGAATGCATTGTGGGTAGTGTCCTATCTTCGTACTGCTGTAAGAAATGTCCCCAGCTTTCTATACTAAAAGAGCTAATAAAGGAAGCCTGGGGGCTCCTTTTCTTACTGTTCCTTGACGTTATTGTCAAATTCAGATCCTCCTTTTCATGGCGGCCAAAACACCGACTTCCAGCATTGACAAGGAAAGGACGCATTTATGGTATTAGGACAAAAGGAGGAGCTTTTACACAAAAGGGGCAGAGTTACCTGTTTGTGCAAGAAGCTGTATGAGTGTGGATGGATCTAAAAACATCTCCAGGTCTGTTTTTGATGAGGGAACAATGTTGTAGCATGGTTAAACAATCTAAATAGTTGCATAATATGTCTCCTTTAAGTAAAAGAAAAGAAAAAGAAGTGGTCCAAGAGTATAAAGAATAATTTTAACACTTAATATCATATCATATTACTAAGTGTCTGACATTTCCTGTGTTTTTATGTGTTTGAAAACAAAAAATTATGGCCTGAGCTGCTCAAACGAATTGCCCCTGGTGGGAAAAATAAAGTAGTCTGACTCTGAATATGATGAATGGTAGAATTATAGTTACAGTGGAACCAAAACTTTCTCACAAGAAACAGTACAGTTACTTTAATAAAACATGACAAAGTTTGAGTAAAAGTGGGCTGCGAGGAAAAACTAAAAGTTGGTTTGTTTGTTTGTTTGATTTTTATTTAAATCCTGATTACCTCAGCAGCAGCTATTTCCCATGGGGTCAGGTATAGGCATGACCAGTAGGGTTGCGTATCATAAACTGGTTCACCTGATGGCCTCTGCGCGCCTCCTCACTGCGTCTGTGATGTGCACCGGCAGAGTGTCTGTGGACAGCGAGGCTAACGCTCCCAACGACCTGCTCCGACTCAGAGGAGGACCCTTTTGTGCCTGTGAATCACGGACAAAGCATTACCTCGGCAGAACTAATCGTGCACAGATTGTAATCAGAACAGAAGCATGTGTTTGAGTGCATTATGTCACATCATCTCATGTATAATTAAAATAAAGTGTATTATTATCTAATCAAGACCATGCAGTGGAGATAATTGAATAAATGAGTCGACTGTGCAACGCTGTGGTTTTCTGAATATGTCGAGTTATGTCACTTTTATGATATGATTATTACGTTCTCCCCAAGCTATGTGTGATGTCAGGAATTTCCCTTAAAATAGTTTTTTTAGCTTCAAATTTTATAGACTTTGGGTGTGATCTCAGTGTTCACATTTAGAACATTTTATGTGTATGAACTCTGGGAAGGTTCAAATCTGTAAATTCCTCTGCTTATAGTGCCCTTGGCCTTGAGCATGAAACGAGCTCAGAGAAACTAGTAAAAGCATAAGATCTTCGGTTTAAAATAATCTTCTCAAATGCATGTCATATTTATTGCTTTAATTGAGTGGGAAGACTCTGTGTGTGGGTATCTGGTTGGCACCCCCTAAACCAGGACTGGGTGATGCTAAGCAAAGTAAACAAAAAAGTAGGTCCTCACATATGTGTGTTTGTTTGTTATCACCCTCTCTAAACAGAATAACATTTTATCAGTCAAGCAGCAAATGAGGACACCTCTTTTCTCCCCAATACTGTTCCTGTCATCATTATATGTGACTTTAAGAACCTGGCCTACTCAACCTGGACCAGTGAACAGACCCTGGCCCAGACCCGTGCTCTTATAGACTTGGACCGACAGCCTGTCCGTCCATGAGAGCCTCACTGTGGGCCCTGAGGTTCCCAGTTTCTCCCACTGGGTTTTTTCTCGCCATCATCCAGGACATATACAACCAAACGGACCACTTACTCTTCTCATTATTATTATTATCATTATATTTCCCACTTAAAATCAAAAACAAGTACAATAGTTCAAACCAAGTTGAGCTTCAACAACTCTAGATGGGTCCCTGCTCCTGCCAGGGATCGTCGTAGCATTGCAGGATGGATTAAATACAGAGCACACATTCTAATGTGTTGTTAACTGTAAATGACTTAATAATTGTGTGAATTGATGAAGCACCAAGTGGCAAAGCCTGGACATGTGTCAGTCTATTATTGTTACAACATTTATGAACCACAAAGACAACTTTTCTTGTCCTTATACGATGAAAAAATTTAGTAATCTCTGCCTTTTTTTTCTAAGTAGGCACACCTCACCTCAGAAGCTGTGTAGGACAGGGCCTGGTTAGTACTGTGATGGGAGACCTCTGGGAACACCAGGAGCCACAGTGGGGCGACTGCGGCTGTAAAGTGCCAAACTGATGTTGTGTCCGTAGGCAAGACACTTCACCCCCATTGCCTAGAATGAGTCTGGTGTGTGTGTGTGAATGGTTGGTGGTGGTCGGAGGTCCTGATGGCACATACTGGTTGCCTCGTTTCTGTCAGTGGCAGTTGTGGCTACAGTAGTAGTTTATCACCACCGTGTATGGAGTGATAGAATAATGACATATGAAGCGTCTTTGAGTGTCCTGAAAACCGATGCATCATTATTATTATTATTAATGCTCTTCAAGACTGGAAACTGCTTCTACTGCCAAACATAATTACTTCTGGAACCCAAGTTTTATTCAAATGCAGGTCTATATGAAGTGGCTGTAATAATTGTACAGGCGAGATTCTATGTGCACAGGTCATACAAGGACTCCCATGTGAAACTTCTGGATATAACATTATTAAAAAGCAGAGCCCTGAATGACTCTAACCTTTGCCAGTGTGTAGTCCGCTTTGTCGTTTACCTGTGACTGTTGGGGGCTGCCCTTGCTCTGGCGCACAGGGAGAGCAGACGTCCTGAGATGGAATGGCTGACATCTGGTTGTCTCTTTAGTCTGCGTGGTCTCCTTCTGTAAGGCTTTGTGTAGTCTGCAGAAGTCAGGGACCTGATGAATGATCTTTGGTTGGAAGCTTGGGCTCTCATCCAGGAATCCTACCCTCTCTCTGCGGGTGCGATCGGCCGTGCGGAGTCTGGGTCCTTCAGACGCTGACGTAACTGTTTGTATGGGGCCTTTATAGCAGCCTCTGTTTGCTGCAAAATATAACAATAACAGAAAAGCAGTCTCGGTTTGATCTTCTTGGGTTTCAAAGTGATGAAAAATCAGCAATTCCAGACAAAATAATCCATCTTTTGACTACACAAAAGTCAACAAGCCGAAACAGGAACATGAGACTGAACCCATAACTTTGTGGGTTTCAGACTGTTTACCTGGGGCAAGCTAGATGTAAAATCTGGGTTTGGTTGGACCGCATAATGGGTGATTTGGGGGAAGAAACACATGCACTGTTACCCCATAGAGACTGATCTTGAAAATGTGAAAATGTGAAAGATCTTTGGCACAGCCCTTTAGGAATAGTAATCAATCCATGTGCAAAGTACAGTACAGACCAATAGTTTGGACACACTTTCTTATTCAATGAGTGTTCTTTCTTTTCATGACTATTGACTGTAGATCCACACCAGGCTGTGTAAGGGCTATTTGACCAATAAGGAGAGTGATGACCTGACCTCCACAGTCACCGGACCTGAACCCAATCCAGATGGTTTTGGACCTGAACTCAATCTAGATGGTTTTGGGGCTGGACCACAGAGTGAAGGCGAAAGGGCCAACAAGTGCTAAGCATCTCTGGGAACTCAGACCATTTCAGGTCCTCTTGAAGCTCATCAAGAGAGTGTGTGAAGCAGTATCAGAGCAAAAGGTGCTACTTTGAGGAACCTAGAATATAAGACATATATATATATATATTCCACATGAGTGAATTCATAGTTTGGATGCCTTCAGTGTGAATCCACCATTTTCATAATCATGAAAATAAAAACTTTTTGAATGAGAAGGTGTGTCCAAACTTTTGGTCTGTACTGTACATACAGTTGATGAATATACTACTGAGGGAGAGTAAAACAGTGGAATCCAGTGTTTTCTTTGCTAATGTGTAAAGTTTGTTTACATCCACACCGCATCATCTCCATCAGGGGCTTTGTGTTTATAGTCCATTAAATAATGTGTTTGTTTTCTGCATCTAAACAGCCCAGTGTCTGAGAAATCGTTTGATTTGTTTTATTTCAAAACAATAAAAAATATTATTCTAAACATTTAAACACAAACATTTTTTTTTCATTTTGCACAAATAAAATTAATGATTGAAAATAAATAAAAAATAATTCAAGTATGTTGCGTAAATATGTGTAAATAAATCCTGCTATATTTGTATCTTATCTTATCTTGTAGCAGAGAGGTGTATCCTGCGCAGAGAGGTGCCACATAATAAATAGTGATAATTTAAATTGCTAACTACATGTACAACCATACTAATCTAAAATTTATTTTCTGACAAAAACTGAACAATAAAAGGCTCAATATGTCTCACCTTTTCTGTAGTCTTTTATAGATCTGTGCGACGTCTTTAAAAAACCCGCTCCATCATCTTCAATTGCTGATGCTACATTTATCTTTGCCATAAGCTTCACTCTTTTCTCCTTCTCTCTTTCTTCAAATTGGAACGGTTGTTGCATGGAAAGCAGGAAGTTCTTTCGTTGCTCAAGGCTCTGCTGCCTCTGCCTCTCCTTCTTCACCATCATGTCTTTGAAGAGGGGCCTGGAGACGTGGCTGGGAACCGGACAGGCACTAAACTTCTTCACACACTCCGCCAGGGCCTCTTCTTCTTTGCTTGGTCCCGTCGTCGCCAATGCTGCCCGCTCACAATGTGTCCGAGCCCGTGTGAATCTCGAGGACTTATCAGCAGAGTTCCATGAGGAATAAACAACAGTGGGATTGGTTTGATCGGACGTTATCCTTTGGTTGGAATTCTCTGCAGGTGTTGATGATACCTTTCCTAGTTCTGCAAATCTATAACGACAATAAAAGGTTTTTCAGGAAATGCCCTCAGGATCTAGGAGATTTTTTGTTCTCATGAAACCTAGGATATTCAAATGAATCCTGAGTTAGTTCAAGTTAAAGCTGGGGTGCATAAATCCATCTAATTGTTTCCATGCTCTCAAAACAGTTTGGTTCTACCGCTAGTTTTCTGTCACATCTTAAATCAGCTTTTTCAGGCAGAAAGTGAAAACAAGAGGACCACCATCACTCAGCCAATCAGCTCCCACAGGACTCTGTACAAGCAAACGATAATATGTTTTCTATTTTTTGATTTGCTCTGTTTTTTTACTTTGACAGTGCTCGTTCAGTTTGGACCACGAGCATGTATCATTTCTCAAAAAGCAAAGGGCTTTTTGTCAACTTAGTAATACAAAAATGGAGTTTTGACTTTCCAGGTAAAAAGCAAATGGAGAAGATCTTAGAAAATCAAAAAGTCCAAGGCACTCGTGGTCAATAGTTTAGAAAGTTTAAAAAGCCTTTATTTTCTCATGGCTGTAGATTAAAATACGCACCAACACGTTTCAGCCTAGCTTGGCCTTCTTCAGGGTGCAAAACATGCAACATGTATTATTTATATGGGTAAATAATGAAAAATTAAATCAATTCAATTTATTCTTGTATAGCCCTAAATCACAACAGTAGTTATCAGTTATCGAAGGACTTTACAAAAAAAATAAGAAATAAAAAATACGTTACTACAAAAAAAGAGGAACCCCAGCTATAAGTCCTACTTTTTCTTGTTTTAGTGAAGTTTGGGATCTGTTTGTTTGAGGATCACATTTAAACATAATATTAAAAAGTTACTACTGACCTCTGAGCCTCCTCTTTGCAGCCATGTGTTGTTGAGAGAGCTGTATTTAGTTGAATCCTCTTGGCCAGTTCCTGCTCCTGCTGCCTCTCCATCTCCTGCAGCTGCTGGTGAAGGCTCTCCCTCAGAGCCTTCAAGTGATGTCGAAGAACCAACTCTGATTCAATGTGGTCTTGTGGCAGCATTTCCAACTCAGACATCTTACAGAATAAAACACTGCAAAAGTGGAGAAACAAAGTCATGGGGAAGAGAGGGTAAATGAAGGTCTTTGAAGGCTATACAACCAACACAGTCAAACATCACAAGCTGTTTCTGTTGTTGTTGTTGTTATATCCCAGAGAGCTTTGAGGCAATAAAGGCAGAGAGCTGCTCCTATAATCAAAATAAGTCATTAACCATGAGGGACAGATATACAGTGCCTTGCGAAAGTATTCGGCCCCCTTGAACCTTTCAACATTTTGCCACATTTCATGCTTCAAACATAAAGATATAAAAATTTAATTTTTTGTCAAGAATCAACAACAAGTGGGACACAATCGTGAAGTGGAACGAAATTTATTGGATAATTTAAACTTTTTTAACAAATAAAAAACTGAAAAGTGGGACGTGCAATATTATTCGGCCCCCTTGCGCTAATACTTTGTAGCGCCACCTTTTGCTGCAATTACAGCTGCAAGTCGCTTGGGGTATGTCTCTATCAGTTTTGCACATTGAGAGACTGGAATTCTTTCCCATTCTTCCTTGCAAAACAACTCGAGCTCAGTGAGGTTGGATGGAGAGCGTTTGTGAACAGCAGTCTTCAGCTCTTTCCACAGATTCTCGATTGGATTCAGGTCTGGACTTTGACTTGGCCATTCTAACACCTGGATACGTCTATTTGTGAACCATTCCATTGTAGATTTGGCTTTATGTTTTGGATCATTGTCCTGTTGGAAGATAAATCTCCGTCCCAGTCTCAGGTCTTTTGCAGACTCCAACAGGTTTTCTTCCAGAATGGTCCTGTATTTGGTTCCATCCATCGTCCCATCAATTTTAGCCATCTTCCCTGTCCCTGCTGAAGAAAAGCAGGCCCAAAGCATGATGCTGCCACCACCATGTTTGACAGTGGGGATGGTGTGTTCAGGGTGATGAGCTGTGTTGCTTTTACGCCAAACATATCGTTTTGCATTGTGGCCAAAAAGTTCGATTTTGGTTTCATCTGACCAGAGCACCTTCTTCCACATGTTTGGTGTGTCTCCCAGGTGGCTTGTGGCAAACTTTAAACGAGACTTTTTATGGATATCTTTGAGAAATGGCTTTCTTCTTGCCACTCTTCCATAAAGGCCAGATTTGTACAGTGCACGACTGATTGTTGTCCTATGGACAGACTCTCCCACCTCAGCTGTAGTTATCTGCAGTTCATCCAGAGTGATCATGGGCCTCTTGTCTGCATCTCTGATCAGTCTTCTCCTTGTTTGAGATGAAAGTTTGGAGGGACGGCCGGGTCTTGGTACTTGTAGATTTGCAGTGGTCTGATACTCCTTCCATTTCAATATAATTGCTTGCACAGTGCTCCTTGAGATGTTTAAAGCTTGGGAAATCTTTTTGTATCCAAATCCGGCTTTAAACTTCTCCACAACAGTATCTCGGACCTGCCTGGTGTGTTCCTTTGTCTTCATGGTTCTCTCTGTGCTTTAAACAGAACCCTGAGACTATCAAAGAGCAGGTGCATTTATACGGAGACTTGATTACACACAGGTGCATTCTATTTATCATCATCAGTCATTTAGGACAACATTGGATCATTCAAAGATCCTCACTGAACTTCTTGAGTGTGTTTGCTGCACTGAAAATAAAGGGGCCGAATAATATTGCACGCCCCACTTTTCAGTTTTTTATTTGTTAAAAAAGTTTAAATTATCCAATAAATTTCGTTCCACTTCACGATTGTGTCCCACTTGTTGTTGATTCATGACAAAAAATTAAAATGTTATATCTTTATGTTTGAAGCCTGAAATGTGGCGAAATGTTGAAAGGTTCAAGGGGGTTCTTTGTACTGTACTTATCCCCACGTTATCCCCACGTTTAAGGCAAGGCTGAAAGCACTCTTCTTCAACTTAGCATTTGGTTAAGGTCCGCTGCATCTTCCACCCTATGCTATAGGCTAGGCTAAAGCAGTCCTCTTAGTTTAGCATATGGCTAGGAAGGTACGACTCAGGGAAGGCTAAATATCTTAGACTGTCAGTCAAGCTGCATAGGGAGTCAGTTTGCTGGGAGAAGAACGGTAACTATCCTCTCCTCCTTCCTACTTTATCTGTTTAGCATTTTTAGGATTTTGACTGTAGTTTGTTCATTGCTATTCACCCGTTGTCCCATTGTCTGTTTCATGGTACGACGACGGGATCTCTGAACCTGGCCTCCTCCATCTACACCTGCGGACTGCCCTGCCTGACCCGCCTGGGAGTTCTTCAGTCCTGCACCGGACCTGTCCACGTTCAGCAGCCGCTGGTCCACGTTCTGCAGCTGAAGTGCTGGATCTATAGCCCGTCTGTCCGTGGGAGCGGATCCCTTTCTCAATATGGGTCTCCCCGAGGTTTCTCACTTTTTCCCACTGGGTTTTTTAAAGACTTTTTCCTTGCCGATGCAGGAGAGGTTAGTGTCCAACTAGAAGGACTGTGGTGATGATCCAGGACACTTTAACATTCTACAACATGTATGGACATTTATCAACATGTGTTCTATATTCTTTTTGTGTTTTAACTGTTGATTCTCTGATCTGTGTTGGTGATTTCAATGATTTTGTTAAGTCCTCTGAGATGACTTCTGTTGTGATTTAGGGCTATACAAGAATAAATTGTATTGTAAATTGTATTGTACTTATGAATGTAATTGTTTGACTTGTGTTATTGTTTCTATCTTGTTTTGTCCACATGTCCACAGGCGTGGACATGTGCGGTGTTCTTGAGTGCTTTAATATACACTGTTTTTTATAGCTTATTCTTACTTTCCCTGGCATTTATTCTCTTTCTTGCGTCTATTTTTACCGGTCTCACACAAAAAAAGACTTTATAGTGCATTATGTGCATAAAGCAGAAAAAGGCAGCGCGAGCTCTGTTAACACGTATCCATGGCAACGACCCACCAGTCCATCCACAGTGTCGAGTAGTAGCAAAAATTAAATCTTAATAAAAAACGACATTACGTCTGTTGAAAGCTTGTGAACACATTTTGCAAACACATAAAAAATAACAACCAATTCAATCGAAAGCAGCGGACAAACCTGTGCAATAAGTTTTGGAAAGTCTTACTCCACGTTACGTCGCTATCAGCAGGTTCTCCACAGGTCGGACTTGCTGACAGGACATATTTGTATTCATTTTGTAGTTTCATATCATGTAGTTTGTCAATATTCAAAAAGGCTGAGAGCTGTCTGCGCCGTGTGGGCTGGGCTCTCCGACCATAGAGAGTTAAGATGACAACAGAGCCAGAGTCGTGCAGTGATTGGACGAGAACCAGGAAGTCACTCGCGGCTGCGCTTGTCAACACAACATGGCTGACAGAAGAAATAGCTTCCATAACAGGACACATTCAAGGAGAAACTAATGGTTGATTAGCGATTAAACTATTCATCCTGACATATCTATTGACGCTTCCAGTACAGGCTCTCTCTCATGACTGAGAGGAGAAAATGCACAAACTTGCCAAGACCACGCTGACCCTGAGCGGACTATCCTGTAGCTGCGTGTCTGCAGAGAGATGGCTCAGGAGGACCCCCAACATTGTTAGTATGTGCAGACAGTTTGTATCCGCGCAGCAGAGCAACAGTACTGGCCACGATGACGTTTATGATGTCATTATATCTGGCGGAGGCATGGTTGGATCTGCCATGGCTTGTTCCTTAGGTGAGCTATGTTATGTGCCCCTCAACCTAACCTTCAAGCTGGGGTAACTTTTTTCATGAATAGTATAGAGTCTGGTAAAAGTACAAAAATCAGACCACAATATTCTGTCTTCATCTACATGCATGTGAAAACTACTGATAGAACCAAACTGTTTTTAGTTCCATTGTCTGTGGTTTGAAAGTTGGGTAACCCAGCTTTAAACAGGTTGATGGTTCTGTTGTTGTATATACCATGAATCTGTGATGCTTATGATGACAGGAATGGATCCAAGTCTAGAGGACAAGAAGATTCTCCTTCTTGATGCGGGACATAAAAAAGTAATGGATTCGGTGCCAGAAACCTACAGCACCAGAGTCAGCTCCATCAGCCCTGGTTCTGCAACCCTTCTTGCAGGTTGGTAATAATGCACAAACCTATTCATGAGTTTAACATGAAATGCAATAAACAAAAAATGTATTTCCATTCAAACATATAATATTGTCCTTATTTTTTATTTGGTATTCATTTACATATATTTCAACCACATGTACAGCATCACACTGTTTAATTTTAATTGATTACAAAAGAATCAGCAGTACAAGCTGTGGTATAATCTGTGATCGTAATTCCACTCTCCACATTACATGGCATTTTCAGTTCTTCGTCACTTCCTTTACATTTATCTTAATTTGGAAATACTTTTTGTAGTCATGGGCGAAGTTGACAATATGAATTATTGTGTTAAGTGTATCTAAAATTATATTTGGACTATAATGTGTCAATCCATTAAAAGTGTACTAAAATGTGCTTGTGTTTTGTTTGAAGTGCAAGATATCCATTAAACGATCTGCAGGAATTTCTTTGTTAGTTTTGACCTAACAATGTACTTGATACTTCTTACCATAATATGCCTTTTTCTATATATCTCTTGACTCCAGACTCTCACACCTATCTTTATGCTCATGAAAAATATTTTACAATGTATTCAATTAGATGACAACAAGCAACACTACACTATAGATATTTGCAGGTAATAATCATGTGTCGTTCACAATGATATTAAATAACATCTTGTGTTTGATATGTTTATTCTCAGTTGTTGGCGCATGGGACCAGATTAAAAATATGAGATATAAGCCTTATAAAAGGATGCAGGTATGTTGACAATCACACACAGGACTACTCAATACAAATATATACAATAGAAAGGAGGAAAAAAAGGCACTCTTGACAATAAAATAAAAATCTTTTAATTAACATGGATTTTGAAGCGCGTTTTGGCCACATAGGGCCTTCTTCAGGGCATGTGTTAAGACTACAGGGTGCCAGGTGTGGTTTAAATGTAATCCGCACCTGTCACGAGTCATCTACAACGTACAGAAAATACTTTTTATTTTTTAAATGCAATAGATTCAGATAGATGCATAATCTTGAAATACATTTAAGTGAGGATAATCAACCACATTCATACACACAATAGACTTTCATATATTCAATCTGGCCAATACCATGATTGACTTGTTGGCTTTGTTTAATGTGTAGTCTTGGGGCAACATTGGCAGAAAAAATACAAATGGCTGTTTCTGCGTTTTCCCAGATCTTCTGACACCCAGTTTACACAACCGCATCTTAACTCTTATGTAACCAAACCTCTGTTATTTTTCATATTCACCATAGACTATTTTACTGACATGCTGTATGTAACTCTGTCATCCATAAATCACGGCACCCTGCAATTACAGCTGCATTATACAGGCTCATGCGATCGTATGTGGTATGTACAAGTTCACATTCAATTGCAATGGTTTCATGTTGCAGACATTTTGTTCATTCCTTTGTGCAGTTTTTAACTCTTTTCTCAGCCACCTAGTTCGTTATCACTAATATGCTGAAGACGCCGCGATTTAAGGACCATTTAAGAATATAGTGCACCATTAACAAGGCTTCGGACAGTGCACAGAAACTACAGGTTACATAGATTAAATGTCTTCACGTCCGATAAATCACTCGGACATTTTCAAATCGGTTCTCAAAGCCAGTGTCTTTTCATTATGAAGATTCATGTGAACAAGAGCTAGAAGATGAAAGATTAGCAGAGTGGTTGTTTGCTGCAATGTGAAGCCACTTTACAGCTGTGGGTGCAGGGCTCGGTCCCTCTCGAATGATGTGGTCAGCGCGTACCAAACACTTGACCGCATGGCTTCTCTCTGAGCCCAAGATGTCATCATGCAGTGACTAAAAGCGCTCTTGCTAGGGTCCCACTGCCATTATACCTTCACTGTGGTGGCACGGACTTGTTTGTCCACGGCATCTCCGTCATTTTCTATACATTTCAGCCATAATGTCAGAAAGTATGCAGAAAAGGCTGGAAATAGCATTCTTTCCATTCAGTAAAACGCTCCTCCACTTCCACACTAAATGCATGCTTTGCTTTGAGGGCTGCTTCCTTCAAGTTGTGAGAATGCATTGTTTGAATAGCACAATGAGCAGCACTACCGTAAAAAAATCTTTCCCAAGCTGAATCATTCGGATTAAAGTCACCCTAAACTGTTTTTGGGCTGCTCTCAGTAAATAATTCTACCCAACCACTTATCACAAGCAGTGTGATTAGTGGTTTGCTTGAGGGTATATCCCCCAACTTTATGGCAAGTCAGTAAAAAGTGGAGCAGCAGCACTTTACCGCCAAATGAAGGGTTGTGTCACCATAGTTACAAGCAAGGAGAGGATTAACCTTGTACAAACACTTTCACCCTCCATGTTGAACTCCACGGTGGATTCAAGGCTGAAATTACAGAAGCTGCAATCGGCAATTCTTTCTGCTACTTTGGGGTTGTATATTTGCTTACTCTGTAATGTTCACAAACAGGTCATTAGTTATCTGCGCTCCCAGAACAATTAAAGAATCCCAAAAAAAACCTGGCCCATGCGACTCTATGCTTAAGGCTGCAAAAGTTTGGCAAAATATCTAATCGACAACATTACGATTGCGACGTGATTAAGGATAGACTTTTAAACATCACTTTGTTCAGAGTAAAAATAACGTCAAGAGGGATTGCATTTAAAGTCACTATGGAGAGATTAGCTCATACTCAATTTTAGAAAATCAAGTTCTAGCCTGTACAAAAGATTCACTCCACAATGTTAAATATATCTTTCGTCCCCAAATTCTTATAGTGAGACTTGTGAAAACACATTTTGACAGTTCAGATAAATGATAAAAAAGACAAAGGATACTTGTTCCATTGACAAATCTTCAAAACAAGCTCATATCAAGAGACATTTTCCCAAATTCAAGTTTTTTAACATAAAACACTAATAAATCCATGCAATTTGCTAATATTGCGATGATACGCTTAAATCATGATACGATATGTAAGACGATACATTTATGATTCTCTCATAATTATGGCAGTATGTTTAGAAATAAAAATTCAAAGCCCAGTCAAGTTTCCAAAATGATATATTGTAAGTCCTTTCAACTGAACAAAAACTAAAATGAAGCCTAACCCAAACTGCAGTAATACATCTTCAGATTAGCTTTCATAAAAAATTGTTGATAAATTAAATGGGTAACGAGTAAATATATTGTAATTGTACCCGTTCTTGAGAATAAATGCCAAAATGGATAAATGCAATCAGAAACCTGTTTTACAATTTTTGCCAAGTATGTTCATGAAAAGCCAGATTCATTTTAGTGACATCCAAATGCAGTTGAGCAAATCCTTTCAAACATGAAAACACATGTTAAAGATTGTAGCTGGAGAAATACAACTTTTTGACCAGTTTCAAAACGGCGATATCTGTGTTTGCAAATGAGCTCTTCAAATATTCTATAAGTGCGTGCACTACATGACATCAAAAGTAGCTGCTTTGAGGACCTCGTGAACCTTGATGTGGTCGACTGTCCCGTATATAGCTGTATACGGGCAGCATTAAGCTCAGGCCGCAGCCATAATGGGTCTCTCATTTAGGTCTGGGACGCTTGCTCGGATGCCCTGATCATCTTCGATAAGGACAACCTAGAGGAGGAGATGGCGTATATCGTGGAGAATGATGTCATCGTGGCCGCCCTCACCAAACAGCTGGACAGATTATCTCGTGAGCAAACACACATTTCGGTCGCATCCACACAGTAGCTCTGTCAGAACTGGCTTCATAACACACTCATGGTTTGTTGGGTATGTTTGTTGACTAGTGCTGTATTTATTCAATGCTATCCATCCATCCATCCATTTTCTACCCTTTAATCCATTTCTGGGTCAGGGGGGTGGCAGTCAGAGATGCCACCCAAGTCTCATAGCACCAGCCCCTCACTGACCCTCTGCAGGTGGTGAGTCCACAGGAGGACGGCTGCTCTCTGACTGTGAGCATAGCCTTGATCTTTCAGCTGGGGCTTTGGGCAAAGTGGGGTTAAGTGTCTTGCCCAAGGACACAACGACAGCAGTCATCAGTGGGAGTCGGTGGAGAAGGTGCAGAGGTGGGAATTGAACCCACGACCTTCTGGGCTTAAGGCCAATGCTCTACCAACTGAGCTACTGTCGTCAATGCTATCCTGACATGTTTATTTTTGAGGCAAACTCTGCATGAAGTAGACTCGCAGAGAACCACTGAGCTGGAGTTTTTCATGTCTGCAGCTAAAGTCTGATCTTGAACGAAAAGAAATGTGGCAAAAACTGCGAGGACACGTGACCTCCAGGGACTTATTTAAAGCTACCATTAAAACATGCAAATGTACAGATTGCTGGTCTATTCTTGATGGTGTTAAACTCTTTTTTTGTGGGTGAGGTGGACGAATAAAGCGCTGCCTCACTGCTTGACAACCAGAGTGGCATATTTATAAACACTTTTTGACTTTTGGTGCCAAATTGTGGAAATGCGGTCTCGGCACGTTTTACCTCATGTGCCTCTCATTTGTCAGCTTCTTTCTCATTTGAGCAAGGCTATTATAACACCAACGACGTGGTAGATCAAAGCTGTTCTCATGCAGCTGCACTTACTTTGCAAGTCGCACAAAGCATTACTTTTGTAGGAATTTGAGATCTATTGCTATTGAAGACTAAAATTTATAATTCCACTACCTACAGCAACAGGTGCCATAACCAGCAAGAGAAGATTAAGTGGCAGAAAATGCCGTTTGGTGCAGTTGTTCTATTCACATGACCGTGATCCACGTGAGCCAGGATCATAGTAAGGTTAACATTAAGATTAAAAGATCCATTTACAAAATCTCCAACTTTAGCATAACAAAGAAGTATGTATTAAATACTGTATATTCTAGTGCAAGAAATATACAGTTGTTTGTATACATCTGTACATGTTAGCAGGATGAGGCTATGTAACAAGCATGTCCTGCAGAATATCAGCTGGTATTCCACATGTTTTCTGATCTATGCACTGATTTAAGACGCACTAATTTAAAGTTTGTTTGTCTTTGATTTTCCACAGATAATGTGCAAGTGCAGTACAGGTCTAAGGTGGTGAAGTACCAATGGCCAATGCCACATCAGGCAACTGACTACATGCCATGGGTCCAGGTGACACTGGCAACGGGAGAGACTCTGCGAACCAAGCTGCTGGTCAGTCTTCACAAACATATACAAATGTGCAGCGGGTTCCAGAAGTGACAATACAACTTCTATACACTTTGTCCTGTTACGACCATACGACCAAAATCAATATTTTATTGATTGTTTTCTGAACACTGACTTTCTTTCTACCTCTTGTCCATATAGATCAGATTTGTGTAGTATACGACTAATATATGACAGCAATAGTTTTGGAAGCACCAATTTTTCTTTTTTTTTAAAATCATGTATCGTTTTGCTTTGACCTTCACAGCTGTCGGTTACTTTGTTGGTCTTTCAGAAATGAAACACATATTTGTGGTTGCAAGTATGAAAATGTGTGCAAGAGTTCAAGTTGTATTGGCACTTTTGCAAGCCACTGTATATATTCTTTTGTTCTATTTCTCATCTGTGTTGTTTTCAGATTGGTGCCGATGGTCAAAACTCAATGGTGAGGAAGGGTTTAGGGATCCCCACTGTTAAGTGGGATTATGACCAGTCCGCTGTCGTTGCTGTGCTGCGTCTGTCAGAGGTAAATATAGTTTGTGTTCCTCCAGATTATTATTGTACACAATGTCTCGAGTTTGAATCCCTACTTTAGACTTGAATGGGGCTTATCTTAGAAAAGCATTGTCATAAAGTGGAGAACAATGGCTCTATCCTGCAGCATGTGCTGTGTGTAATTAAAGTGTGTGTTTACAATAAATATATTTGATTAATGTCGTTTTGTAGCCCACAGAAAACAATGTTGCATGGCAGAGGTTCCTCCCAACGGGACCCATAGCAATGTTACCGGTAAAACCACATTTACAGCTCTACTTTGTCTTGAACATCGAGTGTGTTATTGGTGTGAGATAAGGCATGACTGTTCCACAGCTGTCCGACTCGGAGAGCTCTTTGGTGTGGTCCACCAGCCATCACGTCGCAGAGGAGCTGCTTCAGCTGGACGAGGAGAGCTTTGTGGACGCCGTCAACTCTGCCTTTGTGAGCAACATTGTTTATAGCCACATATAGTGTCACACTTTCCATGCAAAATGTAACTAGTTGTTACATTTCTGTTTACTAACAATTACTCACGTGCTGAAAGGAACTGTTTTTGTTCTGACCCAGCTTTACCCATTTGACCAGAATCTGCCTCAATTCTTATGTTTAGGCAAAGTCCTTTTCCCAAGCAGGCTATTTTTACCTATATAGCTGATGGACAGGGTCACCACGGCTGAGTCATGTTAGGTTTCAAGCCTGGTTTGCTAATTAAACCTGTGGTCTCTCAGTGTCGACCATTACTGCATGGAATGTTTTTCAAACAGAGCTAATTTGACAATATAGGCTGGCTGGCATCTTCTTTTAATTAGCCAGGCACAAAGTAGCCTGCCAAACCAGTTAGTTAGAAAAAAGCTTTCCCTGGTCTGGAGTTCAGCTTTGCTTCTGTGTCAGCTAGTTTATTTGTCCACAGAAGGATTACACCAGTTTCTCTTTGTCTTAATGTGTCACAGTGGAGCAATGAGAACCAGTCTGACCTGGTGGAGACCGCTGGGTCCATGTTTCGCTCTGCCCTGTCGGCCCTCATGCCTTCGGCAGGTTCCCCTCGGCAGCTCCCTCCCAGTGTGGCTGCCATTGGCCCTAAAAGCCGTGTGATGTTTCCGCTCGGCATGGGGCATGCGTCGGAGTACGTCAGGCACCGCGTTGCTTTAATCGGGTACGGAGAAAGTGGAATATTGAATTGGTTTGATGTGGTTGTAAAAGATGGAGGTGATGTGTATTGTTCTTTGTGCAGGGACTCGGCTCATCGAGTGCATCCCCTGGCCGGTCAGGGAGTGAACCTCGGCTTTGGGGATGTGGCTTGCCTCACACATCTCCTGAGCCAGGCAGCGTTTAATGGGAAAGACTTAGGTCAGTGTGACATATTAAGACCAAAGTACAGTTTACTAAGCTCATTCTCTGCTTTTAAATCATATTTTCAAACTTAATGTTTAGTTAGGGTTTCAAAGGCAGGAAATAACAGTTAGTTGTCAACTATGATTATTTAATTGTAGATTAAGACTCATGGACCCATTGTGGTAGAGCTGGATATTTTCATATTTATGAATAAGAGACAGTGATGGAAGGCGTAATGTTAACTCTTTAAAAGCATTTTTCCTTTCTTTGCTTAAGTGTTTTGTTCCTTTTCTCGCAACTTTTTTAAATCCAAATTGCTGACTTTTCTGCTCCATACATTTTAACCCTTGTGCTACCCTTGGCTCGGAATGACCACAGTTATTCTAAACTAGAAAGAAAAAATTAATTTGTTGGGGTCTAAAAGGGCACAATAGTAAAAATGACCGGTTGCAGATGGAGACGCATCATTAAAACAGCATTAAAGTAATCACTATGATAAAAGATTGCCCTTATACGTATACTTTTACTGAAGTTAGGGAATTACCTTTTTTCATCAGAGTTTTCATACTAGTGTCTCTACTTGTACTTGAGTAGTTCAGAGTAGTGCTGTGGCAAACGAAGAGAGATCAGTGTTTGTCTTGCTCAGGGGCGACGCAGCACCTCCTTGAATATGAGACGGAGCGACAGAGGCACAACCTGCCCATGATGGCGGCCATCGACCTGATGAAGCGCCTGTACTCCTCGGACGCGGCGCCGCTTGTTCTGCTGCGCACCTTCGGGCTGCAGGCCACCAACATGCTCCCAACGCTCAAAGTAAGTCACGTGAAGCCCCACCTGCTCTGTGATTACACACGGCTCCACTCGCACCGTGGCTATAATTTCTAGTGTTCTGAACCTACTACTATAGCGTCTAAGTTTAGCCCCAAATGTCCTGTTGCAGCGGAGTGTGGGTGGGGTGCAGGGCCGGCCCAGGGGCAGTGGACGCCGCTGTGAGCTCGTGTTTTCACACCCTTTTTATTACAAACCACTCATATGAAATAGCTTCATTTCCTACTAAGTGATTCAGACCAACACAACCTTTACAGGCTGCAGAGCTCTTTATGGGAGTAAAAGTATAACGTGACACATTTGTCCCCCTTGTGAAGCGGCTCAGGTCACTGGGTTTCAGAGGTGACTGACTTTGACTCGTGCTTTGCCTTTTACAGGAGCAGATCATGGGCTTCGCCAGCAGATAATGTGGCCTAAACCTGTGGGATTGTTCATGCAAGTATTCAGTGTAAATAAAATGTATATTGTGTTTTTAGCAAGCATATTTGTTTGCCCAAATAAAGACTTTAACAACAAAGATAAAGTGAATTAATTTAGTATTTATTAAAACATAGATTTATAATACACACTTGTATTTATAAAAACAATGTACAAATATTCAATTTATGAAAAGGCCATTTGTTGAGGAATGCAAAAGCCATTCTTGTCCAGACATTACAATTTACAAATACATTAAGTATATACAGCAGTAGTTATTAGGTTGTGGAATACTGAAAACACAGCAGGGGAGGGGCTGCACAATATCGGCGAATATTGCTAAATGGCTTGAAGAGCAACAGATATCATTGCCATCAAAATAAAAGCTTTGTGATACATTAAAACAGAAAATGCATGACTTTTTTCTAGTACAAATTAAAAGCTAAACAAAAAGAAATAAAGCTTAAGTATTATGAAGGCTTAAGTATACAATAAATATTGGTTGTTTCCAGATCTACTGTTCGCCAATATAGCAATATCCATCATGTTGTGAAATATTGTGCAGACCTACAGCAAAGGCAAGGCAGCTGCACAAGAAGGCATGTTCTACTAACTCTAATAACTCATATTTACATAGTTCACAATGTAAGCCTTTAAAAATCAAAGACCCTGCGATTTATCCCCTGTAAACCAAAAGGGTAAACGTAGCTTTTTCTTTTTTTTAAATCAATGAAACGACAAGAAAAAGAGCCGTGGCAGGGCTCTTCACCTGTGGAAGCACTTTGTCTCAAGGATTGTCTCAAAAGCATGGCTACATTCTGATGAAAAGTGTTTTGTGCAAAATGACCAGCAGTTCTTTCCATGCCCTCATCGAGAATTCACTTAAAACTGGAGTACCTAGTGTTTTTGGAATCATAAATACGGTTTGTCCCAACAGAAATAGTCTTGTTTAAGTCAATTTCAAATCAGACACGCCAAAATGTCTTCATCTTAATACTACACATTTTATCTTTTCCATACTGAGAGCTAATTGGCTGATTGTGAGGAGGGTGGTTTGGAGAAAAAACTGATTTAAAAATAGGACAGACAGCCAAACATACATGAATGTGAAAACTAGTGATAAAACTAAACTCTTAAGAGTGAGGAACTACTGTAGGTACATGGATTTCGTGGCTATTTTTTTGTGGTTTCAAAGTTAGTTAATCCAGCTTTAAAATGACAAAAGCTTTAGTTACTGATCAGTACCTGGCGTTTTTAAGACATTTAAGATCTTCCATTGCGCACCCAAACCCCTGAAATCAGCCAGAATACCACCCTGACTATACAGCCCCTCAATTAGGACCATGGGATCTTGCATGCCAATACGTCTAATGGCTCTGGGCTGAACGTACAGTAGGAACAGATGGTATTGGTCAAAACGATAGTGATTTCTTTTCCGCAGTCCTGGGACGGGTGAGCGCGTGTGGTGGAGGACAGACCAGAGGCTGTGTGGAGGAGGGTGGTCCCTGTCAGTGCCTGCTGCGGTCTCAGCCCGAATGAATGTTCAGATTTCTAAAGTAATCGAAGGTCGCACCGAGAGCCCAACTCGTCTCCACGTTGTTCACTTTCTTGGCCAGCTATGAAGAGGAGAAAAGAGAAGGCTTTGTAGTTGGGCTTGTGCGGTAAAAATAGTTTGCATCTGTAGTCCACTCGCACTTACCTGTAGCACGGTGTTGTCTTTAAAGCCGAAGCCTTCTTTCAGCAGACAAGTGATGTACGTCAGGTCCATGCAGAGGAACGGGCTGATGGTGCGGTATTTGGACATTTTATTGCACACTAAAGAAATTCAGAAAAATGGGCGTTAAAAGCTTGGGTAAACTGATTTTTTTAAATATTACATTTCCCCATTGTCCCAAGAGAAATGGTCTTGGAAAAGTAGAATGGTGTGAACAAATCAGACCACAATATTCTTGATCTTTTGCATTTCTGGTATGAAAGAGGAATACAGTGAGTCACTATTTGACTGAGAGCTGAGTCAGGGTGATCCTCTTTCTCATTTTTCTGTCTGAAATAGCTGGTCTAAAGATGGGACAGAGGCCAAAAATGCATGCTTGAAAAAACTATAGTTATAGCACTGAGGAACATAGATGGATTGAATTACATTTTACATGTTTCTTTTGTGTGTTTTGAAAGTAAGATATCCCAGCTTCAAATACAGTATGACAAAGTGGAGGTTGTGAGAAGGAGGAAAGTGGAAGCAATCAATAACGTCTGTGTGTCTACAAGATAATGTAGCTTCCTGGGAATTCTCTTTTACAAATCAATTGCAAATCATTGGAAATAGTTAAGTGTATGGAAATTAAGTTAAGAAATTAATTGAAATAAATGTAACTATAATGCTCAGAGGCTGCTTTTGATTGCTAAAATGAAAAGACGGAGCAAGTGGAGAAACTGTTCATAAGTGGATTGTAAAGTACCTTCTTTGGCCTTCTTCTTGAAATCTCGGACCTCCACAGTTCCACCTCTGCTATCTGGAGAAGTACACACGTTTGTTAGAGTAAAACATGATGAATTGTGTGTAGTGTGCTGTGTTTTTCCTCTTACCAATCAGGCCTGACTCCATTGCCCTGTCAAAGTAGTGGGAGAATGCATAGAACATGCTGCTGCCCTTGAGTTCGTACGGCTGATGCACGATGCCTTTGATCACCCTCATCATCTCATAGTAGCACAGCTTATAGCCAGCGTAGCCTGAGAGCACAGAAGAAAGAATGATGTAACCCGGACTGAAAATGGACTAGAGGAAACCGCAAGTTAGAGGTGTGTTGCACAGCAGTGGTTGGAATGTGATGATGAGGGCCTGTAGATGAAGCTGAGGTTAACCCAGGGGTAAAGCCAAGGGGCTGCAGAGAGCATGCCCAGGGAAGCCCCAGTAGCTCTGGGTTCAGGCGCTGGCGGGCACACTGTGGGGAAGGTTGTCTCATTTGTGCGGGAGAAACCATGCGCTGACAAGAGTAGCAGTTAGAGCAGCCCTGATGACCTGCCTATTTTTACCACATAATTGTGAGCGGTTCAGATCAAGCCACTCGCAACACAAAAAAGTAACAACTCTGGAACAGGCCCAGCATCGTCTGACTACTGGACTGTGGTATGGGAGGGACTGGCTTATTTGTGAAGCTAACTGACGGTTTTCTTTTCTTTTAAACACAAGGTTTGAGGCAGTATAATTGTTCAAGTGGGAAGATAAATTGTCACAAGATGACAAAACATGCGTTTGTGTTGCGCCAAGGTTATAAAAATGTCCACAGGTAAATGTTCTCATCTGAGACTGTATTGTACTGTACACTATTGTGTTCAAGTGCTGAGAAAGGAATGCTGGAACAGTTTGATCTAGTGGTCTGGGACAGCCACCAAACCTCCCAGCTTTTATCTTACCGTCAGGAATTCCGCTAACTTTGTAGGTGGTTCCTGAAAAATTCACTTCTTCTCTGAGTCTTTTTGGAAGACAGGGACTTGTGAAGATTTTCCAATCAAGACCTGGGGAGGGGGAGGTTTTTAATGATACCTCATTACAAATAATAAAGAAATATGATGCTAACAATGGAATATGAGGTTAACTTACCATCTGCTCCTAAAGCACCCAAAGCTCCCAGGCGGGCAGCAACCAGTCCATTTCCCAAATAACTAAGGAAAAAGTTCATTTTGATAAACATTATAAACAAACTAAAGGTAAACATTAATAATGACACACTTACCTGTGTGTGTAAAGCTGGTACGTGTTGTTGAACAGGTTAAAATTGGCTATGTAAGATGAAGGAGCAGTTTGGACTGTTTTCTGTTGAATAAACCACATGTTGGCCAATGCATTTTCTAATGAGAGTAGCTCAGATGTGGTTTGTTTTATATGCAGTACCTTTGATTTAGGCAGAAAAGTGATCTGTGTGGACCCTCCTCCCAAGTCCAAGATGCCCACTGTCCTCTTAGTGTTGGAATATAGGTGCCCTGATGAAAAACACAAAATGACTCTTTAGACTTTCACAGAGACAGGACTGACGCCGGCCCCTCAGTGCCACAAACACGTGAGGGAACATCACTTGTTTTTGTGAGCTGCCTGGAGCCAGCGATTCAGTCTCATAGCTAACCTCATTCAGGAGTCAGCTCTATGTGTACACAGACACGCAGATATGAGCACGCTGACCACCAACACAAACATAACAAAACAGAAGCAATGTCTTACCTGTGAGGAAGTTCACAGTGACCCAAGCGAGGACTCCTGGAAGAGCAGAGAGAGGGCGTGAGTGACGTCTGGGTACTCTCAATTACACTTGTAAGTGTAAGGGTGGATTTGTGTCTGCTTGGCTTCATTAGCGTAGAACAGCTGAGTTGGCCTGACATGACAGATCGCAGGCAGCTCTGATGTTGGGTTATTGCGCTCGTAAAGTGTGTGATGGCACATAACACGTTAGAGAGCCTTAATGAGAACTCTGGAAAATTGCTCACAATTACTGGGTGTGGACATAAACTACAGTTGTAGTAATGCAGCTCTTAAATATGAAAGTAAGAATATCTGCTGATGATTATGCCATAGCTGTGTGTGCAGAGCAGTGCCAAGAGAAATGTACAGTATCATACCTTCATTTGTTCCAGGCATAATGGACACGCTATTATTTGGCACGAAGAAAGGAGACTCGTCGAATACTTCTTTCACCTACAAGAGACAAAAACAGAACATTTCACTCAGCTTTACAATCTGGCACAACTCAGCTGTGACTAACTATGTGGCAGATAACCTAACCCCATGCGTGGTTGGAACAGTAGCTGGAGTTAATATGCTAAATGCCAAATATGGTTTCTCCACTCAACCTCGCAGCAGCTGTTTTACTACATAATGACCGCTAAAGGGGCAGACCTCACTCGCTGCCTCTTTTTCCCAGTGACACTTGAAAGTAGTTTGTGGTTTCTCTTCTCGTTCCCCAGCGGGACCGTTGGCACAAGTGACAAAGTGTCTGAAGCTTCTCACCTCCTTCAGAAGGACACTGGCTTTGTCCTGGGGGAGCAGACGCAGCCCCGCAGTGGCCCGCAGCACCACCGGGGTCCTCTGCCAGTCCTCCTCAGGGATAGTCTTCTTGGCGATTTTCAGAAGTTGGCGAATGGTGTTGCCCCCCTGCAGCAGACGCAAAATATTTTCATGTCAATAGTAGATTTTGGCAGTTGCGCAAGGCTGAGGTCACATGCGCCAACATTCAGGCGGTTAAGCGGTGTCCTCCACCTACACCTGATGATTCATAAAGTCTACAAGAAAAATCACAACAAACATACCTCCTCAGGGTTATCTTTGTATGAAGACAGGCCAGGCTTCACGGCATGGAACATCTCATTGTCGAGCACAGGCAGCTCAACTACAAAAGCCAAAACACAAACCAAGTGACCGCTTAATGTGATGTCTTGTGGTTGTGAAATAAACACTGGTGAATTTAATGACTTGGTTTGGATATTTAGTCTTGGGCCGATTTGACCTACATCTAGAGTTCAACTAAGTGTGTTCCAACTTTATGCACATACTCGCGCACACGCACAAACACACATTAAAAGTTCATTGAGATTATTTTTAGCAGAGCAACATGTGCAGGCTGCAGCTGGAGAGTGAAGACTGCTTCACATTACAGAGCACATGATCTAAGGCAGACAGTGGGAGCCAGCAGGGAAGAAACCTCAGACCCAGAATCAAAGAGCACTTACCCAGATCCTTTTGGATGAACTTATAGATGTGGATTCTGGTGCCTGTGCTCCCAGCGTCAAACATGATCCCGTGGAAGACCCGGCTCGAGTTGTGAGGCTGCTGCAGCGCTGGAACCTGTGCGGGGACCTGTACGCGCTCTGGGGGCCGGTAAGGCTGAGGCGCTGCAGGGTGCACGACCTCTGGCACCGGGTGGAAAGCCTCTGGGATGGGCTGGATGGGCTCGGCACGTGCGGGGTGGAAGACCTCTGGGACCCGGGGGTAGCTGGGCACTCTTGGCGCAGGGTTGGACGCCTCTGGGAGCAGGTTTTCAGCATTGGCAGAGTGCTCCCGATAGCGGTAATAAATGGGGATGTATCGGTGGTGGCGGTAGTAAGTCGCGTCTGTTGTGAGCGCCCCGAGCAGGAGCCACACGCAGGCACAGAGCGGCAGATTGACCGGGAGCATGGCTGTGGTGGTGGTGGTGTCTAGAGGCGAGGATGGAGTATGGATCAGGCTCTGGGGGTCCTGGTACGATCACACTCAGAACTGTCGACTGGTCTCGTTACGCTTTATAAGCACATGCAGGACTGGCACAGGGCCACAACGCCAGCAGCGCTCCACCAATCGTGTGGTAGTCCATCCCCGCGCTCCTCCAGGGGTCCCCGGCCATCACCTCCCCCTCCTCCTTCTCCTCCTCCTCCGACGATCCTCCTCCTGCCAGCCAGCGCTTATCCAGCCATCATTCTACCTGAGTGTACCACCACACTCAGAAAGCTGGAATACCAACTTCCAAACCACATAGAACTGAAATCTAAATATATTAATGTATCTCTCATCAGTTTGGTTCTTTGACTTTTTTTCTGCACAGTCATGTATTTTTGGAGTTCATCACGTCTTTAGATCAGCTTTTTGAGGTAGAAAAGTGAAAACGAGAGGACCACCCAGCCCATCTCTCTTGGCACAAAGCGTCAGATAAAAGTAAATGGGGTAGTTTTCGATTATGAGTACATTTAAATATTTTTATTTTATTTTGCTTTTTAGAAGGAAAAAATAAGCAGTTTTTTCCATCATACATGTATTAATCAAAAATTCAAAATTCTATCTACACAAATGTTGTGAAGCAAAAACTAAAAATAATATACTGTATCTGTGCCATTTTAAAAGTAAAAGTGGGGGCTGAAAGGGAGGTCATTTCTTTTCACTTTTCTGTCTGAGAAACCGTATCTAAAGATGCCAAAGATACAAGCATGTGAAAACTACTGAACCAAACTGTTTTGAGAACGAGGAACTATTGTGGATTAAAAGTTAGGTAACCCAGCTTTAAACGTCTTTTGTGTGTACCTAGTGCTTTTGTATAAAGTAGTAATTCTAAGAGTTTAAAGTGTTCTTAGTGCACATGCAGCAGTATTTTTTAAGAAATGTTATGTAGTTTTCTGTATTATTATTCATGCCTTGTTCTATTTTTACTTTTTAACTTGTTTGCACCTGCTGTTTCCTAGTATGTGACTTCTTGTGACTCAAAAATGGCAATAAAAATACATTCTGAGTGTAATTTTGTTTCTGCAAAACTGACTTCATGCAAATAGGTTTCACAGCCTTTAAAAATATACTTCAATTGAAATAGATTAAAACAGATATATATAACTATAAAATAACAAAGATGGCACCTGTTTCACTTTTTATTCCCTTCCTCAATTCATGTGCAATTCTGGTTTGAATGTCCAATGAGAGGAAAGCAAGTTTGGGTCAAAAACACTGTAAATACGCTGTCAACTTCATCATTCTAACCTGCAATGAACTTCCACTTATAATTTAATCTCAGCAATTTCATTAAATCTGGCATGCCTAACTGTCAAACCACAAAAAATTAAATCATCTTTCATAATATATCTATCACTAGTTTCTGCACAAGCATGCGTTTCTGCTATTTGTCACATTTTTTAAGATAGAAAAGTCAGGAGAGAACCACCCTCCCTCGGCCAATCAGCTCTCAGCCCAAAGCCTTCTTTTCAAGTATGCAAAAAACCTTTCTAATTAGATACAAACAGCAATTTACAGACCGATTTTTTTGTTTGCAACTTTTTACTTTTACAAGACTTTCTGTTGGGATGAAACACATGTATAATTTATGGCTAAAAAGTTACCCTTGGTCCAATGCATCAAGATTGTCTGAATATTCAATTAGGGCCAAATTCAGTTTTTTCATATGTTTTATTGAATATTTTATGAGTATTATAGCCCTACATGAAATCAACATTGGCCTCTTTGCAATGAGTATGTATGTCTGACTTGAAATACCCTCTGTATGGAAGGATTCCCATATGGCTACAGCGGCCTATAGACTGTCACATGCCATTAATCCAAATTCATGAGGGGAAAAAAAGGCAAAAGCTCAGTGAAACCTATCCCTCAGCTGGCATGTGGCTTATACGTTTAAAATGCGGACATTACACCCACTCACCACTCATCGCTCCGCTGCTCTGCTGGCCAGGTGGATTCCAGGGGAAATATTTGGGCACTTTTCAAACTATGACACGATTGAGTAACTCTTTCTATGATGCAGGAGAAAGAAAGAGCCGTGAACAGTGAAAGCCCATTGAGGAAATC